GCTGAAACGACCCAGTGGTCCTTTGACCGATTCTCATTCGCACTTGCACCTTAATTACTTCAACAAACTGGATATTCGCACTTTTAAACGACCTCGTCTAAAGGGTTGGTGACAATCGATCCAATAGACTGGACCAGTTATTGTTGCCGTGGACATGGTTCAACGCCGTTCACCACATAGAGTCTCGTTTCCTCCGAATAGCAATAATCTGGCGCGTAGACAGTACTCCCTCCGCCACACTTCCGCTGCCAAACGCGCTCTTGCTTTCGTGAATAGATTCCAGCGTTCCTCGGCTAATTCCCACACGGTGGGCGCGTCCCCACCATCATCTTCAGACACTACTGTTGATTCGCGTCCCATACTGGCTACATTGCAGCCCAATTTGCGACGGCTGCCATCCCGTCAGTATCTTTTGATGAAAAATAGCATTCGAGATGTGAGTCAAAATCTTGACGTTCCTATTGGTTCAAAAAGGAAACGCGTCGCGTCGCTTAATGAAAACATGTCTGGCTGTCGGCCCGCGCGTGGGGCTCCAAAACTGAAGAAGCTCAAAGCCTCATCGATCCGGGACTCATCCAGCGAAGAACCTAGTGATATGGAAGTTGATGTTCCTGGTCGCTGGAATGTGTCTGACGCTTCTGAGATTGACTACGATGAAGAAGCATGTAAGTACTTGTGCATTGTGATCTTTGATGCACTAATCTCTTTATCTACTATCAGCGGATGAGTTTCTGATAAATGAAGCATCTTTGGGCCAGCTCAAGCGTCGTCGAAAAGACGAACTTCTTCAGTTGTACACTGCAGCGGGTCTATCGGACGATGCGCACAACCTCACAAAGCTGGAGCTCGCAGAAGCAATTATTGCAGCGCGAGACGATATCGTATCATTACCTCCTTCATCTCCTGGGCGGGATGCGAGCGACTGCTCCTCGGACGAGGGAAACGCAGCAGGCGGCGAGGAAACGGACGCTGGGACCAGATATCGAGTTCCCCCGGGTCTGCGGCGTCGTGCTACAGTTCACTTGGCTACAAATCAGGCGAATTCGCGCTTCTTGAAAACACGTAGTTTATCCGTTGGCCATATCAACGCAAGTCACTCATGCCCCGATGAGCTACCGGTTGCATGTAAGACCAATGGTACTGCCGCCCTGACGTGAGTTGAATTTTCCGAATTGAATTCGGTGTGCTAATATCTCACTCAGACGACGGACAACTAGGTCGACATCCAGCCGATCTTCGCCCACACCAAGTTCCTCCAATCAGCTCCCATCCCCTCCTGCTACGAGATTGCGTGCTCGTAAAGTATCCGCTGAGGTTGTCGTTCCCCGTGCCTCTACTAGGAGCAAGGGCAAGGGCAAACAAGTCGAATTCAGCGAAGATGTCAAGATCGCCGAATCTGCTGCATTGGGCGAGGAGAGCGAACTCACCGATCTCACTGAGCTGGATGAGAAGATTGCATCGGGCTCACCCAGTCCTCGTCGGCTGCGAAGTCGGGAGAAACGTGGTGGAGTTAGCGATGATCAGGAATCTGACACGCCAAAGCAACGGGGAAGGGCTAGACGGCAGACTTCGAGAGGGGAGGAGGTAGAGAATACTCTAGAGGATGAGGAAGAGGTCGATGAACTTATCTCATCTCCATCTCCTACTCCGCCGCCCATGCGATGTCGAGCGACGCCCGCGAAAAGACGTCTTCGTTCTCGCAGACTACAAACACATACTCCCCCAAGCGACGGAGGGGAAGGTGATGATGAAGAAGAAGCCGATGAGGAACAAGTCGAAGAGGGCGTGGAGGAGGATGGCTCGAGCATGGATGACGAGCAGTCAGAGCAGTCAGAGGATAGCAGAGATGTGGATGGAGATGATGATGTATATGTGGAGGAAAGTACGTCACCTCCGCCAACAACTACTCCACGGAAGCTCCGCAATGGGAAGGTGGTTGGGGAGGAGTGCCAAGAGGATACGCCTGATGAAGACGAGGAGCAAGATGGCAACGAGTCAGTTGACCTAGAGGCTGAGGATATTGACATCGACGCTGAGGAGGAGGCAGAGGAGATCGAGGAGATTGATGAAGCTATAGATGGAGATGACTGTTAGTTTGTTTTTTCTTGCTTTTTCATGTTACTCACACAAGTCTTACAGTCGATCTCGCTGTGGCCACCAAGAAGACCCTTCTCCGTATGCGTCGTGATAACCTTGTCCGGATGTGCGAGACTCGGGATCTGGATGTTGCTGGTACGAAGCCTCAACTCGCACGGTCGCTCCTTCAGTGGCGAGATCAACGAACAAGCGAGTTCTCTTCGCCCTCCTCCACAGGCACCATTCGTCCACCGTCCACCGCTCACCATCGTGCTAATGGCCGGAGAAAGGCCAAGAGCCGCAGCCAAAGCAATACCCCTCCGGTCCTCTTACGCTCCCATCGAATTCATCAAGACGAACCACGGACTCCTTTGTCAGGCGAGAACACGAGTCAACCAGAGCCAGAGCTAGAATTGGATCTTGAAAGCCTAGGTTTAGAAGATCGAGAAATTCCGCCTGACAAACTCACAAAACTGGAGAAGATTGGAAGTGGGGGCTTCAAGGACGTGTTCATCGGCAAGTTCAAGGGCAGACGGGTCGCCATTGCGGAATTTCGAGATCAGCTCAATTCAAGTACGTCGCAATTGTTATCCATGAGGCTTCCACGTTGTGAACATGCGCTGTAGTGGATATCAAAGAACTCAAACTTCTCGGTGGTTTTGATCATCCGAATATAGTCCGCTTCGTAAGCATCCCCGTCGAGACTGTTGAAGTCGCGATTTACACTGTGCCCTACAGCTTGGCGTCAGCATACCGGAGAACACGCGCGAGACACCCGTCATGATAGTAAGCGAACTTTGCTCAAATGGCGACCTCTTCGACTACATTCGCAATGTTCCTGCTCCGTCCCTGAAAAAAGTTGTACGTACGCTTGTTATTCCTTTTCTCTTCTTGCCTATGCATCCTCCTCACAGTTGAGCATCATGCTGGATGTTGCGCGTGGCATGGAATACCTTCATATGCGCAAGCCTTCTGTCATCCACAGAGACTGCAAATCGTCCAACATCCTCATTACTTCTCGCGGCACGGCTAAGATTGCAGACTTTGGTCTGGCCAAAGTGAAGCAGTCCACGCGGTCCATGGTTCGCAGTCTAGTTGGCACTGTTAACTGGCAAGCTCCCGAGCTTTGGCATGCGCATCCCAAATACAACCACAAAGTCGATGTCTTTTCGTGCGCCATGGTGTACTGGGAAATGTTCCAATGGCACGTACCCAACAAGAAGTTCCCCTGGGAGGTGAGTATATTACCACTCTCTTCCTATCTCGTCTAAGTCTTTTTAAGGGAATGAATGAACATGCCATTTACGATATCGTTGGAACGAAACGGCAGAGGTGAGTTGTCTCCTTGTAGTCCAATTATCTCGCACGCTGACGAGACATTTAGACCGTCTATTACAGGCCTGCGGAAACAATGGTGTCCAGACATTATTGACCTCCTCGAGCGGATGTGGGCTCATGATCCTAATGATCGCCCAACTATGTCTGAAGTCGTCAAAGAGTTGGAACGCATTGCCGTTTGAGATCTCCTGGGCTCTCAAGCGGAGTCAAATCTTTTATTCAATTATTGTCGGTCTCGAAGCCGACGCTGCTAACGAAGATCCCCCGGGTTGCATCAGGGATGATTGTTTATTCTCTGTCATTGGCTCTCCATACACTATCATCTTCGTCATTATCATTTGCCCTCAACTTATATCCCGCATTGTAACCTACCGTAGCAATCCAAATCCGTGCTTGATGTGTAACCGGGAGGCGTTCGGTATCCTGAAATCGATGCCTTGATATGCAATATGCTTCTCACATGTCAGAGAAGACTGCAAGATGTAAAAACTAAATCCGGGTTTGATACGATTTCAAGTTTGCCACAAAGATATCTATCGAGTAGAACATCTCCTACCCGATTCCGTGATGCCCGCGGTTGTAAGTTCCAGCAATCTAAATATCATCATCCTGCACACTCATACAAGCGCTTAATACTCAAGGCGGCGAAAGTTCTTGCCAAGCTTCCCATTCCGCAGATACTTCAAAAGTACAGAACTCCTTCAAATCTCTGTAATCTCCATAGCGCATGTGCACGCCTCTCTCAAGAGTCGGAACAAACAGACTCATTCGGATTCTCCATGCCCTCCTACAAAGGATTTCCAACGCGCCCGCACGGCCCTCCAAGCGCTTCAAACTATCCTTAGCCCAAGCTGCTCTCTGGCTTGCATGCCCACCGAATAACGCAGATCCCCTGCTGACAGCACAAAAGGGGAATTTTGACTTCGATATAGCGGGTGTGCTACACGGTAAAACTGTATGTCGACATCAAGACCGCAGACCATCATCGCCAGCCCCTACTTAGAGAGCCGATTGGAATTTGACATTCAGCATGGACGAAGTGATCTTGTCAAACGATTGAATTAGGCTTCTAAGTACTCCTGTAATCAGCATGGAGTCGTGCTCACGTTTAAAATGCGAAAAATTGCATGTCGGCCCCTATTGATAGGCTCATCAGATTGACGGGTAGGGCAGCTTCGAGAATGTTGTCAGGTTCCGTCTTGTCCGTGACATCATGATGATACCAAAAGTTATCGGTATCGAGAGCATACTACGATACTTCGCGGTTCCACGCGAACTTAGAGTAAGTGCCTGGACCCTGCAACACGGGAATGTGATCTGTCGAAGGAAGGTCCACATTATTAAAATAAAGATTACGGCGAGTCGTAGTAAATGAGCAGTGGGCGCAGTGTTCAGCTCGAGTTTGTGATTTTGCTTAGAAATTGAGACTCATACGAGGCCTGAATTCGAACACGTTCGATGTTTGAAGATGACGACTGTACTTGAAATGCAATACATGCTAGGAAGGTCATTGTAAGTGACGGGGGGACGAAAGTAGTACGAGAGAATACGGACATATGTGACAAGAAAATTCTACTATGCGATGACCAACAATGACAACGATAACAATCCAACGCATGACGTGAGGCAGCGAGCTACAATGAAAGTCACATGCAAAATGAAACAGGACCACTTACTAAATAGCATTGTGTACGTCAAAGAAAATCATGAGTTGAGTACTGCATGTAAACAACAAGACTTACAGAACACAACCAGCGACGAAATTTGTACTTCCTGACCTCCACATTATCTGCCTGTTGAATGTCGAAATATCGTTATAGAAGATGATCAACTGGAAGATGTTTCTCATTGTATACCCATTGATGACAGGATTCCAGAAGGGGGGCAAGTTCCTACTTCAGCGACCTGGATGGTGGCAATGGGGGGGATCTGGTTAAGATGCTCTTGCCGGGACGCTTGTACTGCAAGATTATGACCATGTCCACTTGTCTATGATGATGTGCAGAAACTTTAAGATCGAGAAAAGAAATAGAAACCGAGTGACTCACAGTTTTCTGAAGTGGAGCATAGTTGTCTCGATCACGAGGTACCAGGTTGTTTTGATTTGCCAGTCGAATATTGGCGAGCATGGCCTGGTTCCGTTGCACGATTGCTTGAATCTGTTCCAAGGTTGTACGATTATCAGCTACATTCCTTTGCATGTCGTCCATGTTTCTTCGGATGTCATCCAAGGCAGCTGTAATGTCGCCCGCCACAACTGCTCCAGTTGCATCTAAGATTGGGATTAATAAACAATGTGTTACCACTGAAGCAAGGGGAGAGTCCACTTACGAATTGCACGCAGCACATGTGCGCGGTTTTTTGCACCTTCTATATGAGCATCGGTGAGCTCCGGAACGGCACCTGAATTGACAGAGATGCAAATGTTCATCACATAAGCTTGAACTAAAGTGTTGAGCTTACGCCTGAGGGCTTGCAGTACATGCACCGTCTGCTCTGCGCTGTGTGCAGCATCCTCATCAATGGGATCTCCAGCAGCTTTGCTTGCATCAATTTTACAGTGTGTTACAACGGGGATATGGGGGAGTTCAGGGAACATGTCTGCCAAAGAGGGAACAGCGATGGGATATGTTGCGGCCATTTTAAGTTCGAATGAACAACTTCAAGTTGAAACGTTCAAGTTGCGAATCTTGCGATTATGTAAATCTAAAGAACTGGTGTACAGTTGACTGAGTTCAAAACCTGCAACAACAGCATGCTCTAACTTGAATGCATCGGCGTTGAACGTTGAGGCCTGAGGCTTGAAAGTTTGAGGACAATGGTCGGTCAGTTGTGTGTGATAGGAGGCTTGCTATGAATAACTCGGATGACTCAGTATGTCCACAGTGCTGTATGTAATTAAATTACCTCTCATTGTCACCTCAGGTTCGAACCACTGCTTTTTCTCGTGCCCCCCTGCCTACACAGGCTGAGTCCTGACCTAGTGGGTATTTCGAGAGCGACGCCCGCTCTAAAATGTACCAACTCACTCGGGTCTGTAAGCCAAGCAGGGCTAGGCTCGTTCACTTAGGTATTGGAATACGACCACCTCTTCCCAGACATCTTCCGAGTCGGCTACTGTCAACAAATGCATTGGAACCACCAAAACCTTCAAGTTCAAGGCCACAGATACCAACTGAGCCTCTTCCGAGGTCGCGTTTGCTTAGTCGTATTCTACTGGTAGCAAAATATACCGGACTTGCGGCCCTCTCTTCGACATTTGGGATTCTGTTACTGGGCGCAGGGATATTCATTCATGACGCTTTTACTTATACGAACAAGGATGTCCACCGCGTACCGGTCTTACCTCTCGCACTTCATCCCGAGCAGGGGGGGCCAAAGAACCTCCCAATTGTAAGAGCACTCGTGGATGACGTAGAGGATGATGAAGCAAAGAAACTTTTGGATAAACCGAAGTTGGTGATTGTAGGAGGAGGCTGGGGGGTACACTAGTGAACTTTCATGCACCGGTGCTATCGCTGACATGGACATTCTACCAGGCTATTTCAGTCTTGCAAACACTATCTCCTGGTGACTGGCACGTGACCGTCGTGTCGCCAGAAACCTTCACTACATTTACCCCGCTTTTACCTTGTAAGTGCTAAATTGACATTTTACAAGTTTAGCTGAACCTGCTCATGATATATAGCGGCTGCGGTCGGTACAGTCCAAGTTCGTACTTTGGTTGAGCCCCTACGCAAGATCGTAGCGCGTCTTCGCGGGCACTTCGTAGACGCCAAGGCTGTTGACCTTGTGATGTCTGAGCGGTTACTGGAACTTGAAACGCTGACCTCGACTGGTAATCCCAAAAATGTTTATCTTCCGTGAGTCGCCACTGTCGAAACCCTCATGTTACTTTACGTCATTAATGGCCATTTATAGCTATGATAAACTAATCATTGCATGCGGGTCAACTTCCAGTACACACGGCATCCAGGGTCTAAAACACTGTTTCCAACTCAAGACCATATCGGATGCGCAAGCCATCCGACGACGAATCCTAGGTAAGACCTTCGCGATTGGCGCCTCTATCATTCATTTGTGACTTTTTAGACAATTTCGAAACGGCCAGTCTTCCTATCACAACCCCTGAAGAACGCAAGCGTTTGTTGTCATTCGTTGTTTGCGGAGGTGGCCCCACGGGCGTTGAGACAGCAGCTGTACGTCTATCTCTATTGAAATACGTCCATATACGATAAAAATGGATTCATGCAGGAAATATACGATTTCTGTCAAGAAGACATCGTAAACTACGTATATTTTTCAGTCATTCTATCTTTATCTGTGCCTGACTCGTGCTGTATAGTACCCCAAGATATGCCGCGAAGAAGTCTCGATTCATGTAATCCAGTCGCGCGAGCACATTCTCAATACGGTGCGTGAAACCACTTAAGAATAATTAAAGTGTGAAGCTCACTTTGAGCGCAGTATTCGGAAGCCATCTCAAAGTATGCTGAGGTATGGATGACTTATTGAGAGTGCTTTAAGGTATTCTAACCAAGCAACTGCATCAGGAAAAGTTCCGTCGTGATAGCGTCGACCTAGTAACTTCTGCTAGGGTCAGTGCCGTCCACCCTGATCACGTCGTGTACACTGTGCGGGCTCCGGATGGGACAATCACTACTCATGAGATCCCGACAAATTTTGTCCTGTGGTCTACTGGCATTGCGATGAATCCCTTTACTCGTCGTGTCTCTGCCTTATTACCCAATCAAGTACACAAGAAAGCGATTGAAGTCGATGCCCATCTTCGTGTAAAAGGTGCACCGTTGGGCGATGTGTATGCAATTGGAGATTGTGCAACTGTGCGTCTATTTTATACTGTTTCCTGGTGCTTGGCGTGGACTTCATTGCATATAGATTGAGACGTCCGTCGTGAGCCACTTGCTGGAGTTGGTCGATGAGGCCGACAAGAACAAAGATGGCAAGATCGACTTTGAAGAATTTGATTTTATGGGTATGTTGGTGGGCTTCTTCGGAAAACGTTGTTTTGACGGCTAGTAGTTGCAAGGATCAAACACCGGATTCCGATGGCTGAGTCGCAGTTGCAGAAGGTCAGTTTTCGTGCATGTTTTAAGGAGGCCTTGTTGAATCCATCCTTTCACTTAGGTCCGAACTTTGTTCGATTTGTACGACTCAGATGCAGACAACAGTCTTTCTTTAAATGAACTGTGTAAACTGTTGGAAGAAATTGGAAATAATATAACAGCACTTCCTGCCGTATGTGCTCAGCGTCATATTACGATTGCGCTGACTTTGGTACTGTCCTGATCTAGACTGCTCAAGTGGCTTCTCAGCAAGGAAAATATCTTGGCAAGAAGCTAAATCAGTTAGCGAAGAAACGAGAAGTCCTCGAGGCGAACGGCATACATGACCTGGACGAGGCTGTATCCAAGACATTTCGCTATACTCATCTCGGCAGTCTCGCGTATATTGGCAATGCCGCAGTCTTCGATTTGGGCAATCTGTCATTCATGGGCGGCCTCGCTGCCATGTATGCGTGGCGGAGCATTTACTGGAGCGAGCAGGTTTCGGCCAGGACACGATTTCTTCTAATGATGGATTGGATCATTCGGTACGGGCTTTGCATTCTTTTTCATGCCGATGTTGATGGTTGTATTCACAGTGGCGTATGGGGTCGGGACTTGTCCAGGCTTTGATCAGACAGACTCTATTGCATTATCATCGATATATCATCCTTCATCCTATTCATTCATTCTCATTACTCAATTCTTCTCTCCACAATGTGTACTGTGTACGCATCATTTCGTTGGACTCTTATGTAAAACAAACCATCAGAGTATGGTAGTCTTGTCCATTTTTGCCAATCACCATGACCTTAGAATGACTGTCTTGCCGACAAGCGATCCTTGGCTAGGTGGAGTCGTCATCTTTCAGTTGAGAGCTCAACATTTGGTGGTACCGAGTAAACACGGGAAGAATACAGCGAGGGCAAAAGTGGTTCGGGTCTTCAAAGTCCGCCTCGAACTTTGGATGCTGCTTCAAGCTTCAAGCTTCAGGCCTCAGGCCTCAGGTTCGACTACGTGTTGCTAGTGTAACAATCTGCGAATTTGAAGTGAAGTCACCTTTTGTCATGAGAAAAGCGGGTGAAGCTCAGTTACTACTAGCAAAGCATCTAGTAACTGATGTTTGAGTAGGTCGTCAAGCCTTGTACTCGCAATCCTCTAGCCTGAAATTAGAACTATAGAGATTGTGAGAAACCATATTCATCGTTCAACTCTTTATCGTGCCGGAAGGAACTATGTTAAGTACAATTGCGCTGAAGTGATGGAGTAAAAGCTGTGCCTTGCCAACTCCCTCACAGATCTAGGGCATCTTAGACGTGCCGAAGCCTTGAGTTCACTCAGTCATTTGTCTGGTCAAGGACTCCAGGTACAAGAATCCTCGAGGGATGATCCCATAAAATTTTCTTTGTTGAACTCTATTCCTGCCAATCAAAGGAGCCCACAAGGGCTGTTTTACCGACGAGTGATCCTTGGTTAGGCGCGAGTATCGTCATTTTCCGGTTGGGAGCATCGATGCTGGTACTGAATGAACAAGGTAAGAGTGAGCAAAGAATGCTATAGCAATTACAAAAGAAAGAAAGAACTACGCAATGAAGTGCAAGAAGACGTACACAACGAGGAAACCGACCACAGTCAGGTCCAAAATTTCTTCGTCATAGCGCTCGGACTCATCCGGGTTGAAGGGTGCAAGCAAGGCGAGGATGGAATTAAGTAGGCCCGAGCTGCTGGATGCAGGATCAACAAGCACGGGCTGCATCTCCGACAACATGCGTGCAGCACCAATAGGCAATGCGGAAGAAGGAGCCATGTTCTCTACGGCGAGCAGTCTCGAAGATCAGCCACGTGTTGATGTGTGCAGAAACATTGCCTACCAGCACCGATGCGATAGATTGTCAAATCTCCAAACTTGATGACACATGAGGATGGCGAAAGGACGAGGTCTGCCACCGCTTCGCCTCCAACAATTGCGGAGGTTATGCCAGGGGGTGGATCTATTTTTTGGCCATACATGTAAGTGTGCAACTGATACTTATGCACGCGTTCCCGATAACCATGGTCCAATTCAACGACCTGGTCGGGTGTTGTGAGGCACAAATCGAATAGGATCGATAAGAGCACATACTCCTCCTGACTTCGGTATCTTGACCACTGTAAACCGATTGCCAAACAGCCGTTGCATTTCAACGGTCAATTTTTCGTGTCCGACCACGAGAATTACATTGACTACCATGGAGTCAGATAAAGTACCAATGCATTCAACAAATCGCACTTCTGAAAGCATCGACACATGCTTTTATGAGCGTGTGCCTGTTGTCTGGCGCACTGCCAGAACTCGATGCAAAAGACGATGGAGTGTCGACAATTAAACCCGACACGCGAGCTAAGGATCCACGAATCATTGATTGTCGTGCGCTTGAAACAGAAGCTAATTCTCCGCACCCTCCGGGTCATCATCATCCCTTTGTCTGATATTTTCTCCCAGATTTCGGATAAGTCGGTCTAGTAGAACTGGGTTCCGTTTGGTTTCTGAATGCCCATACCAATAGCTTAGCGGTATCAACGCATTCGAAGAGAGGGCAGTAGGAGCTGATGTAGCAGCAGAGCCAAGAGGATTGGCGGGTGATGCTGTAGCTATAGGGCTGCGAATTGGAGCGGCCGAGATTGCTCCAGGAACTGCCCAACCACCCTGACTGGTGATTCAGCACAATAAAGATAGATCCGCCTCCCGCATGCTCACCTCACTCGGATCGACGTTTACCAACACAGGGGACCAGTTCTGCCCTGCTCTAACAGTATAATTTGTCAGAATTTTGCATACTGTTGTCTTTCCCGAGTTCTCAGGACCGAGAACAAGGACTCTTGGTGGCTCTGCATTGGCATTGGCATCATCATCTGAAGCGGGAGATCCATGCACGACACGGAGTGCTCTGACACGCATCTGCTCGAACGCAATGTGCACATTCGCATATGCCGCCATAGGGGTTTCCTCGGATACATATTCGGTGGAAGGGCGGCCTGTAATGTACTGAACGAAATAGATCAGCAACACAAGTTGTGAGTAACGACGGAAGGTGTAGCACTTATCTCCAAGGTACAACCTTGCCAGGTGAAAACTGCGGCCCTGCATTCGGTCCCGAAAAGATATGTTTTGCCTTCTGCGAGTTCAGCACCGAAGACCTCGGCCTGTCCATGAGCCAGCTGAGGAGTGGGTTCAGAAGGTGTGGGGCTGCCTGGGATGAATTTGCCTCGTGGTTGTGTACCAACGTACCTTGATTGCGAGGGAGGTATCAGGGTCGAGCTCGAACCTATACTCTGTCTCCGGCTCAAGAACCCACTGTTTCATGTCAGGCTGCGTTCCATCAGAATGTGAATCAGACATCATAGACCGCTAAGTGATGTCTCAACACAGAAAATAGTAAATATCGGTAAAATTCAAGATTCTGACGGAATGAGATCGAATGCGGTCTCCTTCGCAGCTTCGTGAGCTCAGATCAATCTGCGTTGTTCTCCAACACACGCGGCGACGACGTATTCGCGGAAGGTTCTGATTGCGACGGATGGAAGTGAAGGGCAAAGAAGCAAAGCAGCCTGCGGTGAGCTTGCTAATTAATTTCGTTAGTTTTTGAACCAAACTCAAAGTTTTCAATGGGATTGTTTGGTCAAGTCAAGCATCTTCCTGTCTTCGAGTTCTTTTCATAATTCTATTCTCAAACCGAGCTTGAAACCCGACATGTCCAAGCTGCCGATGTCAACGGATGATACCCTCCGCCGGCTTCACTAACTAAGTTAGTCACTTTAATCGCCTTACTACGTGATCTCCTCAACTGGATCAGCGCCCACGCTTCACTCATCAAAAATGCCGTAAAGGCGCGGCAGAGCCTACAACTTATAAAGTGTAGGCTCACCCCCTTCTTTCGTTGTTCCCAATCAGCCAGTAAGCATGGACTCAGCCAGCGACAATTCCCACAAAAAAGAGGCCCATGTACATGCTTCTAGTACCGTACACGGCTGCGACGTCGACGTCGGTGCTCAGCTGATTGCTGAGACAGACAGTTCCCTAACTCCACAGGAGGCCTCTCGGCTGAGGTATGTTGTTTTATCGCCAGTATCACCTAGACCTTCCATTCATGGGTTGTTCTCATAGGGCCAAGATTGATTGGCATGTTATACCACTCATGTGCAGTAAGTCTTTGAGATCCTCGAAGCTGTTCGCTTGACCAAGGCGCATTGACAGTCATGTACTTGTGAGCGTCCTATCACCAATTGCTATGTTCTTTTTAACGGTCTCTGTAGAATCACGTTCATGGATAAAACCACTCTGGGAGAGGCAGCGGTGCTGGGCATAATGTGCGTGTTGGCCACATGTTGTCATGTTTGCATGCACTAACCTCTCGCTATGTCAGGGATGGTGCACATCTAACTGCAAATCAGTACAACTGGCTTGGCACAATATTTTATCTGAGCTACCTCGTTTTTCAATACCCTCAGAACTTGGCGTTGCAGCGCTTCCCTGTTGGAAAATGGATGAGGTGCGCTAAGAGTCATTCGCATCCAACACGTTCCTTACTCTGATGGGCATTCAGCATCAATATTTTTTTGTGGGCCGTGGTCCTGCTATGTCATGCTGCTTGCAAATCTTTCGGATCATTGTTTGCGGTGCGCTTCTTGCTGGGGATGTGCGAAGGTGCTATTACCCCCGGCTTCATGATTGTCACATCCATGTTCTATACTCATGCCGAGCAAACGAGGCGTGTCGGTTATTGGTGTAAGATCTGATTCATTTCTTCATTCTCTCTCACATTTTTTCTCAGTTTTGATGAACGGTTTTGCTGTGATTATTTTGGGGTTCATCAGTTTTGGTCTCCTTCACACGCATACAGCCTTCATGCCCTGGCAATGGTGAGTCACACGATCTTACATGATGCAGGGGCATTACCTTACTGATCGCACAAGGCTCATGATTATCACTGGAACCATTACATTGATCACCTCTGTGCTCTTCTGGTGTGTACAAATCATGATGATCATGCAGATTTCTCATTCATCCCTTTCGATTCGATAAGGTTTTTCTTCCCTGATTCGCCCACAACCGCATGGTTCTTAACTCCAGAAGAGAGAGTTGCGGCGATTCGTAGAATTCAAGTGAATCAAAGTGGCGTAGAGAACAAACGTTTCAAGAAAGAACAGTGAGTTTTAATATCCTTGTTCGCGACGCATCACGTCATTCTCTTTTCGGCAGGTTCCTCGAAACTGTCAAGGACCCAAAGACATGGTTAATGGCATTCTTTGCAGGGTCTGCGTACGTCTTTGAACCATCATATATACGCGTATCTAAGCATTCACGCGTTTTGTCAGAAACATCGTGAACTCTGTAAGAAGTTGTTCAATAATTCGAGTTCATATACTAAATACGGATGCATATCAGCTCACTAATCAACGCCAATTGATTATCTCACAATTCGGGTTCAATGGTATCCAGACAACTCTTCTTGGCTGTGTTGATGGTGCAGTCGAAAGTGCGTCTCTCCTTGTGTTGTACGATACCTTTTTCACCTCTCCCTATGATGTAGTTCTCACCATTTGGCTGGGAGTCACGGTTCTTGTTTCACAACCATCCATCGGCAGGTCATATGCTGGTGTACTAATGTACATTCCTGGGATACTTGGCTCGATACTAGTTAGCACACTTCCGTTCTCTAACAAAATAGGTTTACTATTCTCATACTGGATTTCAAGTACGTTCCATAATTTCATTCGAGAAGCGCCTCGAGGCGCAAAGCACTGACGGACCTTTTCATCTCATTGTCCAGTCTTTGCGATTGCACCATTTCCTATCTTCCTTGGTTGGGTTAGTTCGATAACATCCGGACACACGAAACGTATGGATCATTTATTTTTACCCCATTTAGTCACAGGCTCAATAATGTCTGCACAGGAATTACCACCAATGGCATCGTCCTGTGCTCGTATGCGGTTGGCAATGCCGTCAGTCAGTTTATGTGGAAGGTACAATATCAACCCAGGTGCGTAACGAACTCGTTATTATCAGGCACCACCGATCATGGCGGCTCACGTTGAATTTGATGTAGGAACCACATTCCATGGGCTGTGATCACATCATGCAATTTTGCTGCCGGTATCGCGTTGGTGGTTCTTCGTTTCATGTTCGCCAGTGAGAACAGGAAACGAGAACAAGAAACCCCCGACAGGCATGATGCGGTGTACATACTAGACGAATCGGGTGCGGAGAGGAAGGTGGACAAAGCCTTCCTTGATCTCACGGACAAACAAAACCGCGACTTCCGCTATGTTCTGTAGGTGTTGCCTTGACAGTTATGCTTGATTCCTCCCAGAAACTTCTCCTCGGATTTCCGGTTCTTCCTCAGTGGCAGGTTATATAATAATTTTCATGTTCTCTATAACTTGCTTGTCCACCCCTGTATTGTTTGGTACTTCAGTGTTTGCTGTCATTTTTGGGTTTTGGGGGATGTTATGATATATTACTTGTACAAAATAAAGGTCTCCTGTGTGCGATGATCCTATCTGGTATAACAACTACGGGTTTGATCAAAGAAACGATGAAACCTTCGTCGGCCGACGGACAGCCGCCGAGTTTCCTTCCAGATGCTTATATGCAATGCGAAAATCAGGGACTACCTTTTTCGACGTCAGTGACCTCCTTGAATCTTTCTTCATAGCGATCGGCCTTCCAAAGAAGTCCACAGGCGGCTAGTTGACGAATTCAGCAGATGATCTACACAATACAGATCTATCCTAACCTTGTCTGCAATGTCCACTTTCTCGGAAGTGCGTGCTCGTTTGTTTTCAGGGCCTCGCTCAGATGAGGCATCCATGCGGCGCAGTTCATCGTTGCTTTCTATGACTTCCATGGGCTCTGCTTCGTTGACATATGCCGTGACATCCTTCCTTGATCTAATGGTCAAGTGAGCGATGCAGACCCCAAATGAACAGATAGACAAACGTTTTGAAGAAGTTGGTTTTTGCTTGTTCCTTTCCTTTCTCCACTGCGTCTGCTTGCTTTGCGACGAGTGCGGCGTCAATCTTGGATCGAGTTAGAAAGGTAATTTCATATTCATGCGAAAGTTACAAACCTCAATGGCGACCAACTGTCGTACAGCATACCGAGAGACCGCGATATCTTCGGCGCGCTTGCCGTCGTAGGTAACAAAAACGTCAATCGGACTGCGCGGAACAAATTATATCAGTGGGCAGGGGGAGGCATCGTGCAGAACTCACGGGTCAAGCCTATACACATTTTGGCCATCCTCAGCCTTCTCTTGCACAAAGCGAAGTTCAAAAGACACCATAATCTCCACCAAACGCGAGAGCAAGGCTCTTTCCTGTGGCTTTATCACTTGACTGTTGACCTGAGAAATATACATTTTGAGATGACAAGCAAGTGTGGCAAGATCCACTCACCGGTCGCAAAGGAGGGGAAATTATACGATTGATAAATGGCGCAAATTCGAGTTGCAAGACTTGACCTGTGACGAGGTGTCTGTTGGCCCCTGCAGTCCGACCAGTTGAGCGGATACCGTTTGCTAACGATTTATAAATTTCTTCGTTTGCTCGCGTCAGCTGCAAGTTCTACTAGGAGTAAATATCTTGCAACCACACAAAAAGTAAACGCTTACATCCCAGTCCGAACTATCTCGTTCTACCCGCTTTTCCCCTCGCTCTCGGAATAGCGGATGGAAAGGAACCAGGAAATATGACAAGTATGTATGCAGCGCGAAGTCCCCGTCTGTATACATGACCGATGAAAAGGAGTCGAAGGTCGTCAACCACTCGCCAGCCTTCTCGTAGTGGTTCAAGTTTGCGTCGTGTCGGCGACAATTGGTATAATGCGCAAAACAGCCTATACTCGGGTAAAAAATGGAATGAATGTCGTAGATGTTGCACTGACCATTTGCTATACTTGCAGGATTGTTTAATCCTTCAATTGTATGACTTAGGCGGTTCACATAACGTGCCTCTTCTTCTTCGCCCATGCCAAGCTCCTTGACACGTTTTCGGGATAAGGGTGCAAATATCTCATTGATTACAGAAGTCGCGGTAGTGTCCCCCTCCTTCATGCCCACTGTAGCACGGCGAATGAGAGGTTCGGTCACCTCATCATTGCGAGACTTAATGAACTATGAAGATTGAGAATGTTATAAGTGTGGTGTGCACATTAAGTACACACCTGCAGAGTATTGAGACAGCCTCTAAGATCGCCTTTGGCCACGCCGACCAAGGTACTCAGAGCCCTGGTATCAGCACGCAACCCCTCCAACTCGCAAATCTCGCGGAGACGCCTGACAATATGACTATCGGCAAGTCTCGTATACCGAATTTGCTGGGCGTGAGGACGGAGTTTGGCAAGTGCATTCGCATTTTGATCATTACAGATGCATATTATTGGGCGAAGGAGCGGACGCTTGTCTTTCTGGTCGCTCTTCTTCCCTGCCAGAACTGAGAGAGTGTCATCATTGCCGGTGGAAGATTTACGTTTGTTCTTTGGCTTGTCAAAGGTGAGTGAAACCAACTTGCTCACAAATCCACTTGCCTAAATTTCATCAGTGACCACAGTCAGGATCATTATTCATAATACATACGTTATCCCCGCCTCCAGTAGCCCCATCTATCTCGTCGATAATGACCAACACAGGTTTTACACTCCCGACTGCAGACCCTGATTCCAGCGCCGGTCGTATTCGGTCGTCGATGACCTGTGCAGAACGCGCATCACTGTGCGGAGTGAGCATTAGACCAAAAATTCTGTTGGAGAAGCAGACCTTGCGTTTATCTCCATTACTTCATACCCGGCCTGCTTCGCGACAACATGAGCTAATGTCGTCTTACCAAGCCCAGGGGGACCGGATATTAGCAGTAGCTGTTAAAGGTCACGAATAAACAAATGTGCCCATTTTGTTGCATTATATGAACTATTACTTTTTCTCGTGGCCGGTGGTATTCATCGTCAGGGTTATAGTTCTCATCATCTTCCCGCAGCCTTTTCTTGCCCTTCTTCTTACCGAATACACACCAGTCCCATTGCTTTACCCAAGCCATTGTTTCACGAGCAACACGCTCATTACCCAATAGTTCTGTGAATTTTCGAGGGCGATATCGATCAACCCAGAGCGTATCCTCTGGCACTGGACTTGAGGGCTTGTGCGACTCAGACGCTCTGATGGTATTTTTCCTGCCAAAACATATGAGGTCGTGTTCCAAATGGAATCCAAAGAGACATACGAAAAGGACAACTTCGAAGTCGTAGCAGCCGATAGCTCATCCCTAAGTCTGTGTATAGGGACATCTAATAGGTTGCTTAATCGTGTTGGAGCAGAAGAAGTCTGAACACGATGAGCATAGAAAAGGAAAGGAATGCATTCGTATCTTGCCTTCTGTGTTGTGCCTACGTACGGCTTTCGCCTTATATGTATTGCATTCCCGTCATATGTCGTAGCACGAAGCGGAGCACGTATGTGCGTAGGAATAAATGATCTGGAGAATGAGGACACGGTGTTGCGTGAACTCTGTGGCTCATCTATGCCTTTAAGCTCCTGCGCTCGTTCTTCTGATTGTGCACGATTCGGAGTTGGGGCGGTACACAATCCGCCCAAAAGGCCATTAGACAAGAAGACGGAGGAGAGCCCATCTGTGGTGAATGAGGAGCCCAGCAACGAGGCCGATGGCCCGGGCCCGAGCAGTCCAGTAGCTACAAATGCATCTGTCATGACAGTCAGTGATGTGACTTTGAGCCGTACAGTCGCGTCAAAACACGCGTGAGTCGCCGTGGGAATAATGGTGCGCGCGACGCGTTTATGACAAACCAGCTGCACGGTATTCCTTCTGAGTTTCTCACAGAATCCACTGGCACTCAAAGTCCTGCAAGCTCAGGTTATACGTCGAGGTTCTGTCTAAGTATAGTATGTGAGCCGTTTTCACAAAGTACATCAAGTACTGTTATTCGAACATTCACTGACGGCACGGGCCCAACTCGTAGGTACTGCCAGAATGCATCGTCTGTATCGTTTTCAGCAGTTTGCAATATTATTTGCACCATACGATACACTGGGTTCTACAACCTTGGGCTATATGTAACCTGAGGCTATCGAGTGACTCGTGACAGCAGCAAGGCTCACAAGACGCTCTGAGACTTGCATGTCCGGACCCACAACCTTGGTGCGTCACTTTCGCTGTCGATCGAGTGGGATTGGCCATGCCCACTTCTGCAGTACAAGCTCTCTGTTCAGCACTAGTTGATCCTTAGCGCTTAATAGTGCAATCATGTTAGTATCTATCATGCCGACACTTCCGATCACTTGAACTTCGCTCATAGTCCCCATGTCCTTACTCCCATCTTCTCCTGCCACTCGTTCTGTCCGCCACCCAACCTATGCTCGATTATTGTTATTTTCCTTCATCGCACCATCATGACCGGTAGCTGGAAATGCCAATCTATCACACTTGAAGGTTGGTCATTCCATATCACCTAGTTTTTGTTGTATCTCGCTCTACCTACACTCCTCTACAGTCATCAACGGCAAGAAATAACGAATTTAGTCCCTTCTGAGCGCATGCCCGCTGCCATTTACATATCCCTTAATGTAGACCCCAGGAGACGCTTGGAAATTAACCGTCAAAGTCCTATCATCAGGCGAATCTGTAGCGCGTGGCGAGACCATGTTCCTGTAAAATCCCACGTAGACTTTCAAACGCAATTTGACGATTCATTCTCTTTTTGTAGAATATTCGATGCGTGACACAAATTATCATTGGTCATGTGGGCATCCTTCGAGCTTGGTGGAATGCTAGGCAATGGAGAAGTTATCGGAAAACTACTAGTTGGGATGAGCCCTTCGGTGAGTAAGCTGTTTGCCATTCATGCACAACTCCATGCTGCTACTCGTGTAGAATAGAGCAAGTACATGCACCCAAAACGATCGATATCTTTTTGGTAACGCGAGTACATGACGCCTGGGAATCATTCTCAATCAATCAGTATGACGTGCGTGGATTTGTGCATGCTGGTGGTGAGTGATTTCATCCGGCCTGCGTTTACCAGCAATTGAGCTCTTTACATCCCATTTACGAGTGTGCTCGTGTATGCAAGCAAACTGATAATGTTAAGGCGCTATGGCCGAGTGGTTATGGCGACAGATTAGAAATCTGTTTCGGTTTCCGAGCGCAGGTTCAAATCCTGCTGGCGTCGTACATTTTTTTCCTCGTCCCGCGTACCTTGCTTGGTCTGAGCAAAGATGAGAGAGAAGACCGTCAGTTATACGCGAATATTACCTCTGTATAGCAAGAAAGGTTGAAAGTCTCAGATAAATGAATCACAAGGGATGTTAAGTTTTGAATTCATTCTGTGTGTAGGAAGTCTGGATATATGATAATGTATGAGGGTTTCGGTGCGCCACCGAGGTGACGGGTGATTCTGTTTGAAAAGGCAGTTGCGCGTGACGAAGCCACCCCACCGAGAAGTTTGAGTTCTTTGATATCCACTGCAGCGCATGTTCACAACGTGGAAGCCTCATGGGTAACAGTTGCGACGTACTTGAATTGAGCTGATCTTGAAATTGCGCAATGGCGACCCACGCCTGACAAAGGAGTCTGTGGTTCGTCTTGATGAATTCGATGGGGGCGTAAGAGGACCAGAGGAGGTATTGCTTTGGCTGCGGCTCTTGGACTTTCTCCGGCCATTAGCACGATGGTGAGCGGTGGACGGTGGACGAATGGTGCTTGTGGAGGAGGGCAAAGAGAACTCGCTCGTGGATTAGGTGGGCGAAGAAATGTCGTAGGGTACCTGCTGCTTTGTTAGAGAATGTCAAATGCACGTTGTTCGGCTTACTCTGATAATTCGGGATCGAAGTTTCCATCCTTGCGTCCAGTTGCAAAGGTTTCTAGCAATGAACTTGTCCGGTCGAGGATGATGGTCAGCTAATAACTCGCTACTGAAAAAATAGGGAACCGCGGATACTTACGGCACTCCACGGTTGATGTACTTATTATACTGCCTCATCCAATCTGCTAGCACGAACAAATGAATAGAGCACTTGTGTATTTTCTCAGATTTCTGCAAATGATTATGTGTTACTCAGTGCTTTGATAGGTTATTATTAGGCTCACGGTGTCATCGGCTGCTAATGGTCAACGTTGAACCATCAACCCTGTTCATGGCATCAGGATTCAATTCTTTTACCAGACCCTCTCTGATTGATTCCTGGGTCTGTGCGTAGAGCCTGCACAATATATGTTTCATAAACTTCCAATATCCTGTGATGGCTTCTGGATGTTGCACTCGTGGGGCAGTTTCATGAAACCATTCTCGTACTACGACAAGTTCTGTGAGGAGCACTGCTGAATTCATGATTGCTTGTGTAGTGTTGACGTGTGTGTAGGGATTCTTGGCAAGTAATGTGCGCCGGGGATGGACGTGTAGTTCTGGTTTGGTTTTGCAGGCACTGCAGTCGCCTTGAGTCAGGAACCAGCAGCAGGATGCATTCACTCACGGGATCAACCTGAAGAAGGCCCCACGTATTGGCCTCCATGCGTAAGATGTTGAGCTCCTCTCGAGAGACGCGCTATTCCCCGCCTGTTATTCTGGTGACTGGTGAAATGTGCTCTACTGAAAAGGCATTTGATACGCACTGGTTGCGACACAATTGTCGTAGCCTAGAAGCAAATCCCGCATTGGGATCGAGGAGTCAGTGTTCTGCCGGTTAGTGACCGCAGTGTTCGTCCAGTGAACGCAAAGGGTGCGAAAGTCGGTGCGGCACGTCGTTCGCGTGACCAGTCCGTCTATTGAGGTAAACTGTCAATAGATGCCTATCACTCGGAACCTTTGGCCTTTCCATCTCTCGGACTCGCATTCCAACAGGTCTGTCAAGCGCAGCCGCTGGTGAACCACTTGCATGCCAAACAATCATGCATTCATGTTGGTGAGTTCATGAAACAACACGTAATATACACTGAGGAGATATGAATACAACAGGACATACAATGAGAGCCTCGAAACGCTGCTCTTTCACTTGTTTGTTTCGCCCTGCAGTGGCATGTGCCATCTACATTATTCTGCCTTTATTTGACTTCCGACTCTATCATCTTTCGAGGTTTGGGATCTATTGCGGAATCCCACATTCGTAGGCAGTGCGGCAGGAACACATCGTAGGGGATTTGACACGGGTTTGTATTCAATACTGTCCAATCTCCAGAAGCCAATCGTTCAAGATCTTCAGCTGAAACATAGGTTATTAGCTTTCAGTGAAATTTAATGGATATGGATACCTACTATGGCCATACCTACTGGTCCCTATGCGGACATAAGAAAAAGTGGTGGCTCTATCTGAAAACACTATAGCGCACAATTTGCGATATGGCAGTGTCTTGCGGCGAACCAAGGTACCACGCTCAAACTCAAGCCAACCATTCCATTGCGAAAGGAAATTTTCCAATGAACATGGAGAGCCACGAGCATCAGGCTTCACCTTGATCTCCTCTGAAGCGAATGCAAGTTTGATCACAGCGATGAGTCCACGTATCAAGCAAAGCCGCATGAAGATAGTGAGACTGTAGACATGATGTTGGTAAAAACAGCAATTAGGTTAGAGATGGAAACGCTTACAGATAAGATGATGTCGTATTTTTAGTAAACTCTTTCATCCAATTGTCGACCAAGCGCTTCTGAACGTAAATATGTTTCCTAGTGTCCTTCGGACCTGGCCCCAGCCCGAGTATGCACGCACATCAATGAATGTTGAGTGCATCACAGGGGAGTCGCTGCCAGAAAATGTGGGAGGGGTGTTTTGTAGATGTTGGATGATCTCCTGAGCCCTTTGCTTCACTGCAACTTCGTCGGGGTTTTCAAGAGTGTTCCTCGCCATGTGATGCAAGATAGGAAGGTCAAGGATAGCACTGTGAACAGTCTCCCTCACAAGGTGACAGAAGGGGTGACCAGCAGGTAATTTCCCTCGATCACGACTCTCAAGGAAGACACATAGCGGATATGAGACGGTCATTATATAGGTTGCACTGGCATGGGATAGAAGAGCAACTCACCCTGTTTGTGTCACACCACCCCCTCATGCTGTGCACCGCTGACGCACACAGTGTTAATTATGTCAGCTCCAGCAGTGAGCAATAGCCGGTGTCAAGACGTCCCCCACGTTAGTGGAGGGTCTTTGTCAGGCTAGGGGCCGGCGTTGCCGACTAATAACCTTGCTCCGGTTGTTCCCGCGAGTTCTGTATCTCAGGGGATGATTACGTACCTGAATCTTATTCTATCTCCAGTACCGATGATACCACATCTTCTCTGAACCAACGTTCGACTGCTACCCGAGCGCTGAATACGCGAAGCCTAAGATACTTGAACTTAGCGACAAGTATCACTATGCAGTGCCTTGCAATCTTTTGCGGTCGTATAGGCCTTGACGTGGCACAGCATAATCCGTGCCTTGCAGTCTAACTTGTCTTTGTCATTTCAGAAAGTGATTATTGACTCGCATAAAATCAATGTGCGATCCTGCTTGGATGATACTACCAACAAATCACCCACCCTCCTTTCACGACTCCACATCGACATTGCAACGCAATGATCTACACACTCTTCTTTGCGACATTATTGTTTCCACTCAAGGGAGCACTAATAAGATGTCGGGCAAACTTCACTCCCAAAGTTCAACTTGTTCCAGAATTGCCCTTGGTCGACGATCTACAACACGTCTCTCAGCCTCGGTCGTTGGTAGGTGTGTTGCGACGAGTCAACGCAGAAGAAGTATGCATGTGCAAATTTACATGAGGGTGCTTGGACGCTAACTATCCGTGCTTCCTTGTTTCCTAGGGAATTGACGGGTTGTACAAAGGAATTCGTGAGTCCTTCGAGCATTCCGAATCATTCTCTTCAAGATTTCTAATTATCTTCCTCCGTGACACAGTCCCTACCCTCGGTTTCATGTTATTATGGGAGCAAATGTCTATCCCGTCCATTGTGGTAATCGGATATCTTCACTTCGGTGTGTACGACCAGAGTACTGTTCTCATAATTGCTATCGCTTCTCTCGTCAAAATCATCGCAACCGTGATCGAGGCTGTCTTTGTCAATCGGTGCGTCCTATTGGGCAATCGTTCATTTCCATGGGCTGAGAAGGCATAAAAGGGCTGTAACAACTCGGGAAGACATCTCTTCATTCTCCTTACGACGAGCGCTTGATGCATTGCTCTCTCCGACTGAAAGAAAGCACCCTTATCGCATATTTAGCATCCCGGGCTTGCTTGCGACCTGCACTTTATGGGTTTTGTATATCGTAGGCACAATTGGAGCACGCCACTTTCTATTCGTCAAGCATCTTCCGGAGAATTTTGGGAACTGGGAGGACATGAGGCCCCACATTCCTCTCTTGGTTGGGGCCGTGATTTTCTCGTTCGCGCTTAATGCTCTGGTGCTCACTCCACTGGAAGTTATGATGGTTCGATTGTCTATCCAAGCCAAGGCGACCCAAGTTGTACTTCTTCTGGATACACCACCGGTTGAAACTAGCGGGCCTGTCAGGTAAACCTTCTCATTCACGTTTTCCGGGGCCATCTTAACATTGCCCCTCAGATTAAGGACTGATAAAGATGGATATACTGGACTTATCAGTTGCGCGAGGCTGATCATTGAGGAGGAAGGTTGGGATGCGCTTCATCGGGGGTGGTGGTGGACAGCTTTCCGTGGTATACTCTTTATTTGAGTTTTTGCAGAGTATAGAAATATTCCTGCTTAATAATTTGGCTTGACGTTTGTTGACAATATGATACCGACGGCACACAAAGTCCGGTAGCAGACCCTATACTTAGCCACGAGGCAGAATCCGAGATATCGATACAAATCAGCAACAAGTAGCTCCGCAAGCTCTCAAAGGACTTGCATTTCGTGCGTGGGCTTTGGTTGTGATCTCTACGTTCTTTTCCTACCAAATCTTATGCAATGGTTCCCTCAATTGATGAAGTCGAAGAATACTTTCAGTCTCTCGAACGCTTTCTGACAGATTCTCTGGTGGTCGCCTCGCCTGCTCTTCCAAACATTCGAGAAGCCGTTCACCGTCTTTGGGTTGATATCTCTCGCTTTGGGCCACCTGGTCTTTCCTCATTCCCTGACATCCATGTCCCCGGTCTTGGGGCATTTGAAGTTCCTCCACCCCCGCCTCCGCCTCCACCCCCGAGGACTCTCGTAGAGAAGGCTGGTGATTGGATCATGGAAAATCCATGGAAGAGCTCTAGCATAGCAGTAACAGCTCTTGTTGGAGCTGGCCTACTTGCTGGCTACACTACCTTCCATATGACGCACGCCCATAAGAGAAGAGTTCGGTCCACTACTGTCACTCCCGAGAAACGGCAGGTTGTCGGTAAGCACTTCTACCACCCGCTTGGATTGTCTTTCCATTGCTGATATCTTCCTAGTCGTGTTGGGTGGTGATCACCCACTTGGCCTCCCTCTTATCATTGAACTTGAGCAGAAGGGATACATCGTTATCACTAGCGTCTCCACACCGGAAGCTGTTAGTAGCATTGAAAGCAAAGGACATGGTTATGTCCGAGCTCTTGTCCTTGACCCTAATGAGGTGTGCAACTATTGAACCCTGCTTTCCAAGTTCATATAACCGAAGATCATTTAGCCTGGCACCATCCCAATCTTCCTTCGGTCGCTCGCATCTACTTTATCCAGACGGTTCCCAATTACAGCCGCTGGTGACCCATATGCAACCACCCCTTATCATCCCCTTCTGCATTCCATAATATCTCTACTCACACTGCCGGTTCCATCCATTCATACAGTACCAACCCCCATTGAACAGCTATCTTTACGAAGTACATATCTTCCGCATCTTCTCTCCACGCACTTTGCTCCTCTCCAGGCACTTCAAGCACTCCTACCATTACTCCGCTCGGATGCCCAGCGCGCGTACGGACGCAAGTCCATCATTGTGTGTCTCCCTGCTGCTGATGCACGTGTTGGACTTCCTTTCGGTGGAGTCAGTGCCATGAGCGCAGCGGCCACTCTTCGTGCGTTGGACGTGTTACGCCGTGAGGTTGCTGTTGGACAAGGCATGAGCTCCATCCGTATCGTTGCTGTTGATGTAGGTGTCGTTGGCGAAACCCCCGTTTCCAGCCTTGAAAATTCACACGCAATGGACGACTGGACTCCCTCAGAGAAAGCAACATACGGTCAAGCATTCGCTGCGCTCGGAGAAACTAGCATGGGACAGTCTCGCAGACCGGAGGACATTTCTGTCCTGGTAAATAACATAGTTGGTGTCGTCAGTGCCGGAACAAAAACCAAGATGGCGAGTAAAACGATCTGCGGTATCCGCGTTGGTTTTGGGTATGAGAAGATTAGAGATTGGATTCGTGGCGACCGATTTGCTGTTGGTGCCGGTGGTTCGTTGTTTTTCAGTCTTTTTTACGCATATATGAGAGCTAACAATTGTTGTTCATACAGCAGGGACATACACGTTTGCGTCACTCCTCCCTGGCATGTTGCTAGATGGATTGCTGAGTCTACCTCACATATTGGTTGGTGTTCGTAATCGGCTCTTGCCTGTGCCTCCTGCACAGCCACGCACAGTCCCAAAGGTGGCTTGTAACATTCCCTCTTCTACCGCGGTTTCTGTAGTTCTTCCATCAACTTCCTTGACAGTGAGCAGAACACACTCTGCTTCACGTCCGTCACCTCCAGAGACAGCTGCACCTGCGCTCGAGACTGAGAATCTTTCCGAGCCTGAAGATATAAGTGAACTTGGAACAAGCTCGGAGGTTGATTTCGAGAGTAATTCTGGGTATGGTGATGCATCTACAGTGGAAAGTAGCTGGGTGAGCTTGGGATCTCGTGGGCCCATTGATGAGGTTTAGGTCTCGCAAAAGGCTGACTGCTTTGCGTGTTGCTATTCTATTGATTGACAAGGATTCTGATCACTGATACTTGTGCTTGTGCGCTTTGTTATGTATATTCTGTGTCGAACGAATATTACTCGTGCTCAGCACGTTGCAATGTGTAACCCATCTTCCTGCGGGCACTCCTTTGCTCTGAAAATTAAGGACGCGATACTTAGCTTGTTCATCTTGGAGTCTAACCTAAATATGGATAGCAGCTGCTCGGGAAGATGGTACTGATTCAGGAGTTACTTTCTGCTCTTCTACTAGTTCTTCATTGATCTGCCAGGTACACTTTATCGATACTATTTTGAATCCGGATGGGTACGTTAATATCGGTCATTGTTACGGTTTGACAAAACCAAGCTACGTCAGGTCTCTCGCTTTGGCTGGTGCCCAATCCCACCCAATTGCAACTTATCCAAAAGGTGTTGCCAAAGCAGCCTAAGACACGTCCAGTGTCCGCTGCTTCCTACCCAGATATAACCCCTCATATCACACTGGCAAGCTCGGGAAAGGCAACGCAGGATGCATTCCTACGAGCCATACCATCTACTCTGCATCCAATTCCAGTCGAGTTCCAGAAGCTTGAAGTCGGCGATCATTATTTTAGATCTGTTTTCATATCTGTAAAGAAGACGACCGAACTTGTCGCGCTGCATGAACACATTATGGCTGCGCTTGACAGGGATGGAGCATCGCCTTCAGCCCCAGCATTTCCGCACATGTCCATCAGTTATATTGCAGATGAAGATGGGGCTGCTGAGCGGAAGAATGCCGCTGATGAGCTGCGGGATATCACAGTTGTTGAGGGTTCAGAGACAGACCTAGATGGGGCAGAAACAGTTGTTCTTCGCTGTGGAGACTCCGAGGAAGGATATGTGTGCCTTGCGAGATTTGAAGGGACAGAAGTGTGGATCGTCCGATGTGAAGGACCAGTACAACACTGGCAAGTGTTACATAAAATAACAGTGACACCAGACGTTACGGTGACCTAGGATTGAGGACTAGGTTCATGGTGAGATGAGACTCCATCACTGCAGTCACGGTGTAGTAGGTTTGTTACATGATATACAGAACAAGGAGTTATAGTGATACAATTCAATTTCAAGATTAGTTGCAAGGTGCGAGGAATGATTGGTATGCGGACTAGATCAATGCGAATGAAAGCAAGAGACAAGCAAAGCTGCCAGATCAGCAGAATGAAAGAAGACGAAAAAGCAGGACGATAATGGAACGAAAGGACGGAAAGTACGGTGGACTGCCGGAACGTCTAAAATATTACATGACGATATTAATGTCTTCGGTTTCGGTATGCGAGTGTCGGTGTATATGCAATTCCGAAAATTATCAGATTGATTTTCGATTGTCGTCACTGTGATCAAGGGTGAACGAAGATGATGACGAAGCTGATGGTGGAGGTTCGTAAAGTGGGAGAGGAGTTGAGTAATCGATCTTGCGCTCTCCATTCGAGTAGAAGAGCTGAGAGTATGCGGGAAGACTCTGGCTGTATGGAGCGCTTTTATGGAGCTCTATTTCACCCACGATGGTGCGATCCTCAGCGGGTGGCATAATTGATGGGGGAGCCACCTGCACATGCTGCATGGGCAGTGAAAAGTGGAGGCGTTCGCTCACAATCTCGCCGTCGGGTTGTTCGTAGACACACCGGAGCGCAATGTGCATCATGTGGGACACACTAAAAAGAGGGCTATTTTCAGATATGCGTCGGCCGCGGAGCCCAGCCCAATCCAATTGGTGGGGCTCTGGTGCCACAGGTATATTTGCCTCGAGCACATACCAGTTCTCAGACGAAGAACGAGTGGTCGCATCGCCTTCTGGAGAGTCATTCATGAAGATGCGACCGTCGCCAGAAATAGCGTACTTCCCGGAATTCGAGGGATCAAAGAGGGAAAACGAACGAGTTGAAGTAGATTTGGAGGGATATGGATTCATGAGAAGGCCAATCTCATAGAGTGTATGCACGGAATGTGCATTCCGAAGGGGGAGAGAAGGAGGTTGTTGTGTCCTAGGCGGGACCATAAATCGAGCTACGCGATCAAGAGAAGTAGTGCTCCTGAATAGACATGTCGTTAGCACCGTGAATAGTAGATAGACAATAATGCAACACACCTGTACGTTTCAGTCTGTTCAACGTCAACAGTGAAATCGGTTATTCGAAGGCGCTCTCGCTGAGAGGCGTCCAGTTCGTTGCCTTGTAAGCGCAGGATGAGAGGAACGGATGTCTCATCCAAAGTCACTGCGGTAGGAATGGACGCGACGACCTGAATCTTTTTCAGGACTTCAGGCGGAATAGCCGTTTCTGTGTCATCTTTCCCTAATTGCGCATCGACGATGAACAATGCCATCGGGAAGACAGAAGTGGAGGACGAAGAAGAAGGGGCAGAAGGAACCTCGGCAAAACGAACGAGAGTGACTGGACATCTTGGCGCGTGGATTGTGTGAGTGCGACAGCCAAAAGGTGAACAAAAGCTGCTAAATATAGAGGAGCTGCCATCCTCAAGATAGATAAAAGTTGCAGTGGCATACAAAGCGTAGCGCGTCCCAGCTTCAACTGCATTGCGATCTCCGTACGCAGATGTAGTCGGCAACCAGCCAGGAACAGGGATGTCAAAAATGACATTCCAAGAGCAGGGCTTATTGGAATCTTCGTGCCCTTCGTTGGAAAGGTCGACGGGTTCACCATTTACAAGCTCACGAGTGATGGAGCAGAGCCGCAAAGGGGCATACCCAATGTCTGGGGTGATCATTTCGGATTGTCCCTCAAATGTGACGGTGAGCGATTGCATCAAAGCACGCGTTGTGCTCCGCCGGCGCTGGAACATAAATGAAGGTGAACTGAGCGAGATAGACACATGGCCTGCCAGAGAGAAGGCAGATCTAGGAAGGTCTATCAGTACAAGCGAGACGTTTGACTTTAGCAGTTCTAGCTCACGAAAAGTCTGGTTCACCATACAATTCCAAAGAACCTGAAAATGGGATGATGTCTATCGACACAGGCATATTGACTGTCTACAAGGCAGCAGGCAAGGGATATCTATAAGAGACTGGAGATATCAGCGACTGAGCCAGGAGAATGACTTGTCTTTAAGCGATGGACATGAGTCGTTATATAGGATATTTTTCGGTTACACGCACCCACGCATAGCAACTTGCACTTCTGAGACAGAACAAAAGGCGCGTGGCCCGCCATCTGGAACGGCTGAACTTCGGCATCAGCTAAAATTTGTCAAGGCACGCTGTTCTGGTCAGACGGGAACGTTTGCTCAGCCAAAATTCCTTTTGTTTCATTAATCCGGTTGTTGCCTTTGTGAGCGCACAAAAGCAAACATAGGCTTGGTGGCTGTGCACCTCTTGAGATAATTTTAATGGAGAAGCGCTACTTCCAGAGCGCTAGAGAGCACAAAGCAAGCCGCATAAAGAAAATGCTCCAAAAGCAGCAGGAGCAGAAAGATCTTGATGCGTCCGTCGCATCAATGAGCAGATGGCATACATGCATCGCTAAGGCGATAAAACGTGTGTAACGCTACAAAAGCACGTAGATAATCGCCCACAGATACCATATAAGCACGCCAAGTTGGTGTGCTTACCGCTCGGTACGATTGCGCGTGGATGACACGAGTAGGCATCTACGCAAACACCTTGGATACTGCCAGTGCATCTTCATCCCTCTTACGAAGCACTTTTCTCTTTGATGTCTCTTCCTGAGCTTCTTTCCGTTGACGGTATTTGTCACCTCTGGCATGCCTGACTGCTGAGCGCACGGAAGCAGGCGTAACAAATTCTGTTTGTGAAGTGAGTGCATGAGTAAGAAACGTATTTGCTCCAGTGTACGAACCAGGATTGGAATAAACGGTGGCGCCACCAAATGCTCCTTCAAAAATACGGATGGGCGTCAGCACAAATCGGGGGCCAATCTCCACGAGAGATGTCTGAGGTGGGCCGTTAGGCTGCAACGGATCCTTTTCCATTATCTACGGAGATGAAATGGAGTTAACGCCCGGTGACAAACCGAAGAAGCCAGCATACCTGGAAATTCCGGAACCAGATTTTATTATCGAGGATAGAAAAGGTTAAAACGTGGTCAATAAACGGTTTGGCTTTCCGAGCCAGTGGGGGAACACCAAAGATCTACGTGGAGGAACGGAACATGATCAGGCGTCAGCAACCTTCCGTATGGCCCATGAACGTACATGCGTGAAAACCTCTTTGGTAAGCTTTCCCCACTCTGTTTCATCAAACGCTTTGTCAAAGCTGACAATTCCTCTGCTTCCTTTTAGACAATTTCCTGTCATCTTCAGCTCATCCATTGTATGCACGTTTTGAACGTGTAATTTTATGCTGGGCCCATTTGGTGTTTTCGTAGCCCACATGTATAGGTCTTCATGTCTCCTTGCCTCGAAGTAAAGCGTGTTATTGCAATTGTTCAGGTCTGCTATCTCAGGCAGGAGATGCAACTGTGACTTGGAATCAAGTTTGGAATCTGAGATAGATCCCATTGAGAACTGATGAATCTGTCAACAAAAGTGTCACTTTACCTTTCTTTACATGAGGTAGCAAAGTCTCAAGATCGTTCATGAGATGTCTCATGCGATGGGTGATACCCCGAGAGGAGAGTAGTAAGACGCGTTGCTTGTTTCTCTTCTGTTTAGGTTGCTGAACATCGTCATCGTCGATATCGATATCGTCCGCTTTTCTTTTGCCTTTGCCCTTGGCATTGATATATGCTTTTTGAGTTGTAAGGAGTGGGGCCATTTAGTTGTCTACAGCTGGTGTAGAAAGACTTTCAATTACATAACGATTAACAATTTTTTATTGGCTGACTACGCTATAGCTGATGTAACTCAAAGCACTACATATAGTAAGTACCTCAACCAACTTTGTCACAGGGCGCTCTTGTACAGTGGTGCAAGTAGTGAGAACGAGAAAAAAGTCTGCTTGGTTGTAAGCAGATAGTTGGCCCCGATAGTGACCCCGACCTGTGTAAAAGTGAGCTGAGGTGAGCTTTAATTCCCACATTAGGAGTGAATGCGACGCATCGAGGTAAAGTCAATAACAAAAGTAGTAAGAAGGTAGTATCCACGTGAGTATAAGTGCGGGCATCCATGTCGATGCATCAATGCAATGATCAATTTCGGTACAAGCATCTGCATCAATGTAGGCATCCACACCCATGAAAGTGCGAGAATCCACATGTGCACGGCAGGTGTTAGCAAGGACAGTACTATCGCTCAAAAGATGTCATGGTGACTGAGTGGATGATTCCTCTCCTTATCAGCTTCCCTGGTGAGAAACTTGACGAGAGTCACAATGGTGAACTTCCTACACGAGTAAGCTTGAGAGAGCAGTGTCATAGCACCTTCGAGTGCTCTCGACTCATGACCGGCTTCCCTGCCGGACTTGGCTTCATTGCATGCGGATAAAGATCAGAGCCAATGATCAGAGCTTACCGGAGTTTGTAGAAGAAAAGAAGATCCGAGAGACGACAGGCTGCGGACAAGGCGCCAGAGCTCAACCGGTGCTTGCTGGAGTGTAGCCTGGGCGCTAGTTAGCGGAGAAGAGAAGCACAGCTGCTGCATATCACAAGTACCCTATACTAGTACACTCCTACCTCGCTTCGAGGTAGAATTCCAACAAAAGCGATACCAATAATCACGCGCACCAAACGCGCACGACCCTGGATGAAAATATGTCATAAATGTGTAGGTAAATCAAATACACACCGACCAGTACTGGCTTCGCGGTACGCCTGTAAGTCCCCAGACTTGCCCTGCCAAACGAATACTTGCATTTTGCGGAGACGCGCAACAAGTCGTCGCAGGAAGTTTTTGATTCGCACCATAAATACCAGAAAGCGTCGGGACAACAGGGCAAAAAAAATTAAGTAAATACTCGTTAGGTCATACCAACACCAGCGGCAAGCAGAAAAAATAATTGCTTGACCAAAGACCAAAGACAGGAAGGGCGACTAATGTACATATCTGCGTTATGAAGGCATTGACCTTTTCACAGCCATAACATCAAAAAGAAAAAGAAAGCACAGCAAGCATGCTTGAAGATTTGTCGACAAATGAAAACAAAGTAGCAGTGCATGAGTCCATGGGCCACAGTGCGCGCTCAAGAAGATGAAGTAGATGTTCGTAGTTGCTTTTGCTTCTCTTGTTCCAACCGCTGAAACAGCTCACGCGTGAGGAAATTCTCGGCGTTATTTAAAGAGCAACGTACGTGATACAGCAGTTGTACTGCCATCTGAATGTTTGCAGGCTGTCCGGTTATAACAACCAGCCGCTCGTTTTCGTTACCTGGAGGCGCTGGAGCGCCGTTGAGCCCGGCCCCCGGCTCCATGATTTTGATCTGACTAGCGCTCATATGGCGAATTTCATTGATTTTACTACCCCCCTTCCCAATAATACAGCCCACCAAATCATTGGGGATGTATATTTGCTGCGTTTGCAGTTGCTGCGGTGGGTTAGGGGGTGGTGGGCCACCGTAAGGCTGCGATGCGTTCGCGTACCCTGGCACATATGACGAGCCAGTATACGGAGGTCGTCGAGAGTAGCTGGAAGGGCGGTAACTAGAATGGCTGGAGGACGAAGAAGGCATGCGTTCTTGTGCTTCAATAAGGATATTGCCGATATAGTACGTTGCTATATGGATAGCATCCGCAACACCTGCAACGCTCAGGACTCGCTATATTGACGCAAAACAATTAGTTGCTGCCTTGCAATGAATTCTTGTACTGTACCTCAGTCGAACCGGGGAGCATACCCTCGCTTGCATTCAGCCGTGCTCCGCTGGCATCTTGAATTTCCTTGATTTTTGAACCTTGTTTCCCTATCACAGACCCCATGCGCGAGTTTGGAATCATGAACTTGATGGTTACCGCACGACTTCCAGGAACTGAAGGTACATCGAAGGGTTCGTCATTGATCCGTCGTACAATAAGACCAAAAGCCTGTAGGTTTATTGTGATGAAAAAAGGAAATGGTAATAAGGTATCTGAAGCTTACCTTGGATACAGCATCAAGCGGCCCGCTAACATTGAGAATTCTCTCAGGGTTACCAGGAATGCTCTCAGAGACCATAACACGAGCTCCACTCTTGTCTCTGATCTCATTGACATGCGAACCACCCTTTCCAATGATGATTGACGCGTCCTGTGTAACGATCAAGCAACGCATATGAATCATAGCTGAAGGAGGGGCGGGAGCTGAGGACGAGGAAGGTGGAGCAGACATTGAAGTTGATTTTACGGCCTCTTCAGAGCGAGTGCGGGACTCGTCGTGTCGATTGTCGGATGAAGTTTCCTTAGGAGAAGGAGTAGACGCAGTAGTATCTACTACGGATGCGGGAGTTTCCGTCATGTTCACATCGCGAGTCATAGACGTAGCGGTTGTTGAACCAGAACCCTGGTGTTTGTCAACTCGTGAGTCATCCGCGTGAGCCGTAGCGCCTGTGTTAGCACGCTTATGATGCTTCTTCTCGTCAGAGTCAGAAGGAGAGCGCGACCTCTTGCGATTGTAGTCTGCTTCTGCCATTTTCGAAATTCAGCTCAAAAATCTTTTCTGGTTAGGAGGACGGGATTCTGGAGTGATGGGCTTGATAGTGTGGTATCGTATGGTAGTGTGGTTTGAAATGTCTGATGGGGGACGAGTGGATGTGGTGAGGAAGACGGATTGCGAGTTGGATACGGATTGAATAGTACTGAAATTGACTTACCTCCTTTACAAAATTTATACAACGAAATAACCGTTGTTTAATTGAAACCAGTAGCCGGGTCTCCTGTAGCGCAAATAGTTTCTACAACACAAGAGACGACAGTCTAGTATACGTTGGCTTGGGTTTCTTCAGAGACAAACACACCAATACATCACAGCCACAACAACACCCAACTTTTCTGCTACTAATGTTGACCATCCTTGACAACTTTTTTTGACCAAGGATCAATCCAACGTGAGGTCACTTATTCATAATGGCTGAAGCACGCGGAAAAGCATGGCCTCTTGCAGATGAAGGTCTAACTAACTCCGTAAGTTTTTTTCAAGAGCTCATCACTAACGACTAACATCATGGTATTGTAGATCTTGGACTTGGTCCAACAAGCTGGTCAGTACAAACAACTAAAAAAAGGTGCCAATGAAGGTGAGCAACGTTCAACCCCTTTTCCGTTCCCTGTATTTGATGTTCATCTCCACAGCAACTAAGACGCTTAACCGTGGTGTGGCGGAGTTCATCGTCCTTACCGCGGATACCGAGCCCCTCGAAATTCTTTTGCACCTTCCCCTTCTTTGCGAGGAAAAGGTATGTTCTTTCTCAAGCTATTTACGCCGTTGACTGCTAACTGCTGACTATACAGAATGTCCCATACGTGTTCATTCCTTCCAAGGCAGCCCTTGGACGTGCATGCAATGTGTCCAGGCCTGTCATCGCTGCCAGTGTTACGACTAGCGAGGCTAGGGAGCTGCAAAGCCAGATCCGCAATGTCAAGATTGCGATCGAAAAGTTGATGTTCTGATGTTCTCACTGCGGAGCAAAACAGATAACCGCTGATACTACGGTTGTTACATTATTCTTAGTATATCTCCTGTATGATATGTAGCAACTAGATGTCGGACGGGTATCTTTCAAAGGCCACCTTTTCTGATTTTCCAGTAAAATGACGCGCGCTTATGCATTACTTCATCTTTTCCAGGAAGATTTGGCATGAACTAGATTTGAACGACGATTCGACGGACACTAGGCTCGTAGCCTGGGCCTGGATGGTAGTGTTCGACCATTCCGAATCTGATATCTACAGTTCACGGTAATTGATCCGCGACCTAAATGCAGTATCGAGCGCAGAGGATCTAGAGTGACTTAGGCTAGTCAGGACTAGCCGCCAGACCTAAAACGTTCCGCATGATCACAGCTTCGTACAATTGCTATAGGTATCGATTCGGTGTTTCAACTTTCCTGTACAAAGTCATCGGTTTGCCAAAATCTGTTCTCTCCCTCAATAGTTCGACACGACGATCATTTAATCCTACACGGACACTGCCAACTATACAGGAGGGAGATGACTTCGGCGAGTGCTCACTTAGATCCATATATATCTCGTACCACTAGTAGCGAGCTGGACGAGTTCCTTCGAACACCAACTGTGCATGAAGACCAAGGATCCATTTGCATGCTGGCAAAACGACTGCCGTACTCGACGTTGCATCGAATGGCACTAGGCTATCTCTCTGTCCAAGGTTTGCCACCCTCGAAGCCTCTTCCAATGAATTAGTACTTATTATCTCAACTGCGGTTGAACGTGTCTTCTCGCAGGGCGGGCAGCCTCTTGACTTTACTCGCAATCGACTTGCACCATAAACAATTCTTGACTTTCTCAGCCTCAGAGCCTGGGGAAGAGGTGTTCTTCTGGAGAAGGAGGACCTTCTAGCATCTGTAAGGAATCAAAAGCGAGAGCGAAACGAAGTTAACGATGAGGAGGGCAAGGAAGAGTAGTAATATTTATTTGATTATACGGTGTTGGCGGGTGCATATTCATGCGGGTACGGTGTCAACTTTCCGATCCTGGGTGTTACCCGTGCGGCACACTAAGAGGGAGATTCTGACGCCTTCGGAATAACCCCATGCTGCTCAAGGAGCGTTTCCAACTCTCCAGATTGAAACACTTTGAATGGTTTGAGTTAGAAATATATCCAGCAATGCGACCCCGACTTACTGCTTAGAGCAATGTCGCTCCCACCTACAAATTCCCCGTTCACATACAGTTGTGGGATGGTTGGCCATTCCCTGCAAGAGAAGTACCTGAGGCTTGGTGACAATGTCAAATGAAGCATGACTCACGAGAATTCTTTAATTCCGGTCCTGAGCTCTAGATCCTCGAGGACATTATATGTCTTGAACTTTTCAGGTGGAATGTCAAAAGCACTGAGGATCTTCACGACCCCTCGTGAAAAACCGCACATAGGCTGCTCTGGGTTGCCCTTCATAAATAGTACCACAGGGTATTCGGTTACTGCAGCCTGTATTTTCGTGCGAGACTCCTGAGATAGAAATCGACGGAACGTTTGCGACCTTAGACAGCTGGAAACAGTGCTCCTGTAGAGCGAAAGCTGACGAGATGGTTAATATACACCAAATATAAGCACGCCTGATGAAAAGACATACAGATACAGATGTCCGAAGTGCGTTTTGGAACATTGTGAGCGATATTACTTTCCTACAAGACTACGCTTGGCTCGACGTGCAAAACAAGTTGGAAGCTCCGCCATGTGTGACTAAGCACCGAAAATGGTCGTTCATAGAGTAAATCGTGCAAGTCGACATCTCAACATCCTTTCAGAAAATCATAAAAATCGAGAGTTACTTAATTACATGCATTGCGCTTGCTACTTTCCGTAATCATCTGAAATACAGCGCTCATGCAAAGTACGCCATGAATAATATCAATGAGCAACAGTGCCGTTGTAAATAATACACCCATCATCACTCTCAGCTTCACAACCTCGACCTGGGAAAGTTGTGTCACTCAAAGCATGTGCATGCAGCTCTTGGACCACCGGCGATTTCATGAGACCAGAGGAACGGTAGCATCATGAGTAGTCCCCACACAAATCGCTAGGTTGAGGTCGGAAGTGGCTTCCAAGTCGCTATCATTGGACAACAATTACACAAGTTTGATGGTTTCTACTACATCCAGAGCTCTATATCTCGGTATTTCTGTGAGTGGTTTGCGGCTCAATGTCGCAACCTCTTCTATGTACTTGGCCCACCATCTTTTCCCTGCATCCATGACTGAGCATCTGCTCCGTTCACCGAGCACGAAAAACTACACAGGTAACATTATACCATGCAAGGGATAAGCACAAGGACGTGACTTACAGTGAAATCCGAGAGCCTAAGTTTCATGGACTCATCGCCGCAACCTCTTCTATGAATTTGGTCCACCGTCTTTCCCATGCATCCATGGCCTTGCGCTTGCTCCGTTCATCGAGCATAGAATACTACCCAGGGTACATTACATAATCCAAGAGACGAGGACAAGGATAGGACTCACAGTAATGCTGTCACGGGCCATCTGGCCGAGAGTAAGGAGTCCCGTAACTTCACTTGCCACTAGCACCTTGAAGTAAGTGATGAGTCTTGTTCTACTAAGGGACAAACAAGAAAGAGGCCACCTGGAAGAAATCAAAGGACAACCCCATACTATTGAACATTGCAGGATCGTCTGAAGACAGTACCACCGGAATGCCTTGGTTCATAATTATCGGGAGGGGGTGCATAGGCATCGATGAGGTAAGACGCTATCATTTGTTGAGTCAACATAGGTTCGGAGGCAGTATATAACAAATCCTACCAGCACTTCATTTCTATTGGAACATTAAGATAAGCTGGAGGCATCTACTTACACGACTCACTCACGATATAGGGCAGACTTCAATTGCTATCTTCTTCTCTCGACAAATTTGCATCAATTTGGGATGCTTGGCTAGTGAAAAGCTATACAACATGAGTTAGCGAGCGCTTTATGCCATACAATGCACCTAACCCGTGTCCGATACGCTTTGTTCCAAGCAGAATAGCATCATACAGGTTCATATCCGCTGCAGACCCATCGCCCAGAGTTTCACCAGCATGAAAAATGAATGGGATGTCCGGATGCTGCTCCGCGAAACGCAGAAGCGGCTCTGCGTAATAAATCAGTGGTTTACACTCCTCCCCATCTTCGTGGCCCACGAGATCAAATCCTGTAAGATAGAACACTCAGATCTGGGTCTGTTGACATCAAACATAACCGCGGACTTGCCAGCAATAAGGTCCGGGAATTCCTGCTTAAATCTGCTGCACCGATCTAGCTCTGCTTCCAGTTCCTCGACAGATATAATTCTCAGGGTATTATAGATAATCTAAGAAAAATATCAGTCTGAGCTCGAGTAGCTTCAATCGAAATCAAACTAACCTTCAACCCGGCGAAATCGTCTTCCCGGCCTTTCGCCTTCATTTCCGCTTTCACTTCGTTTATGACCTCTCGAAATATCAAGAGTAGTTCACGTAGTTCAAGTTTGGTCTTTGCATCCTCTGCAAGTATATATCTGACGAAATGTCAGGCATCTCAAGCGTAGCCACGTCTTTCCGACTCACTTGTTGAAGAAACTAGTCCGTATCTCAATATACGAGATGCCATCATCTATCGACGAGCGAATGCACATCCGCAAGTATTCCTTTTGAATCGGCACAAATCGGATGATGGGCTAAGGTTCATGAGTACAGGCTCACATCTTGACTTCCAGCACGCTACATGCTTACATCGGTCACGGCAAACGTACTCCCAAACTTCAGCCAGATCTGCGAGTCCCTCGCATTAACGACGTGTTCAGCAGGTCGCATGTTAATATGGAACTCACTTTCATCGGCGTATTGTACGTCTTAAACGCATCACTGGGATTGATCACAAAGGCGCTAAGTACCCACTTATCAAATCCGGCAGGGCCGCCTAGTGCAGGATCGAAGAGCTCTCGCGCCTTGTTGATAGGAACCCAACCGCCGGTATATAGAAGATCCGTGATACCAATTGCGTCGGCGGGAGGATACTGTTCCACGGGAATCGGCTGGATCTTGGGCAATACAGTTTCGAGAGAAGCCGCGTCTAACGGACCCGGGACACGGATATGTATCGCGGGATGACCTAGTGCCAGATCAAGCACCGCTCTGGCCTCCACCGAGGCGTTCTGGTGCACATGTAACAGCCCACCCTTTGGCATCTACGGAAAACCGCGGTCGAGATGGTAGGTGACGGGAAGTACAGTGATTTGGTATGCTTACTTTGGAGACTATTTTGCTAAAAAGATCTGTCTTTACAATAATTTCTTTGGCTGTACGCGAATGTGAGAGGAAGTGCTAAGCGCGAGTCAAGCCTCTTACCATTCAGGAACTCCATCCCGGGATATGGGTGAGGGATGTCCTCGTGATCAACTCCCCAAACAGATACAGCTTCTTTAGCACGGATGGAGCGCACGACTTTGTCTGCCTTGATCTCGGCCGCTGAATAGTTGGCACGAACATGGTCTATTCGCAGCGCGCGATCCTCTGCGATAAGTTTCTCACGTCTTTGTAAGTAGTCGGCGAGCATCGGCGAGGGCACTAGTGAAGAGTGGGAGAATGGTGGATTCCATGAATTCGATAGTGTTATAAACGATTCCCATTGCGGCTCCAATGGCAAGCGTTCGCTTGCACACATTCGCATAGCCCTAGATTGCTGTTTGAACCGCTGTGGAGACGGGCAGGCCTGTTGAAAATAAACGTCATTTGATAACAAAAGAATGGGGGCTATACCTATTAGTGTCAAGGAGTCTACGCGAAAAACCTGAGCAATCCAGTAGACCGGGACACATGGAAGAACAACATAAACCAACCAAAATTGTATCCAGTACCGGACTAATTGGTGCTCCGTGCGCTTGCCAGAACCTGTAGTGCCGGAACGAAGTAGATAGTCCTCCGCACTGCACATATGCATAAGCGCTTAAGCGATAGGCAGGCAGTGCCGTGTCACTGCCACGACTCACGAGTCAGTTAGGTAAGGCCTTGAAGCTCAAATTTCCTCAATAACTTTGCATCATGATCAAATGACTCATGCGGCGACATACAGTGAGGAATTGGGTCAGTGGCGATCAAACGCTCAGCTCATCCATGCAGATACGCAAGCATCCGATAACAAGCCATTGAGGCCAGTAATGTGATATACCGGCCCAAACTTGCAGGCCGCCTCCGGACTCCGAAATAGAAGCCTAGCGACGTCCGGGCTTTCTGTGCGGAAGCTCCCAAGCTCCAGTACTTACATATGACAATTTAGCAATGCGATCGCGTGCAATCCAAATTGCAGTGATGGAAGCCAAATAAGAGTGCGGTTGTTGAAGCTACTGTACAGCAAACTTGGACTAAGTAGCAGCGGCCACCAGCCAGTCTCCGACTTTGGCTGTCCGTCTGTTACCATATAAGTACATTCCTCAGTTTAGTCGGCTCAAGTCTAGCAGTCAAGCCTCAATGCAGAAGTGTTCGCGTTCTGCCCTACGCTGATGCTGATCTTACGCCGTGTTTTCTTCGTGGAAGAGTACCTACAGTGATCCAGCTGTGCAGTGTGAACCGAGAGCACGCTACTTATAAGTTATCATCGCCCCGTCATGTCTCACTTCGAGAACAAACAAGTCAGAAAATCTGTGAGAAATTCAAGGCTAGTCGTGGGAGTCGGGGACCATAGAATTCAGCGCTTTCAGTGTTCCGGAATACGCTTAGAGCTAATGCATCCTCCACGCTATAATTTACATTGAATCATTGATCAGTTGAGGGTGGACGGTCGTCATCAGTTTTCAATTTCCACGAATTTATCGAAACAATTGTAACTTACTAGCTACGCTTCTACTTGAAACCATTGTAGTCCAAGCCTCCAGTAAGGTCTGCACGAAGAAGCCACCGAGTAAAATCTCTCGGGTACAACGTCACTGCGAATGACTTAGTCAACTCTTCCATCTCAGATGAACACTCGTGGGATATCCCTCTCCATGAGATTCTTGATGTAACAGGTGCCCATCGTCATTCGGGGTTCGTCTTTGGGTGTAATTGTCGCAACTAGTGGGCGCGTTTCATTATTGCTTATCGCGAACAAAACCAGAAGGTGCTCCAGTCCATTTCATTACACCGACATTCGCTAAATTTTGATCCACATGAGTGAAAGCAATAAATATCAAACCACGACTCACCTGGCCGTCTCTCCCATCCTCGTGCTTTTGCTTTAGCAGACGCCAACCGACCTTTAATAGCAAGACTTTGATCGATAAATTTGCGTATTTTTTGTGATGGGATGGTGTGAGCTGTCGAACGAACTTTCGACCCAAGTGAATCGGGTAGGGTACGGATAGTACGAGTTCTGTAATTATGGACTGGTCAGAAAGCTCACAGCACAATGTCCAAGATGCGCACCCGACAAAAAGGTCTTTGGCACGCGCGAGTGGCCGCCGTTGCCGTTTTCTTGATGGTTGCACTCTTTGTAGTGACTTGGTTGTAGTAGTATCTGCCATTGCATGCGCACTTTGCGAAGCAAATGCAGATGCGAAAAGTGTATCTTCCAGATATTGTCCTTCGGCCGATAACTTCGTTAACGCAGGCCGGTCTTCGTCCTCTGATTCGTCCTCACTGCCGCTCGCCATCTCCTCATCCTCTTCTGATCCGCTTTCAGCATCGAACTCTGCCATCTCTTCATCTATTCCACTTTCGCTTGATCCTCCGTCCATCAGATTTTCTAGCTCACCGTCGCCATTCCCATCACCTCCGTCATCCATTTCAGTAGCAGCGTCCTCCATTTCAGTAGCAGCGTCCTCCATTGCGCGGCGCATTCGCATCTCCAACCTGTTATCCTTAGGAATATCATCCTCCTGACCGGAGGACCCGTCACTTTCGATATTAGATTCCCTTGGAACTTTCCGCTTTCCCTTCTGCATTGTATTATCTGAAAGCTTCCCCAGACGCGTAACAACCGCCCGCTCCTTCAATTTCCGATCTCTTTCCCGGTTTTGTGCCTTCTTCCTCGCGTTTTCTTCTGCCTCAAAGTCACGAAGGGTTTTCTTCTCCCGCTTGGCATTCCGTTTGGAAATAGAGTGAGAAACTGCTTCCGGAGCATCATCATCGCTTGAAACGGGATCAAGATGGGCCATATTGCAGCTATGGGGTCAATTTTTCTACTGACAGTGAGTAGTTTTGAATGTGCACAAAACTTTTGAAACTCCGCGATATTGTTTGTGCACCTAATAACTTTGACAGTCTGACTTGGACTGCGGTAGCTAAGTACCCGCTGCGTACAGCTGCACGCAACCTGGGCGAAATTCAGGAAATAATATTGCGTACATCTTCCATCATTATTCCTATTGTTGAAAATTTGATGCTGCTGGAAGATAATAGGCCTGGATTATAGAAGAATGAACATTGAAAACTGCGCACCACCTCAACCGTTATCAAATTTACCGATCAGTTTCAAGTTGAAGGGAATCAAACCGGATAATGCCTTGACGAAAGATCTAGCGCCCAGTATAACTAAGATTACGAAGGTCCTTAGCCCTTTGTCGGAATGCTGTCTACAAGGAAAGCCGTTTGGCTTTTTCTTGCCTTTGAACGGGTTCTGACTGCACAGATACCTCTGCCGAGCCATCCGCCTTTATCCTTTTGCCCGGGGCTCGAAACTGATCTTGGACAGTGGGACCTTGATGAAGGACCTGCGGTGAATGTGACAGGACATCTAGTGTTCGAAACGGTCAATTCTCTGCTTCAACTCTGGCCAAATACACGTCATCGTGTTGGTATGTCTGAAAATACTGAACACCATGCAGATGAGTCATGATTTATCGATTATTATTTATGTCCTGCAGGTCATACAATAGTCCCAGAAATCATCCCCGTGGGCACTCTTCTCTACCATGGAGCCGCCGGTCCCCATTTACCGACTGCGTGGCTGTAGAGCTAGACCACTCCATACTATTCTGCCAAGGGTCAATCGAAAAAGGATGCTGGCACCTCGTCCTTACAGTTACTCGGCCAATGAAAGTGCTCTATTTTGCTGGAAGCAGCGGTGCGAAACTCCTTGAGGGCACCATGGACACCCAAGATCTCGTGGCATGGTCGGGAATGAAACCTGAGTGGGTGAAAAATGAAGAGCAGCGCATAAAGGATCTATGCAAATGGGGTCAGAAATATGGGGTGAATGGCTTTGTGAGGTTCGTTGGATGTGAAGACGCGTCAATGCCGACGCTGATTTGCGAATTATAGGATGCAAGTGAATTTGTGCGAACTCGTATGTAGCTCCTTGGCAATTTTTTGTTAACAACAGTCATAGTGAGATTATGGTCTGCAACTTCACCTCTCACATGGAGGTCGCTTCATTCTTAAATCTCGAAAGCACTCGCCTCAGCGGCGGCACAAATCCGGAGCTGCCTGAGGACACCAATACTAGTAGTGCATCGCGCTGTGGAAGTAACGCATTCTTCTTCATGGCACGATCATTATCCAGGAGAAACCCGAATTATGCTTGATTTTTCTGGGCTCGTCTCTTTCTACGATACCGCTCTTGTTCCCTCCTTAGTGCCGTGCCGTGTAGGCTTGAAGTGGTGGGATCATCAAATAGGAGGAATATCATCGGAGGATATAGAACGTGTCCAAGACAGGCTATCTCAAGCGTTAGCACGACCACCTGTGACAACCAGCGGCATTGACTGGAAAACGGTCTTGCGGGTGGTTGATCGATATGCCAGCCGCCTAGAGTTTATGCACCACCTTTTGAACCTGACGTTGGACGATGGGTCAATCTTTAACCACGCACAACAAATTCAGAGACAACTGCGCACCGTGCTTCTGCCCTACATTGTGTTTGCAGCTCTACCTCCCGATAACTCCGTCACTGCCAACGCGACAAATTCGTGGGCTGTGCCAGTTTTTCGGGAATGTGCTACACGGCCTCCATAGTGTCTCATGGAATGACACTGATGCCCTCCGAACGCTTGCTCCTGCAGGCGGTCCAGGAAACTACGCATGAAATATACCGCGTCGCCACGAAGATGTGGGCATCTGGAATGATTCTTGGAGTCGACCCCCTTTATCCTCCGGAACTACGCCCTGAAGCTGATCACATACGCACTCTCATGGGTCAATGGAAGGAGGATGTGACACAGTTGCTCTCCTGGTTAGACTGGAGCGTGTGGGTGAAGTGCCGACCGGCCTGTGGTTTCGAGGCAACAACGTCAAGTTACTTGTTCGCGAAATGACCGACCTCGTCGTGTAGGAGATGTGCTACTTGCCTACTTGGCTCATAGGGTTTTTCCCGACTCCCGGCGCACCACCTCAAGCTCAATGGGACAATACTTCCTTATGGCCGGACCCAAATAATGGGGAATGGAGGAGACCACAGCCGAAGTGCATCAGACGGCTGGAGCCATATGGTTTTTAGGATACGCGACTCGCATGCACTATTGCTAACATATAGATGTCCTTTGTACGTAGTCTGACTTGTAAGATTATTGCACTAGTGTTTAAGCGCGCGACGTATGTACTTTGAAGAAGTTTATGGTTTGAAATGTTTTGACGTGTTGGCTCTTAGTCCTGGTCAGCCAAACCTGAAGGACTCGAGATTAATATCCATATATATACAAGGCTTTGCGCAGTCGAGGGTTTTCATTTACCGTCTATGACCTAGTCCGGGGAAACAAAATAGCTGATCTTTGTGGGCAATCGCGACATTTATTTGGTTAGAGAAACTTGGGGAATGAGAAGACAAGGTGACTTTGGAAAGAAGGATTGGCTTTTTGGCGTGTTCCCCTCCCTTGCATTAGAAATGGGATAGATATCTATTGAGTGCATTGAACGATCTTATGGCAACACACGTAAAATGACTTGCGTCCTCAGTACTCAGTGGTCATAACCAGGAGTTTTATGATAGAGAAACCAATATTGTAATGACAGCACAACGCCGGTGTATCATATATGTACTGTACACACATATAACGGGTATCACCGTGGGGTAATGTGGGGTGTACATGAACCAAACGATTCGGAAACAACGACGCATCTGTGAACCCAGGCTTGTGGCTCACCCCCCAAAGTACTAAAGATCGTCCACATCGACGACTTCTTCTCTCCTCTCCTCATGTTCGTCAGCTGCACTTTCCGTCCTCTCACTCTCAAAGGCAGTCTCCATCTGGCGCGTCAAACTCCCCAAAAATAGAGCAGCCTGTTTATGCGGGAATGTGAACCCGCTCGCTAGGAAGCCAAGACGTTCCTTGAAATTATCGCTCAATTTTTCAAGCTCGAGAGGGGTATACTTGACGCGCCGGTCCATTTCCGGGTCTTCAGAATCTGACACCTCGGTGTAGGCACGAAGGGAGAAGGATATTGCTGATTTTCGGGGATCAATTACGTAGGCACGCATGGCAGGAGGGAGAAAAGGGGAACAAACTTACACTTCTCCACATTCTCCAATGCGTCGGTCTCATCCTTCACTGTTGCAACATACGTATACACACACGTGTGCAAGATGTCGTCTTCCGCACCATTGCGCGGCTCCCATTTGACGTTCAAGACCAAGAGGTTTGAAAAATCCTCATAGAATCGGATGGTTGCAGCGTGTTTTGGGTCTGCATCAGTGGAGGAGGTCTTGGTGTGGGGGTGTGGTTGTCGCGCAAGAAGCTGCTTTGAGCGGGCAATCTCGGCATCAAGTTCGACGCGGATATCTTTCACTGTACATAAGCAAACGATTCAGCATCACTACGGGAAGAATTTACCAGATCCAGCAATAAAGACGTACCACTCTGCTCAAGCTCGGCAATTTGCCGTTCGCGCTCCCCGATAACTGCATCTTTAGCTGCGAGTTCGTTCTGCATGTGTGCGAGCTTATCGTGCAACATGCGCTGTTCAGCATCAGCTGTAGCACGAGTGAGGAAGTGAGGAATGGCTAAAGAGCTCGAATTGAGGGGTGGGTGTGTCGACCTGGACGGAAGGTTGGGCTCAGGTTCAGACTCGGATATCCGGAAGAAGGGCGACTGGGAGGCAAGTTGTGTTTGAAGGGTTGATATGATGGATTGTTGTGCTGAAGAGATAATGATAGTGCAGGGAGAGGCGCAGGACTTAGTTTAGCTAGAATGCCGTCAAGTTGGTGGCGCTCACTTTTTGAACGACTATCATATAGAGCCGTAAGGTCATCAAGAGCTTGTTCAGCATCTGTCTTTCGGACCTGGAAAAGTTCCTCGAGTTGCTGCGAAAGCTTGTCACGCTGATGTTCCAACTAGTGGTATCAATGAGCGTCACTCATCCAAACGATGAAGGGTACGAAACATACATATTTTGCCTTTGCTTTCCACCTTTCAAGCTCCTTGTGGATACGTGGGCTCAGGGGTATTTTATCAGGCTCATGCTCTGGTTCACTATGATTCGAGAGGTCTTCGGCGATGGGAGCTGGAAAGGGAAGTTTCTTGGCAGCAGGCTTGACGGGTTTTGGTTTGGCGTGAGTGTCTTTTGACTTTGCTTGACTCTCTGGTGCTTTCCCCTTTGCCTGACTTTCTTGCTTAGACTTTGACTGGCTATCTGGGGCTTTCCCATTAGGGCGACTTTCGGATGCCTTGCCTTGCCCCTTCTTTCTCTGTGGACGGACCGTACTCGCAAGTGGATTAGGTGGCGGATCGATGAGCTCGATATCGTCTGAAGAGGAAGGGAGGGAGTGGGAAGATTCTGCTATTAGTTGGCGATTATTTGATTGCTTAGACGTTGACGGCTGTGGGGACACGGTGCGCTGCTTCTTACGAGGTTTTGGACGCGTCGTAGTCTTCCATGCGTCTGTGTTCACGTGCGCTCATCAGTTGAGTTGAACTAGTATACGAAGGTCAAATTTACCCATTTCATCGCCTGAAGACATTATGATGGCGAGCAGATAGAATGTGGTTGAGTGGCTACAGCGTCGTCGAGGATTTGATTGCAGAATCACTTTGTGCAAGTCTCGATTCTTGAGCATTGTCAACTCACGTGATCCATTATCGCTCACATGACTCAAATGCTACTTTGCAACCGCAGTACTAAAGTACTTACATGTTGAACGCTGATCGATCGGTTGTGATGACTCTCCTCGACGAGTACTACCACAAACGAACCCAGCTTATTGCAAATGATCGAGCCCTTCGCATTGATGTGGTCAATGGAGATCGTTTCTCTGAAAAATCGCGACAAGCAGACGGGATCCTACGCCGCATCCGCGAGGAGGAGGCAAAGTCGATTTGGGCAATAGAACACGAGGAGGTCCCTCATCCGTTCCCCGGAATGGAGTTCCTCACGGGTATATTCAAGCTCCCAAAGCATAGAGTGTTAGTTGATATCTTATTACGTAGGAAAGGATATCATCCTCAAGACCCAGCTCTTCAATATCATCACCAAGGTTGGTCCACTTAGAAGTCTCAGTCACAGCCAGTTGCATAATTTTTGTGACGTGTCAAATTACAAAGATGCCAAAAGGCGCACTGTTGCACGTACATCTTGATCTCACCGTCAATGGCAATACCTTGCTGGCGCTCGCTTTACAGCACACCTCAATCCATATCCGCGCATCAGCACGAGTCACACCTGGCTCCATCAAATCGGTCGAAATCGAATTTCGTCCTCTCCCACCCAGCTTCGTTCCACAGTGCATCTCGCTGTGTCTACCCACCTACAGACCAGGACAGTGGGTACCCCTTCGCCGTGCGCGTGAGCAGTTCGATGCTGCCCTGGGTGGCACACAAGGCTTTGACTGCTGGGTCGCACGCTGCCTCACAATCAACCCAAGCGATGCATATGTCACGCATAATAATAACATTAGGGTGTGCCACTTTGTATCTTACCAGGCAAAAGAATGCATTCATAATCTTCGCAAAGATATGGGACAGATTCCGTGCAGCTGCTATCCTCACAAGTGTGAGTACCACCCATATTTAGGTGTTGGTAGATACCATACTCATCGAGGTGCACAGAACTTGGTGTACTTTGCCCCAATTTGGCGCACATATATCCGGCAGTTCCTCGAAGAAACCATTGCAGATGGCGTATCTTATGTAGAGGCGCGTATCAACTTCAGCCCAAAGTGAGGCTTGCTCTGTTATGCTTTTCATTTTTGATTGGCATACTGGTAGGTACATGGTTGGTCCCGACGGGGAGGAAAATGTCCCACACAAAGAGTGGCTGAGCATGTTCCAGGACGTCTTGGTTGAATTCAATGAGAGCCTACGAGCACAAGGAAGAGATGATGAATTTATCGGTGCTAAGGTATTTGTTATCCTTCGACTCGAGTCTCAAGCCTATAAAACAATAGATTATATATTCTGTGATCCGGGACTGCGAGCCTGAGGAATTGGAGTGGTATCTCCACGACTGTATAGAGATGAAAAAGCTTTTCCCTGATATCATCGCCGGTGTGTTTTAGATGTTTTAATTTTCTTTCGCTTCATAACAACACCAACAATGAACTGCTCCAGGTTTTGACCTTGTCGGGGACGAAAATATTCTACGCCCACTCAAAGACTACCTCCCGCAGCTTCTCTCCTTCAGCACCCTGCAAACCTCTCAAGGACTCCCAGAATACCATCATATCCCGTTCATATTGCATGCGGGTGAAACCACCGGTGACGGGTCCATAGCAGATGACAATCTATACGACGCACTGTTGTTAGGGACGAAGCGGATCGGACACGGGTTCTCACTTGTGAAACACCCAAAGCTGATGTCGATGTGCAGGGAACGCGGTATAGCATTAGAGGTCTGCCCAATTTCAAATGAGATCTTGGTGCGTTAGCCTCCCTCCCTTCCACCTCATCCTATCCGGGCACTGATTACGTGGGGAACGAGTAGAGATTGACGGCATCGATGCCGATGCATCCTCTCCCAATTTTGATCAACCATGGTGTACCAGTGGCACTAAGCTCAGATGACCCATCGCTGTTCCAGAACATGGGTTTGAGCTTTGACTTTTTCCAGGTTTGCCCCATTGTCACGCCCCCCTCTCATCGTCACTCAAACATACGCAACTACAGGTCCTTGCAGCAAGCGAAGTTACTGGCCTGCTCACGCTGGGGCACATCGCACGGGACAGCATCCAGGTACACATCTCTCTATCACTGTTCCGCTTCAGGCAAAAACTGAATGTGTTCGGGCGCAGTACTCTATGCTCACTGCCGATGAAAAGGCGCGTGCGACGCTGAAATGGGAGGAACGCTGGGAGCGTTTCGTGGATGAGATCGTCGAATTTGACAGGGTGCGACGGAACTAATTTATAACCACATCTTGGATACCTTACACCTTGGAATGGATGATACTACGTAACCAAGGCTGCAGTTCATGCCTTCACTGATGTTCTGACCATGGAATGCAAGCCCTTCAGCGTCAAAGTGATGTCGGTAGCATCAGGTCAAGTTCGGTCAAGCATCACTGCTAACCAAGGCAGCCACCTTGGAACTATCCTCCACGTCCGTCGACGAGCCTCACTTTTATGGGATGCATAACCGCATACGTGGCATTCAAGCCAAAGGGAACATGCTAGCGACGAATTTGCACACCGTGTGGTTGCAGAAGTACTGAGTCCGGACCCTCCAGGTTATATATTGCTTGGAGTCAAGTCAGGTCTTTTCAAATTCCTCTGCTGGTTCCCTCGTTAGCTTGTCCCCTGGATTTTTGGATCGCGGATGGTGTGGAGGAAGACTGGGCTATCTGTGTAGTCACCGCGTACTACCATGGAAAGGTGACATGATGGGTCAGACCGTGATTATGAGGACACGTTCTGTAAGATAACACCTGAGAACCATTGACGTGTCGATCATTTGGTTACATCCCCTTTCGACTCGCCCTCGGTATCAGATGTCTGTGTAAGGATCACGGAGTTCTGATTCATCGACTTATATATACAGGTCGGGTGGAGTGACTGGAGCCATCAGATATGAAGAAGCGGCTTACATTTTTTTTAATTAGGTCTGGCTAGTGAGACTACTTCGTCTAGGAATCATGTCTGGAAAAGTCGTTTTAGTAACTGGCTGTTCAAAAGGCGGTATCGGTTTTTATCTGTATGTCCTTCGTTTCCAAAGAGTTCGGGCACTCTAACTCATAATAACAGATGCGAGCGCTTTTCTGAACAGGGATGTACCGTGTATGCCACATCCCGCAGGCTGGAGACGATGAACGGCTTCAAGTATCCGGTAGAAAAACGCGTCATGGATGTAACCAGCGATGACGATGTCAAACTCGTCGTACAATCTATCCTGGAAGAGCAGGGGAAGATCGATATCGTCGTGAACAATGCTGGTGCTATTTCAATCGGTTTGTCAAGTTGACTCGAGCCATGAACCGATTGTCATATTCAATTTCTCGTAGGACCGTTGCTTGATGTGTTCTTGGATCAGGCTAGAAAAACCTTTGAGACCAACACGTACTCTATCTTGCGGGTTGCACAGGCAGTTGCACCTTCCATGGTGGAACGCAAGCAAGGGCTTATCGTCAACATTGGATCACTTGTAGGAAACATGTGAGCACGGTGCAATGGTGCAATCTTTCAGCTGACCTTGTCTGACTCTGAATAGCGCTACCCCGTGGAATGGATTATACTCTGCAGCCAAGGCGGCAGTTCGCGCGCTCAGTGATGTTCTGGCCATGGAATGCAAGCCCTTCGGTGTTAAAGTCATGTTGGTAGCACCAGGTCAAGTCAGGACAAATATCACTGCTAACCAGGCAGCCACCTTGGAATTATCCCCCACATCTATCTACAAGCCTTACTACTTCGATCGGGTGTACGAACGCCTGGATGGCAGTCAAGCCAAGGGGAGCATGGATGCCGATGAATTTGCACGCCGCGTAGTTGCAAAAGTACTGAGTCCCAGCCCTCCAAGTTACATGGCACTGGGGGGTAAGTCCCGTCTTTTCGGATTCTTCCAGTGGCTACCTCATTGGCTTGCCCTCTGGATCGTGGGATCGATGATGGTGTGGAGGAAGCCTGAAAGAAAGAACCAATGAGCAGTTGCAGACCGCTCAGATGTCTATGATGAAGGGCTAAGGCATGTTCTATAGGATAATACAAATCATGTGACAACTGCTAGACTGCACCAGCTCTCTCTATTTCCCCCTTTTCTTCTTTTTTCTTCGGGACTCGCCCTCGGCATTACCAGCTTCTCTGATTTTTTTGTTCACGTGTCCGTTTACCGTAGATTCGAGACTAACTTCGTCACAAGTCCGCTTCTTGCTTCCCGCTGGTTGAGGTAGCGTTAGGGCAGGGTTCGGAGAAGATCGACTCGATTTTTCTGAGATATTTACGTTGTCGCGCTTCTCGCTATCTCCGGTCTGCTGGGTGGGAGCCACAGCCTGAATAGTTTCTGGAATCACCAACCTGGGTTCTGATAGGACTGCTCGATAGGTTTTGCGTGCCTCTATCGGGTTTCCGCGAGGAAGAGGGGATCAGACTGCTGAAGAATGTTTTTTTAACGGAGTGGCTTACGTGCCCGCAAGATGAGCGATTTGGGCGCAGCAACTGATGCATCATGAGCCAAATTTTGTGCCAGGTCCAGCAACGTGAGCCTAGAAGGAAGGTGGGTCAAAACATGAAAAAGTCTAACAACTGATATCGATAGACTCACAGATTTACGATATCCTTGGGTCCTCTGTAGTCTGCCTCAGAGGCAACTCCACCACTCACAATAATGCCTTTGCCCTTTGTCACCCGTACGACTTCTCGTGCAGCGGCCCACCAATTCCGTTTGCCACTTGCACCAGTATCACTTACACCAAAAGTTGATAAACTGGCGTCACTATCACCACCGATGGCTCCTGCGTAGTTGATTTCGAACACTGCGCCGTTCTTTAACGCAGTTCTGATTAACGTGTGCTTCAACTGAAAGGGCAGTCGGGGGAGCGTTAAAGGAAGAGCGACGATGTGTGCAGTGAGTGGCGAAGGAAGACTGTGTGTGAGGCAAGCAAGTGAAAATGTCGCGGGGGTCGTTGGCAGGAGAGCAATTACATCGTAGGGCTCGACAAGGGAGGCGTTTGCGTTCGTCTTGCATTCAAAAAGATTACGCTACTCATGACCACAGGAGGTAGGTACTTACCAAACCAAAGCCTTTCTCACTGTCATTATCGAGAACGATTGTAAGTCGCTTCAAGAATACCGTCCCTGGCCTCGCCCTCAGCTGTTGAAGGAGTCCATCCAGAATGTTGACATGAGTTTTCGGGTCTATTTTCTTGTTCACAGATTGATTAAACGCAATCACAGTGTATCCTACTGTGATGCGATTAGTCTTTGCTTTACACAGGGCGAAATAAACAGACAATGTTCAAGAAGGTCCAGACGAGCTTCGATTCCCTTTATCTGAGCAGGAGTGAAAGCTGTCTGGGAGGATTGCTGGGGTTGTTTGTTTTTATTCTTCTTTTGTTGAGAAGTGGATCCAGATGCAGTGACCGGGAAATTAAGGTCAAAGTGCATCGTGGTGCGGCTGGGAGTTGGTAAGTGTGCTAGACCGTCTGACGTCAGGAATAAAGTTCATGACCTAATCTAGGGTTACATTTTACATTTGAAAGTGCGAAGGACACGGGTTGTATATTATACGCGTACGGTACGGGACACTCAGGTGTTTCAAGGTTTGTTGGCGTTTCATGAACATCCCCTAATATTAGAACACCGCAAGTAGGGCGGAGATCAGAGTAAGGAAGAAACCAGAAGAGACCGCGGTCGTTGTACTCTCCGTGACCACTGACTCGCAAGTCGAATTCTGCCGTTACATACAATACCAGTCTATAAGACCACATTGCCCAGAGATAGTGTTGCCCGACCCACCATGGGGCTGAGATGTCTGCTTGGGGGTAAGGCGGAACGCGTTTGTTTCCGAGTTGTTACAGAGTTTTACGATGTACACACGGACTCGGGGACAGCCTCAGGTATGATCGGAAGATACCTCAATGTGGCAAGAAAGAGGACAAATAAATCTACCCAGTCACGTGATCGGTTACTTTATGATCTCGATCACGGCAGCATAGATCATGATAAAAGGGTAGCAGTGACTCGTTTCAGCTTCCTTTACCACAGACCATGGACGCTCTCAAAGCCGTATTCGAAGCTAAAAAAGCAGAGGTGAGCTGACTTTCTCTCAAATTTGTCCTTCAATTGAAGACTTGAGTAGGGGATTCCAGCATTGGTGACCTTCGTCACTGCTGGATACCCAAGAACACAAGACACTGTACCTATCTTGCTGGCCATGCAAGCTGGAGGTGCAGACATAATCGAACTCGGTGTGCCCTTCTCCGACCCCATCGCAGACGGCCCAGCTATTCAAGAGACCAACACTGTATGTTTGACTTTCGATGTGATTGCTTAAATACCGACGTGAGATAGGTTGCGCTTAAAAATGATATCGAATATGTCACTGTACTTGGAATGTTGCGAGAAGCGAGAAGCCAAGGACTGAAGGCGCCGGTCCTTCTTATGGGTATGCTGTACCAATCTCTGTACATACCTTTTTGACTGACTGTCGTCTCCACCAGGCTATTATAATCCAATGCTTGCGTATGGAGAGGACAAAGCAATCCAAGACGCTCGTGAAGCTGGTGCAAACGGATTTATTATGGTCGATCTTCCACCTGAAGAGGCCATCAACTTCCGTGACAAATGCGCAAAAGCAGAGTAAGTTAACCGAGATCCCATCAGTTTATACTGACCTGTTTCGTTTCTCAGCTTGTCATATGTTCCTCTCATCGCACCATCAACATCTATGCATCGCATCCAATTTCTCTCGTCCATTGCGGACTCTTTCATCTATGTAGTGTCAAAGGTATGCAAACCCGTTTAACGATAACTTGTGTGTATCTGACCATCATGAAGATGGGAACAACTGGCTCTTCTGTCCTAGGCAAGATGAATGCCGCTCTTCCGGACATCATCGCCCGTATCCGAGAATATACGGCTGTCCCACTGGCGGTCGGTTTCGGTGTTGCAACGCGCGCTCATTTTGACGTTGTCGCCGATGCTGGGGCGGATGGTGTTGTTGTTGGCAGCCGTCTCGTGACCATCATCAAGGAGGCACCTCTCGACTCGATACCTCAAACCGTTGAAAACTACTGCCTGGAGATTAGCCTAAAGGATAAACCTACTCGCACACGGTCGCTGCCGATTTCAAAAACTTCGACGCCTTCCAATGGTGCTCTGGAGCCACCCACAGTTGCCCTACTTCCCCCGCGTTTTGGTCAGTTCGGTGGACAGTACGTCCCAGAGGCGCTCTTCGATTGCTTAGTGGAACTCGAGGAAGCTCACAACTCAGCTATAAATGACCCTAAGTTTTGGGAGGAGTTTCAGAGCTATTATGGATACATGAATCGCCCGTCAAAGTTTTACTTTGCAGAAAGCTTGACGAAGCATGCTGGCGGCGCCCAGATTTGGTTGAAGCGTGAGGACCTGTGAGTCACCTGCCGAAAAGTACCTATGATGTACTAACAGACTATAGGAATCATACGGGTTCGCACAAAATCAACAACGCCATTGGACAGGTAGGATTGCATATCCCTACCTTACTTGTGTAGTGACATCTTGTCAGATATTACTTGCTCGTCGTATAGGCAAGACGCGCATCATCGCCGAGACCGGTGCTGGTCAACATGGTGTCGCAACTGCTACCGTGTGTGCACGATTCAACATGGAGTGTGTCATCTACATGGGTGCAGAAGATGTTCGTCGCCAAGCCTTGAATGTCTTCCGAATGAACATGCTTGGTGCCAAAGTTTGTTGTTTTGTCCAGTACTGTTCTACATATATTGACCTCCATCTAGGTTATACCCGTCGAGTCAGGTTCTCGTACTTTGAAGGATGCCGTCAATGAAGCCATGCGCGACTGGGTGACAAACCTTTCCACAACACACTATCTTGTCGGCTCCTGCATCGGTCCACACCCATTCCCAACGATCGTGCGCGACTTCCAAAAGGTGATTGGGCAAGAGATCAAAGCACAGCTGAAAGAAGCCAAGGGGAAACTCCCAGACGTCATCGTTGCATGCGTCGGTGGCGGGAGCAATGCCATTGGAACGTTTTATGACTTTATTCCCGACAAGAACGTGAGGCTGGTGGGTGTGGAGGCTGGTGGCGAAGGTTTGGATGGCGATCGGCACAGTGCAACCCTGACGAAAGGCAAGCCCGGTGTATTGCATGGTGTGAGAACATACATCCTGCAGTCGCAGGCTGGCCAGATTATCGAGACACACTCGGTCAGCGCGGGTCTTGATTACCCTGGTGTTGGCCCAGAGCATTCCTGGCTCAAGGACTCTGGCAGAGCAGAGTATGCCGTTGCAACAGACGAGCAGGCCCTCAGAGGATTCCGACTTTGCACCCAGTTAGAGGGGATCATTCCCGCTCTTGAGTCATCACATGCTATTTGGGAAGGTGTCCGTCTTGCCAAAACACTGTCAAAAGATACCGACCTTGTCATTGTACGTATCGAAAATTTTCTCCATTTACGCGGTGCTCATAGAGTATTATACAGTGTCTCTCGGGAAGAGGCGACAAGGATGTAGAACAGATATCGGAATTGCTCCCTGGAAAATGGGCTGAGAAGCTTGACTGGCACATTTGAGAAATCGGACTTGCTGAGGCTCTCACAAAGGATTAACAATGCGCGTGGTTGATAGCCATATGAATGAAGAACAATGGGGCGGTCATGTGGCTTCTTCCAAGTCGCGGTAGAATTATAGACGATGTACAAAACAATGTAGTACTCCGTGTAAGTAACAGCCTTTACGAATTGCTACTTACGGCAAGTATGACTCGACTTTGCAATATCAGTGTGACTGCATTGTGCAAGCCTTTTCTACTAGTGCATCCCAGTCCCAAATACCCGCACCGTTCGACCACAAAGAACGGAACTAGAAGCCATGGCTACTGATTCATCGAGTGTCGCAAACCAGCGAGTTGTTGAAACTCTTGCAGCTAGATTACGGAGACGGTGAGTTGAAACCCCCGATCATACCCCTACATCATATATCATGACAGACAAGTTGTAGGTTCCCGCGAAACTGCTCTCGAGACCGTCCTTGTCCTGAGACAGGTTATCTCAAAAGCACGGTTCTCTAATATCGACCAACTAGTCGAAATCATCCGATCCGTTGGACGAAAGCTCGTGGAAGCACAACCTAAAGGTTCCCCTTTATTTCTGTTCTACACCGTTTGACATCTCATCATTTTGTATCGTCGTCAGAACACACGGTCGGGAACACCGTGCGGAAAGTGCTACATCATATCCGGGAGGAATACCACACTGCTTCGAAAGGAACCGCGGTTGTCTCGACATCGAAGGATACCTTGTCGATCGCAAAGTTCGTGTTACAGGGACAACCCCGGAAACAGAATGTTCCACAAAAGACGACTCTGAATGAGTCGCACGACATGTTGAAGGAGAACGATGCGGATGATCCTGATGCATTTGCTCGAACGCTTAAACCCGTTCTTATGGAAGCCATCCAAGACGTCTTGGATGAGCTAGAAACAGTACATGACAATATCTCAAAAAATGCAAAGGATCATATACATTCCGAGTGAGTCTGCTGTGTTTCAAGGCCGTTTGATTTGTTGCTGAGTTCAGATAGCGAGATAATCCTGACCATCGGAAAGTCGAGGACCGTTGAAGCATTCCTCAAAGCTGCAGCGCCCTATCGGAAATATACTGTTATCGTTGCGGATACTGCACCATCGTTCGTACCTGGTATTTCTTGCTATGACCTCTGGCCCTCATCGTACAACAGATATGGCGGACATGATATGGCTCAATCTCTGTCATCCGCTGGCATTTCAACAGTTCTTGTTCCCGATTCATCCATCTACGCGCTCATGTCCAGGATCAACAAAGTCATGATTGGCGCACATGCAATACTAGCCAACGGTGGCATGTTTGCGATAACAGGATCTCTGCTTGTTGCCACGGCAGCCAGAGCGCATAGCACCCCGGTTGTCGTTTGTGCTGGACAATTTAAACTCACCCCGCAATGGAATTTGTATCACGAATATGGCGCGCTCGACTTCGCAGATCCAAGTAGTGTGCTAGGATTTGAAGAAGGCAACCTCGTCGATAAGGTTGACGTGGTCAACCCCTTTTATGATTACGTCCGACCAGAGTTGATTGACGCATTCATTACAAACGAGTGAGTAATTATTATATTCAAGTTTATTCTCTACTCAACGCACTACAGTGGAGATCATCCTCCATCATCGGTCTATCGCCTTATCAAGGAGGCATATGACGATGAGGATTACGAACTGTAGCAGAGTCATGTAGACCAAACATGCTGCAGACAGTGTATTTGCATCACCACTTGAGCATACCACTCGCCGTTTAGTTGCTCTTGGTGCTCAATATATCGAAAAAAGCATCTTGGGGGAGGTCAACGGATCCAATGCGCTTCATCTTTCGCTTGCTCTCCTTTTGATTTTCCAGATGTTTCATTTTGCGCTCGTAGTGGCCTATACGAGGAATTTCATGAGTGGAAGGGAATATCGGAAATCTGTTTATGCACGTACCTCCATAGAGCCCAGCAGTGACGTCTGCACGCATTGCTGATAAAGTCTCGCGAGCGATAATTTTCTTGCCGACCGCAGCCTGTATCGGAACTTCGAATAGCTGACGAGGGATCACTTTATCTGCGATAATTTTCAGCACCAAGTACGCCGCAAGGGAAACCATCATCACGCACGAAGCTTCTTGACCCACTTTCGGCCAACTTCGTGTTGAGCCGACCGATGGACTATAAGAGCGAGTGCGTCCACTGGTTTCCCATTCAGAAGGAAGACCATCTACTCAATGTTAAGGACATGTGTAATGCAGATACTTTCACCACACACCTTCGCGAGGTCGCTGGTTTTATACCCGCCATCTTCATAGCTACAAATGTTTCAGCAGTCGCCCTTGTACATATTACAAGTGCTCACTCAAAACTGGCATAGCCTGAGCTCCGGCTCTTCAGTTGATCAAAGAAATCTGTGACAATTTCACTGAGGGGCAATGTGCACGTCAAGATGGCTCGCGCAGACGCTTCTGAAGTGCTTCCTGAATCCAGGTATCGGTGGTCAAGGTTCTCGGCACGGTGCGCAAAGCAAAGGTTCATCATCTCCCCCATATATTCTGATATTTGATACATCAGCAAACTTTCGTCAACTTTAAGGAGTGCTAACCTTCGGGCACAATGATAGAAGCGTTTACGACAGGTTCTTGCACTTGTTTCACTTTGCAGGATGTATCCGATGTGTCCGGGAACTCCGTAGGATTACTGATCATAACTGTTTTGTCCTTGTATATAACTTCCTGATCTTCAGCGGTTACTCGAATGCAAAGCTAGCGCTGTCACATACTTTTATATGGGACGGTTGGAGCAGTTATTATTATGTTTGCATCATACTCATCTTCTAGACGCTGTCGGAAAACATCCATGTGCAGTGTCCCAAGGAAGCCAAGGCGACACCCTTGCCCCAACGCGGTAGAGGACTCGCGTTGGATAGTCACGCTCCTGTCCGTCAGGGTAAGCTACGAAAGTGTAAGAGTAGGACAGAAAATCAAATATGAAAACGTGCCCTCTTGATGGATTCCTCGAGCTTAATGAAGTCATTGCTATCCACTGGGAATACACCGGCGTAGACCTAGGTCAAATAAGGAACCTATCGTGAAGAATCGATATTAGAAACAAACCATAGCCTTAGACGGCTGGAATCCAGGCATAGGATCAACAAGTGCGCCGACGCGATGGAGTGTGTCTCCAATATGAGCTAAGAGCAATAATGAGGATGACTAACAGCAAACGATGGGAGTACCCTACCCTCAGAAGACTCTTTCATGTTACACGCTATGTAGCCAACTTGTCCAGGCTGTAGACTCGACGTTGGAACCTCTTCAGGGTGCATCACGCCAACTTCAGTGATCTCATATTTCTTTCGGGTATGACAAGACGCAATCTTGTCCCCTACATGCCACTAAGTGATGAAGGTGACGCGCAAAGAGCGTATAAACCGACCTTTTTGAATGATGCCATCTTGTATGCTGACGAGGGAAATGACACCCCTGTAACGGTCATATCTAAGGCACTACTTGAACCACAGAAGAGGAAGTACAAATAGACATATACGGACAGTGAGTCAAACATAAAGGCCTTGAGAGGGGAGTTTATATTTCCAGAAGGAGGTGGTATGCGGTCCACGATAGCCCTTAGAACTGCTTCTACTCCTTGGCCAGTTTTCGCGGATATATGGAGAATTTCACTCGGGACAATGCCAAAAGTTGACTGGAGTTGAGCGGCCATTCGTTCCGGCTGTGATGCGGGCAAGTCAATCTGCGAAGTCGGTTAGCATCATATTCAGTAGTCAAGCGAGATCTAACCTTGGTCAAGACTGGGATAATCTTTAATCCTCGCTCCTTCGCGATGTGAAAGACAGAAATTGACTGCGCCTGAACACCCTGCGAGGCGTCTACCAGTAGTAGAGCGCCTTGACATGCAGCCAAGGATCGTGAAACCTCCCAAGCAAAGTCAACATGGCCCTGTAAAACAAACGTTGTTAAGTTCCCCGTCAAGACCAAGTATGAAATTTCATTACAGGGGTGTCGATGAGATTGAGCAAGTGCTGTTTCCCATGAGCCATGTGTATCATACTAAGCTTTGTCAGTAAATTATTTTGAAAACAGATTGTGTCACAAACCTTGCTGTCTGTGCCTTGACTTCACGAAGTTAATCATCTTCAACTGAAGCAGATCCACAACTATAGATGGCCCACCAGTGATACCCCGCTCGCGTTCCACCTTTAGCTTGTCTAGGACCTGCTGGTTGAGTCCCGTCGACTTCGTTTCAATAGTGCCCGTGAGCTGAGTGATGTTAACCAAGAGAACAGAGGTTTATGCACGAAGCGACAAACCTCTAACAATCTACATTAAATATTATATCTTGTTAGCACAGAAACTTAACTACTTTGCGTAGAAGCCCACCTATCTGCCAGGGTTGATTTACCATGGTCTGTAAGCGAAATTCAGAAGAGGCCGTGCAGACCAAATATTGAAACTACCAATGTGCGCGATAATAGAAAAGTTTCTGGCGCAGTTTAACACGTATGAGCTTTAACTCTGAACGCATACTGTCGCATCATCTTCGTACCTAATGACTTCGCAAGGAAACTCTTCCATCCTCAGGGACTTGGGCGTAGCAGCCAGACATACTGCAGTAGAACTCAAGAGCCTTGAAATTGACCAACGGACAGGTTGACGGCGCAGTAACACCTTGAGACATGCATGCCGCCAGCCAGGGAGCATTTCCCGAGTTGCAAGAAGCACGAATTTCGAAAGCGTCGAAACTGCTGGTCATGCTGACTAAGCATATATCAGACTCTTCCCTACTATGTCGCTGCAGGAGGCCTCAGATGCTCGAAAAGCGCGTTTGATCGCCCTAAGAAACCGCAAGGAGGGTATATCAACTGTACCAAATGGGTGCGTGATAATAAAATTCCAATACCGCCAAATATTAACCAGCCACAGAGATTCTGTGCTTCTCAGCAGGAATTATGACCCTGAAACAAGGACGTTGAAGAAGCACTCGAAAAATGACGTTCTGACTACAGATACTGTCGAGAAAGATATTGAAGGAGTAGCTGAAAAGATACTTGCTGAAGATGAACGGCAGCGTGCCCAAGAACTTGTATGCCAATTCATATTATAGCGAACTGCTGCGTTTGCAGCTGCTCATTCATGTTTTCCAGGACGTATTCAACATCGCCCCGAAACGGCCAAACTGGGATTTGAAGCGCGAAATGGAAAAGAAAGTAGCAAAGCTAGAGCGAAAGACTCAAGAAGCTGTCCATACTCTTATCCGTCAGCTTGATATTTCACCCTGCCTTTATTTTCAATTGCTCACACTGTATCAATAGGGCAGAGACTTGCTTCTCAAAAAGGGCAGTCGGACGACATTCTAGGGGCAATGAATGCACAAGAGAAAGCATTGGACGTCGAAGACCAGCCTTCAGACGAGGATGAATGAAACAGGTTCTTTCTCTATCCTGTTCATCGTGCCACCTCATGGTCATGGATCTCAGTTCTTCCTCTGTATGTGAGCTGAATATCACCCTAGTACCGTGGCCTCCATGCGATCGCAGTTTCGTGCCATAATTGGCACGAACACGTCCAAGCGTGGCTACCATCCTTTTGTTGATCACGCTCTAATAACCAGGAGTTCCGCCATTTAATTGAAATGGCGGGCATGTTCCTTGTATCATATACATTACCTTTGCAAATCGAAGGGCGGCTATTGAATATCGGTGTCCTCCGAACTAAACACGTGAGGCCCCAGAGCAGTTTGCACAGGCTTGGAACAAGAAGACAACTGTGAACTTGAAGAAAATCCTCGATCGTCTGTCTGGAAGACTGCCTTTCTCTCTACTTAAACTGTCTCTGAGGTCAATCCAAGCTGAGGGCCAGTTCCGTCGTTTACCACGTCGGCCACATGTTACCAGCGTGTTGAGTTTTCTCTATTGTCGTACCGACAAGATCGTGGTATTCGGTCCTCTCCACAGATTGCACATTTCAAAGATGTGGAATTGATCATCGTCTGAGACTTAGGTCATTGCTTCAGCTATAAGCAGTTTGGAGGACGATGCTAACGGTATGGTATGATTTATGTGGTACTGGGCTCTGGGTAGCATTCTACGTCTGGATCATCGTCTCATCTCGTCTCCTTCCATCGTGTCTGGATTCCTGATCCGCCGTCTGAACGTTCTGCAAAATCATTTTCCTTGTATCTGTCTAATCAGTGAGCTTGTAGCACTCCAATATCGTGTATGCGCACTGCGCAGTGTTTCCATTGCCATATATATTCGATTAGCATGAACTAGATACATATCCCTCTAACACTCTATACTTTAGTGATACTTAGTGAGTGACTCTTCTCAGTGGCGAAATTATAGGACAGGGGATAATGATAGAGGCTCTACTACACGCACAAGAAAGCAACTGGATGTCAGCTGACATTCCACGTGTTGTGCAATCCAACTGTGTCATCCGCACGGTTGATTGGACCGCTAGACGCCACCATGGTCTCTCGATCGTGGAATCCGTTGACCACACTGCCCTCACCTTTGCCTTCCCATGAGTTTGCGGCCGACTTCTTTTTGACATTGTCTGCACGTAGCAATTCCAGTTGATGCAAATACTCCTCAGTGACACCACCAGTAACATATTCCCCTGTGAATACGGAGCAATCGAAAGTTGGAATGGACGGGTTGAATTGTCGCACAGACGCGACGAGATTAGGAAGAGTCTGGAACACGACAAGGTCTGCACCGATGGCCTCAGCTATCTCCTGGGTGGTGCGTCCGTATGCAACAAGTTCCGTCCTTGAAGGCATATCAATACCATAGACATTAGAGTACCTAGCATGTATTCGTCAGTAATGCGATGGTGGTTGGTAGAAAGGAACAACCTTATGGGTGGAGCACAGCTCGCGACGATGACCTTTTTTGCGCCAACATCCTTCGCCATCTGAATAATTTCTTTTGAGGTGGTGCCACGAACAATGGAATCTGAAGCCGTGTGTCAAGGTAAGACAACAAGATCGTTCAGTCGTTCCACAACTTACCGTCAACGAGGAGGACATTCTTCCCAGAAAACTCCAAGGCCATGGCGTTCAGTTTCCGTCTGACATTTTTTCGTCTTAGAAAAACGCCATCAATGTTGTGAATTCATGGAAAACAATATATCTGACCTCATTTGCTGACCTGGCATAATGAATGTCCTACCAACATAGCGATTCTTGATAAAGCCTTCTCGGTAGGGCAAATTGAGCTTCTGAGCAAGATTCAAAGCTGCAACACGAGATGTGTCAGGAACCTGAAAACGCGTCAGAAAAAAATGTGGAACGAGGGGAACCACTGACGGGAATGACAACATCCACTGTGATGCCGCGTTCCTTCAAAACCTTGTCAACTTCAACAGCAAGCGCATCGCCCATGGCCATTCGACTGCGGTAGACACTAATGCCGTCAAGGACTGAATCGGGGCGAGCGAAGTAGACAAATTCGAATATATCTGGTGCAAAGATCGCATGCTCTGCTACACGTTTCCTTGAAACCCCTGACCGAGTGATGATCACTGCTTCACCTAATCCGAAACTAACGTCAGTGGCTGCGGCTAACAGTAGGAATAACAACTGACCAGGTTTCACATCCTCCCATTCGCTAAAGCCCAGAGCATCAGCAACAATGCTCTCGCTTGCAAAAAGGTAGTCTTTCCCAGAGTTGTTACGTCTGGAAGCCACCCCGAGGGGTCGTATGCCATTCGGATCTCTGAACGCAATGATCCCGAAGCCAGCGAGCATTGCAACACATGCATATGCTCCTGTGCACTGCTTCATAAGGCCTCCAATGGCATTGAAGATGTCATCTTCGTTTATGCGAAATTTGCCAGTCTGCTGGAGATTGTTGGCAAAAAGGTTGAGTAGGAGTTCGGAATCAGACGAAGTATTTATATGTCTATGTGCGGTGGCGTCCATATATTGCAGGAGTGAAGGGCCATCTATGAGGTTCCCATTCTAATCACCTTCAGTCTTGACTGTTGAGTAACCAGTCTCGAAAACAAACTTACATGCGCAAATACAATACCATAGGGTGAGTTAACGTAGAACGGTTGAGCTTCAGCGTGGTTCGAACTTCCAGCTGTTGGATAACGAACTGCAATGCACTAGATCAGATAATCGTTGACAAAACCAGTTTGGTCCCGAGGGCTTACCATGGCCAACACCCATTCCTCCAATCAGTTTGGAAATGGCCTTCTCGTCAAAGACATCGCGAACCATACCGTTGGCTTTGCATTGGAAAAATCTGCCTTTTGGACCACAAGTCACGATGCCACACGCATCCTGTCCCCTATGCTGGAGCAAAGAGAGACCTTCACATATGTCTGGTGCTGCGTCCACCGATGGATCATGAAGCAGCAGGCCTAAAATGCCGCACACTAAATTGGAGATCTGTCAGAGGATCTGGCACTTGGATGATCAAGAAGCCAACTCACTCGTGATGCAGGGGTGAAATGAGAGAAAATGTGAAATTAAGCTGGGGCGACGCCCGTTCGCGTGATAAACGTGCAGGTCACTACTATCAGACCTGAAGAAAAACTGGCATGGTGTTTAAACCACTTTGCCGTGATAATCTTTTCCTTGATAATCTGACCTCGGTCCGTATATGCACGAACCACGCACGTGGGCTAATGTTGTGGGCAGCATTTCTGTCAGCCGGTTCTGACCGGTGCTCCCCGGCACAATTCGGTGGCCGGAGTCCGGCAGAAGCGTCATTATGTAACAACCTTATAGTAATCTTCAAAGCACGAAGCACTAGTACTTAAAGATTTGAGCGAATCTTCGTTACCCGTAGTGAAAGCCAAGTCATCGACGTGGACACACTGATGCTCTTCCTAGTGACATTCATTTACTACCACACACCTTGTAGCGCTTTGAGAATTTTGCCAAGCGACAGAAGCCACAAATAACTCTGAGAGCGCTGAGCGCTTGAGCTTGTAACTTTATCAACGCTGGAAGCTTACCATTCTTCTGATACTGGCTTTCAAATTTCTGTATTAGGCTAGTCTCAGTCCTTTGACCCCTTATTGTCGTCTTACTTGAGTTAGACTAAATACACCGCCTATGCAGAATAACTTTAGTTCTCAATCACTCCTAAAATCACAGAAAAATACGCGGTTGAACGCGATTGTATTCTTCGGTACTACGAGGTGATATAGTGGATATAGGTAGGGCATCAACAACATGCAACGTCGTTGGGGTCTTCGCAAAGTCGCGGGTAATGGTCGTGATAATAAGCAGCGTGTCGGCTGCGGAGTAGAAAGCGATGGTGTGCAATAGTCTACAAAAAGGTGCGTGCGATGATGAATGACAAATTAGGGAAGGATGAACTTCCTATGCTAGATAGAGCAAGATTCCACAGGAACCAGTCAGACAAAAGAGTGATTACAGCTTAAGCTGTTTGGGTTTCTCCCAGGTGTATGCGGGGTTACCTGTACACAGATCAAGTTTTGCACTACATCTGACAACGTCAAAAACATACCGAAGTGGCCGTAAGACGCGGTCCTCAGGTAATGGGGTTTCTGGAGGTCAAGCTCGCGCACTAGAGAGCATCGATAATTTATCCTTCTCCAGACAGAAGAGACTTACCCATGACACCAGGACGGAGATCCCAGTTGTTGCGAATGACGTCGACGAGCTCCTCGTTTGTCCTCTTGCCAGTGCCGTAAGTGTCAACGTAGATAGACAGAGGCTCGGCAACACCGATAGCGTATGAGAGCTGAACAAGGCAGCGACGAGCAAGGCCAGCAGCGACGAGAGACTTGGCTGTACGACATTTCAAATACCGTACATTGATCAAAGACAGATGAACATACCGATCCAACGAGCAGTGTATGCCGCAGAGCGGTCAACCTTGGAGAAGTCCTTGCCTGAGAAGGCTCCTCCACCGTGTGCACCCCAACCACCGTAGGTGTCTACAATAATCTTGCGGCCAGTCAGACCGGCATCACCCTGAGGGCCACCAATGACGAAGCGGCCAGACGGTTGAATCTAATCCAACTCGTGAGCTACATGCGTCACTAGAAAGTAAAAATTCACGTACGTGGTAAACAATGCGGTCATCAAGAAGGTTGGCGGGGATGACCTGCGCGACGATCTTGCTTAAAATTTCCTTGCGGAGCTCCTCGGTGGAGATTTCCTCTGCGTGCTGGGTCGAAATAACGACCGTGTCCACACGCAGGGGGATCATCACACCACCATCGTTCTTGTACTCAACAGTGACTTGAGTCTTTGAGTCAGGGCGCAACCAGGGAAGAAGACCTGATCGGCGAGCATCAGCCATGGCACGGTTGAGCTTGTGCGCAAGCATGATGGTCAAAGGCATAAATTCCGGGGTTTCATCGGTAGCATAACCGAACATGATACCCTGGTCACCAGCACCGTGGTCTTCCAGAGAGCCGTGGTCCAGACCCTGAGCGATATCAGGAGACTGCTGCTCGATGGCAACCAGAATGTTGCAAGTCTTGTAGTCGAAACCCTTGGAAGAATCGTCGTAACCAATTTGTTTGATTGTGTTACGGATGATTTTTTGGTAGTCGAGCTGAGCTTTGGTGGTGATCTCTCCAAAGACCATGATCATGCCGGTCTTCGAAGCGGTCTCACAAGCGACCTTTGAAAAAGGGTCTTGCTCAAGGCAAGCATCAAGCTGTGAAGTTGATCAGATTGTTTTCCGCAATGATGGATATCAATTGGTGGGTACTCACAATAGCATCCGAAACCTGGTCACAAATCTTATCTGCTATGGATTAGTTTCATTGCAAAGCTTTGACCACGACGAAACTAACCGGGGTGACCTTCACCTACAGACTCAGAGGTGAACAATAAATGCCCAGGTGCAAGAGCAGGACGCGCGTGACCGTTAGCAGCCATGGTAAAACAAAAGTCGTTGAAAAAAGAACGAGGAAAGGACTGGGAGAAGGAGGGAGAGAAGATGTGAGACCAATCGTTTGCGCAAAACAATTAAAGGTTCAATATAGCTTATATAAGCAGGGCATCACGCCATCCTTCTGCCACCTTCTGCCATCCCCTTACCAAAAAATACCAGGTTACGTCCTCAAAAACAGGACAGATAGCAGACTCAGACGTGGCATAACCTAATTCACGTGAGTCCTAAATCTGATGGAGGGAAAAAGTTCAATTAAGCCTCACAACATGTATAGCGTGGGTCCTGATAGTAGATGATAGCCAAGCGAATTGATTACTATTACAAAAATCCTACACCAAGAGGATCTGTATTTGTCGAGGGAGCTTGATCTTCCTGTTCTAAAACAAGGCTCTCATCAGACACAACCGTGAGATGGGGTACGCCATCGTGGCTCTGCCCAGATATTCGGAATCCTGACGAGTCTCCGTACTCTAGGCGACGAGGCGGATGTGCGACTGTTGGGTCAAGCGGCAATAATTTCCCATCAAAGAGATCTTGTGACAAGGAAGCCTGTCTAGGTGACCTTGACCTAGTAGTACTCCAGGGATTATCCGAGGGGAGGACATGTATAGTCTTCTGGGATTTCACATTATCCCAAGGGTTGTGTGATGAGCCGACTGAATGTGATTGGCTGGTTATACGATAAGCAGGGTGTTCTTCATCTCCAAGGCGCTCACGAGGCTGGAATTCGGAGATTTTTCCTTGAGCATTTTCGTTATCTCCTGATGGCTTCGGTAATGCTTTGAAGTCCTTTGCAACTCCGTCATAAGCGTCCTGCATCGCTGAGAATGCTGCGGTAGCATTCGAGGATAATTTTCCCCACACTGATCTTACTCCGGTGTTGTAAAATGTATCCGCGGGATGCGCAGTCCGAGAGCGAGCCGAATGTAAAGGATTGCTCCCTGGAGATGATGGTCGAAGGGGAGGGCCAGAAGGCCGCAGTGATGCGGGAGACGGAGCTGCGATGTTATCTGCAGTCATTCTCTGAGGAATGTCTGGTAACGAAGACCATAGTCCGCGAAGGCCTGAAGTCAGCGTTTCAGATGCATTCCCAGGGTTGGATGGCACAATAGAAGGATTCGAAAGGTTTGGCGTTCTGGCAGGTGACGGTGGAAGCGGTATTCCTGCGGGAATACTGATTGAATTAACAGGATCATCCTCCAGGGAATCTATTGGAGATGTAAATTCCGGACCCTCCTTCGTCTGATAAACGATTATCCTCCCATTCATCTCCTCCTCGGTCCTGCCATAAAGCTCATGCCAAAAACGAATATCCTTGGCGTTCGGATAAATAACACCCATGTCAGCTGAAGGATCTCTACTGGAGGGATCATCCAAAGAGGGATCGTATGCGTCATTCTTGTTTTGCTCTAGCTCCGATGTCGAGTTGAAAAAGTCCCAAATGCAAGCTGCCCGCTCTGAGGGAGTAACGCCGTCTTCACCAGTTCGTCGTTCTCGTTCACAATTGTATAAGAAGTTGCCGAATTGGCACGAATAGAGGTGATATAGCAGTTGGCGAAGGAAGCGTTCATTAAACTCAAAGCGAGATGGATACTGCCGCTGCAGCTGACGAACGCATTCCAGGAATTGGTGAAAACATGGGCTCGTCTCTTTCAGGTGACTCTGGGACGTAAATCGATTCTGGACAGAAACCAAGAAGGCCTGCGCCGCATCGGCACCACTACTCGTCCCCCCAGTTTCCGGTAACGAGGTAAAGAATTTGTCGGAGGAGAGGTGCCCGCACCGGTCAAGAAATTTGTGCCCAAAGGACACCCAATCTTTCTCGATGAGTATCTGGAAGCCTCGAATGGTACGGTAGTGGGGATCCAAGCATAGCTGGGCCAAGGCAGATAACTGAGACGTTCGATCCCAGCCATCTGAGCAATGAACGAGGACATGCGACGAATTAATGTGAATGTTTCGGACAATGAGAGCTGCACCCTCCATTATATTCGATATGTGTTTGAGCCATCCAGAACGACGTAGCGCCTGTCGGTCGACTACCACAAGTTGTTGTGCTTCTCCAGGCAGGCTGCCTGTAACACTCGCAGCAACGTTGTCTGCCTCGCGTAATACATCCACCACCTTGGCAAGGGCCTCGCGCATAGTATGTATGTGGTCTATGCCCAAATACACCTTCTTGGCGTCCTTGTAGTTGTCCATGTTTTCTGTGCCTGCACCTTTGGCTGTGTTAGCCACAGCATTGGCAGTGGGCCGTGCATCAACTATCAAATTTGTGCTAGTGGCACCGTAAACCGGTCCAGATGGGCGCGATTCCGAGAAATGATGAGACTGAAACACAGCTTCAACGAGCTTCTCATCTTGAAGTGAGCGGTTCTGCTTGATGCCCACCATCGGCTGGCTTGATCTTGTGATGCTGCCCTGAATGGGACAAATTAAACAGTGTACTATATCTCGGGTGCCCTAATACTAACAAAGTTTGCCCAGTGCAAGTAGGTCAGCGCAGGTACCCGACATTTGCTGCGGTATTTGGAAGCGTATCGCAACGTCGAGTCGCTGATGCGAGACGGGACTACCAGCCGTGATGGGTAGGTAGGCGAGAACTTTGAATTGATCTTCAGACATTGGATGATTCGACAAGCCCGATACTCACAACGTAATCCTTGTTAATATCAGTGAAACGCCAAGCTTTTGTACGAGTTCCAACCCCCATACGGCCGAATTCTTCTCTTGGAGAGTAAAGGGACCATCCCCCCGTAGCATCAAAGGGCGGGTTAGGGGCGTAGAAGAAAGCATACAGCTGGTTGACAGAGGCTAATAAATGTCAACAATCAATGCGACTTGAGTCGAGGGATTGGATGCTCACTGCACACGGTTAGCTCTTTGACACTTTCGAATACATCTAGAGCGTCCCGTTCCTTCTCGAAGGACAGCGAAAATGTTTCAAACATACGAGTGTGAAACGTTAACGGGCTCTGTCCATACAGGGTTTGCGGGAGCTTCAATACAAGAGATATCAGCGGGTAAGGTACCTGCAGTGCGAGTTATCAAGTGCAGCACGTCGTAAACCGGGATGTAGAACTCGCCCACATCTCCTCTTTCTCAGAATCCTCATACCGAAAAATAAGGTGATGAGCAGTAAGGTGGAGTGACCCATAATGAGCCCTGCCTGATTTGCCACATAGTACCTTTTCCACCTGCACGCGCGCCGTTGAGCATGTCGATCGCAAGTTTCGTGCGCAGCGCACCTTTGAAACTCTGATTGAATCCATCTATCTGCAGCTGCTGGGAGTGGATGCCGCTCGACCTTAGCCCTCTGAGCTCAACGTCAGACGGAATCAATGCAAGTATGTTTGGTCCTATTTACACATCATCGCCTTGTGATAAGTCGATGCCGCTACTTCCAGGCTAGAGTATTGGCTATACCACAGTATATTTATTCATCCAAACACCCACAGTTCACTAACCGCATCGCTAACAGCCAAACAGTCGCCCAGATTCGCTGCATCTGCCATTGGAAATATATCTTTCCTCAGCTCCATAGCTAGCGCGGGTTCCCTTTTTATTTTACGTCTGACCTCAGTTTCAATGAGCTGCAATATTGTTACAGTAAGCGTGTGCACAAGAATTTTGAAAAATTCTTTTACCGTTCCGTACGTGTGATCAAGGAAATCCTCCATTGAATAACCAGGCTTTGTAAAAGCCTCTGAAAAAATGCGCACTATGGTTGACACTGCAGGATCATAGTGATGGATATGGGAGTGAAGCTCCCATAACGAAGAATCAAGGGCGTTGGTAGAGTTGGGATTTGGCTCGTCAGCAATGAACGGGTCTAATATCGCGATTAGTTAGATCGTGGCCAAGGAGCTGAATGCGTACCAGTGTTGGTGCTAGGATTATTGTGTATCATTACCATCAGGGCCGGGTGTTGCTTGAGAATGTTGTACGTGAAAGGAACGATCATGATGATAGCTGCTGGAGGAGCATTCAATGAAAGCCTGGATAACCTCTTAACGAACGATGCCAATAAAGTTGCAGGCAAATGGCTGGACTGTCTCAGTAACAACAAGTGGAAATTGTAGAGATGGATCTTACGAGGAACTCAAGAATAGCTCGGTTAAACGGAAAAACCGAGCACGATGCTTCAAGTGTAGAACATCCCGATGGAGGAATGCATATAATCGGGTGAAAAACGAAGGGTAATCTCTACAGTGTGAACGGTTGGTGAGACGTGAAGCGTGGCATATGGAGATTTGCACTTACAGATTATAGTCTCTCATTAGGGTGAACAAAGCGTTAAGTGCCAGCAGTCCGACGGTTTCTCCTACAGTAGAATGGCTTAACGAATTATGGTTAATACCAGGAATGTTCCCTCACCAAGATCCACGCATGCACTTATCCAATCCATGACAAGCACGGGCCTGGTGAGATGTGGCAAAACACCGCGATGCATTATATTCAATGCTCTTGTTGTCAGCGCTTGATTGGAGGACGTTGAGATAGATGAGAGATGGGGCAAGAAGTTTAGCCACGTTCGCGTGAATACAGCGCGATGAGCTTGAAGGGAAAAAAGAGACTGGTGGAATGTCAGAGTGTAAGCCCGGCCCTTCACACTGTTTTTTTTCTCATCTTTCGCATTGGAATCCTCATCAAAAAATTTGCGCCAGTCATCCTCGTCGTTTCCATCCACCGACTCTGCGGCGTCATCCTCTTCAGCATCTCCCTTGGCACTTTTGTGTTTTGGGGGTTTTACGCCGAGCTCTTCCACCCACCACGAGTTAAGTTCTGACGAGTCCGTTGGAAATGTTGACAACTTTTCCATAATAGAAAGCAGATTGTCGAGCAGGTGAGGATTCTCCACAGATGAATATTTCGAGAGCGCAGTTCTGAGGACAGAGTTAAGCACTGCATAGAAATTTTGCATCGGGCCTTACGTTGCTTCGCGCAAAAAACACCATCGAATATCATCGTAGACGCTGAACCATGACTCCACGAAGTGCTCTCTCACATCCGACATCATCTTTGAATCATGTTTACTGCTTCCATTCGACCGAGGGGACGGAGGGCACAGTAGAAGCCCATGTACTATGTGCTTGAAGTGCGCAAAGTGGAATTGCGGCTGTGCAGTCGAGGAAGACTTAGTGAGGGAAGTTGAGAGATGTTTCAAAAGTGAAAAGAGTATTTCCAGCGAAGATTTCTGGTACCGATGTAAGAATACAAAGCACAGCCAACGATGTGACACATACCCTCAGCGCAAACTCTTCGTCTTGCAGTAAGCCAACGAGTAGTTCGACGTACGAATCCAACTTCTCCCATATCCACTTACGGACAAGCTTGGCAGTAGCATCACCTCCGTGTACTAGCATCCCACGAGTTATTATCAAGACAAATACGCGATAAACGCTATAGACAGCTTTGGACATTTCCCTCGCGTCTGATGAGCCATATGCCAGTATGAGCAGGTCCGCCAGTGGGTTAAGAGAGCCATTTTCTGTGACGGCAGATGTTAGCTGAGTCTCCAGAGACTTAGCTGAAGTGGATTCAACAACTGTCTTGCGTCTTTTGGTTGGGGGAGGGAGTGAGCGGACCGGCATGGTAGGGATATGCAAAGTTGAGCAGATCAATACCAATCATTTTTAGATTGATTTTATTTGCTTATTAAATCAATATTTATGTAATTATTATATGTACTTTGATATAAATATCTGTAAATACAATGAGGCTCTTTGTGCCGATCAATTACACTATCATCACGGGCCTGATGATTCCGTTGTTCGCAGATGCATACTGGGCAATATATGATTGGCGTATCGACAGCGCTGTGGACCTATCGGACCAACACAGCCAGCTAGGAAACAACGACCGTGAGAAAGTATGAATATATCTGCTTTGATAACGTCCTCACTGACTGTGACGTTCCGTTGCCCCGATGTTATCTGTCACTTTCAAAGCTTCCACACGGTCACTGCGCTTTGCGTCAACCGCAGGTCACAGTTTGCGGTCTGCAGTGGGCCTGCGTCAATTCCATGGATCCCTGAAGTCCCAAGAGCACTACTTAAATGCTGATGAAAAGGCAAGCACCTTTTCCCGTCCGTATCATAGCACCAGCTTGGTCAAACATAACCACAAGCGCTACATGGATATATTTTCTAGACTTTTGAAAAAGTCGCTTTGAACCCTGCCAATGAAAAGGCCGTCCTGGTTGACTTTTATGCAGAGTGCGTAACTTCGGGTGTGATAGGCGTTTAGACATGCTGACAAGTCGTATATTATAGGTGGTGCAACCCTTGCAAGATGATTTCGCCCCTACTTGAAAAATTGACCAGTGACGAGACAGTGAAAACTGGTAGCGGCCGTTCGCTTGACTTGGTCACAGTGGACACAGACTCAGAGTTCGACTTGGCAACAAAATACAAGGTGTGCATACTTCGACTTGAACTAGGGCAGTTCTCATTCCTGCCATTAACATCAGGTGCGGGCGCTACCCACAGTCATAGCATTCAAGGATGGCCAGAAGGTTGACCAGTTTGTTGGAGCCCTGAATGAAGATGGCATTCGCCAGTTCATAGCCAAGTTATAGGAGACATGTAGCGTCCTTACATGATGAATATGATTGTATATATTCGAAACCTCTCTGGTTCCAAAAAAATGTATCAAAACATCGAAAGCGGTGTAGTGTTTGTTACAACGAGTTAATGAAAGGTTCAATATAGGTACACGTAGGAGGTGAAAACGAACTACCGGGGTCAATAAAGCAGTGGGGTCCACATCGTAATGCAGCGGTATAAACGAGAACTGTGTTGGGCGCTAACATATAGACGGGCAAATGGGCGAACGAACATTCGCAGAACCGTCCAGGCTATTGTATCGAACAACAACCGCCTCCAGTCTTTTGTTGGCCGTATACGTCGTCTGCCTTAGTGACTGGACCCCACACGGACGGAACCTAGGTGAATGTTATTCGTCATATGTTTCGACATAAAACTCGCACAATGAAGAGAACATACGAGATGGTCTTTCGTCGTCTTGCAGTAGCGGATTAAACTATGAACAAGTCAGCCTGGTTTTTAATAAGACCAACGAATTGAACTCACCTAGCGGCTGCTTCACTGACCCGGATTCTTGGCCTTGCCAAGTCTTCTCGAAGGCGCTGGTTATGCTCCAGCAGCCGACGATACCGTAGCTCCGACATTGATTGCCTTCCGCCTCGAGAGCTCATGCTTATGGTATTCGTGTGTGGTGAAAGTCCCTGATTAGCAAAAACTGCGAGATATAAGAGTGTGGTCAATTATTGAGTACGAAAGTACCCACCAGCTTTGTATCAACTGCCGTATGATGTACTTGTCGCGTGTCGTATCACAAAGTTAAGAGAGTAGGATACCACAGAATTAAACGGTAGTACTTTGTGGTGATCGCGGTGGGGAGACAAGTCTGCAACGGTACAATTACCCGGTTTGACTGCTTTGAAATGATAATATCCAAATTTGGACAATTGTATTTTGTTCATAAAATTCTTTTCTACACTTCCCTCCTAACGTGCCTTCAGTGCTAGTCTTCAGGCTTCTGACAAGGCTGCATGGGGGATAACAAAGTTGAAGAGCGAATCGGCGACCGGGCAGAACTACGAACAAGCATATCCCGGAAAAGTACATCCAATTTACTATTGAGCTCCTCAACTGAAAGCTCAGGTAATGCGCCAGAGCTTCTTAGTGTAATTCAGTCACAATCTGAACTCATGGATTAATTATGACCAGGAACGGTAGGGGAACAGCCTAAAGGATTGGCATTTAAATAACAACGTAAGTCATACAAACAATACGAGAACTCCGTGATGAATCCCTGGCAAGAACACGCTGTATGGAGGATAGAATCAGTAAAGTGACATGATGGAAGTCCGGGCAAGGTACATGACGTGCAATAGAAGGAAAATTGTGCTCAGTATCTGTCCAGGATGCCTCGTAGAAGTTTCTCCCTGGCTTTTGCATGATCTCCGGCTGCGACAGACTTGGTTGTCTGGTCAAGTCTACATACGAGTTCCTCGACGTCCCCGGGCACCGATTTCGAGTGACTTTGGAGTCGTTGGACTGGGTGGAATGACCATTCTGTGATCAGGCTCATAATCCAAGAAGTCTGAGATAAAATACCATATTCATTAACGCCCTTTTCATAACTATGGAGGAGCTTGTCACTCTCAACGCATACATCTTGCAGCTGAAGAGATAAATTTTGAAGCGTGTCCTAGAAAGTCATTGCTGCATTGGACGAGGAGATGAAGGCAGCTTTCACAAACTAACTTTCACCCTGGTGAACGCCCGAACCACTTGATCGTGTTCACGCCTTGCAGCATCTTCGAGGGCTCCCGAGCTCTTGTCAAATAGGGCAACTCCACGGAGTAAAGTCGGATTGTTGTCATGCGAAAGGAATTTGTGAGTCTCTCCTACTCGAGTGACCACCGGAACGAGAGTCTCCCTGGACTGTTCTGTTGCTTCTCTGCGATGAGCCAGGAATGCTGGCGAGAGTCGATCGACGATAGCTGCGCCATCAGCACATTCAGAAGCCTCCTCTCTGAGATGATGATGAGCGACGAAGTAATCCCTGAAGGTTGTGAAGGTATTGAATACCCGTCGTCTAAGAGAGCAATCAGAGTCGCATGCTCGTCCCAGTCAGAGTCCGCGGAACCGTCTTCGTCTTCATTATCCTGGTACCCCTGAATGGCGTCCTCCACATCGGTAAATTCGTCTTCTTCGCGATATTCAGTGTAGCCCGGGGGTTCTTCTGATCTAGTAGGAGACTGGTAATAAGGTTCACATATGCATTTATGCCGATTATGAGTCCTCTGGGAGGGTGAAACGAGTCTGTTACGGGCCATTACGCGTGTCTTAATCACTGCAGTACTGCTGTCAGTAACGTCCCTGAAGGCTGAACGCGTAGATGGCATCTGACATGACTTGAGCGCTTTCGACACTGTGGACCGCGTTCGGGTGTTCGGCATCGACTTCCTATCGCTTGGTGATAAAAGGCGCACCATGATGAGTGTAACCCTTCGAAACTGTAGGAAAGTTTGCAAGACCAAAGATCTCCTGTGAATTAGAACTCCGACACGGTATGTCCCACTGTTGATCGTTGTTCGTTTCTCTCCCGTACATCTTGGCGCGGTGGGCAGGTCCGTTGTTTTTTTTCACTTCAAGTGTGCCAATTTCTTTGCTTATAAGCTGTCCGTCGTCGCAGGCGCATACCAGGTTCCCTTCTCTCAGATTTCCTGAGCTTCGCCAACCTCTTTGTTCTCGTTTCCGCACTATTTCACCATGAACGCTCGTCCACATAAGCAGTCTATGTCGGAGCTAAAGCTTCGCAGGCTCACAGAACACAACCAACGACTGCGAGAGGATCTCGCGCGACCGCGAATGAGAGTGAGCGAAGCTAGCGCAAGGTACTGTGCTATTTTCTTCCCACCATGGTCAGGCACATAAGATCTTACCCTCGGTCTCCATCTTACAGTTTAATTCGTTACTGCAAGACCACAAAAGACCACCTGGTGCGTTTGTACTGCCGGTGCTCTCAGCGCCTTCACTTGCTCCATAATTTCATTTTGTGTGCCTATGTACTTTACGCTCATACGTCATATTTTCAGGTACCTTCTGTGTGGGGACCCGTTGGAAGGGGTGAGGACCCGTACGCACCGCCGCAAACAGGCTGCACCTGTATCGTGATGTGATATGTTACTCCTTATACCCCATACCGTGACATACCCCCTTTCATTTTCTGTCTACGGAGAGAACGGGGGAAACTCCAAACACTCTTTCCTGCGCGACACCTCCACGCATCCTACGCACATCAAACCACCCACGCTCGTTACACGTATCCTACATATCCTCGTCATCGTGACTTTCCAAAACCTGATGGACGATTCATGGCTTGCACATCCTTACACTCCAGTCGTATACATATTGCTTAGAACTGCAAATCCTTTGCCGCTTCGAGTCGTTCCAGGGTCTCTTTTATCCATTTCGAGCATGACATTCTTTACATGGTTCATTCTCTTACTTTTTGCATAGCTCGGTGTTTTATTTGTTTTTATCAGTCTTTGTCTCGGCTGGAAGTGCATCTATGTGATATATATTTGTTGGGAAGAGACCCTTGACAATGAAGCCATTTACTATCATATTATTCTGAGCCAAGATCTAGTGAACAATTTGAAACAGCTTTCGATCAACCTGAGCTCTCTGCGCTTATTACCTGGAGTCTTGTTCTGTCAAGTTATTGTTCTTATATCGTAGTCTCTGTGTTTCGTTATAAACAACAGATTATCAATATCTCTTCATGAACTCCTGCTACGTCTACTTGCGCCAGCACCCATCTCTGAAAACGTATTCCGTTGTTCCATCATAGTAGTTTTGGGAAGTATATTGCTAAATCCACGGATCAGCCAGCTCACAGGCCACGAGTTCGATCGCCTCTACAGTTGGTTCACACCTTCAGTTACGTACACTCCTCTGTCCCATGATCCAAGACGTGCGCCTGCAAATTCGCGAGTTTGCTGCGCCAGTTGCGCAAAAACTGGGCATCGGCAAGATATCCGACTTTGCCGATGTTATCTTGCTCTCCTTCGTGTTCTTTACTACTGTGCACAATAGTCTCTCACCCGCCGTAAGCAGTGCGCTTTTTCCTGTGTCATATGGGAAAGCAGGAAAGAGAACGAGGAACAACTGGTGAGGCTGACTACACTACACTTCTTGGGCGGGTAAGAATTCACAACTACAGGGATATACGTGTGGCATCGCTCGTCCATGCTATCTTAATTGTATTTCTTGCCGGGCGCTGTCTCAATCTTCCGAGCCTTGACCAAAATCGCGCCTTTGGTTGGCATGAAGATGCAGGGTTTCTAATAGCTATTGCAACGGGGTGAGTTGACACTGATCGAACGCCAACACAGTTTTCTGACCCCACTCTAGTTACTTTATATGGGACACATTGGAATCGATCATCCATTTCAGTGACGTTGGATTCGTTTTCCATGGTATGTGTCTAATGTGTTTCTTCGCAAATTTGCTCCCGACCTAGCCTCAGGCATTTCGTGCCTTCTGATATACGGCCTTTCATTTGTGAGCGATGCGATTGTATCAGAGCTTCAAGAATCTAACAAACCCATTTAGACGCCCTTTGTTCCTTACTATGCAGTACGTTTCTTGTTTTGGGAGTTGTAAGTGATATATCATAGCAGACGTCCAGTTCTTTGTTCATACTGTTCACAGGAGCACTGTATTCTTGAACATCCATTGGTAGGTCGTGATTATATATGTTCATGATGATGTAAACGAGCTTCGCTGGTAGGTTTTTGGACAAGACAGGAAAAACAGGCAGTGCCCTTCAGCTCGTCAATGGTATTGTCCTCATTACGACCTTCTTTTGTGCACGCTGCATCTGGGGCGCAATGATGGTCAGTGCCTGTTTGAACCTGGTTCCTTTACACTAATGCTTTAAATGCAGTCGTATGACTTTTTCATGACTTTGGATAGCGTATACGACCAAGTTTTGACACCATACCTCATCATTTATGGGGGCGGCAATGTCTTACTCCAAGCGCTTAACTGGTTCTGGTGAGACTTACGCTGTCATTGTCTTGAATGATTGATTTATGCTCGTAAACCTCAGGTTCACCAAGATGATAACTGCGCTTGTGAAAAGGTTTCAGGGAAAACCCAATGGTCACAAGGTCGTGAACGGAAAAACTAAGAAATAACCATCTCTTATATATCATGTCGTTCTGTAGGTTGAATGCCAGTAGTAACAGATACTATATACTTAAATACATGATCATGCACAGATCACTAGGCCACGGTGAATGCTGCCTCTACTTGTGTCCGTACTCTCCGCTCCCAGTCAACAAGGTTGACGCGTCGAGTGACCTCAATTCTTGTGCTGTCCATGCTATACAAAAGACAGTGTAGGTACGCGAATGCAAGTGCATCCAATGCAGTGGGATTTCTGTGTTGTGTCAGTGAACATATCGGGTGGCTTCGCGAGTGCAATAGTGACTTACTCTGAGCCAAGGAACCAGTTGTCAGTTCCAAGCCGTTCCGAGAGTGAAGCGATGGCCTCTGTGTACTGTCCTTGGATGGATGAAAGTGTGATGTTTGTTCCATACGGTGGCAGTACTGAACTCAAACCAGTCAGAGGGGCAGGTGGTGGGCTGAGAGTGGTTGCCAAGACCCTTCCTCCAGCGATAGCTGTCAGGAAGAGTTGAGACAATGCGGGTCGTGGAGGTTCTGATAGAGTCTGGCAAGAACAGTCAGAATGTGGTCTACACACGAGACAGAGGGCACGCACCAAGGCAGCATGTACTACTCCCTCGAGCAAGGAGACCCATGCGTGACTCTCGTCTTTGAGTATTTCATCACTGTAACCATTGAGAGGATCGCTCCCGCCGCCAACTTGTCCATTCACCCAACCAGGGATAGAGCGTGGTGCTAACAGCTCACTGCTGACATCCCCAAACACAGGAGTGTGTAGACAGGGCAAACGACCATCGATCCCACCTTCTGGAGAGATGTCCCACCGTACAGCGATGTTAGTGAGCCCACGCAAAGTGATATATGCCTGCCATTTCAAACACTCGACGTCTGTGCTCAGAATATCGGAGTTGAAGGCTTGGTCGACTGCCGTTGTCCGAGGAGGTGCAATCCATAGCGTAGGCTTTTGCAAAGGACATCTTGAGATGACTTGAATCGGTGAGTAAGTGTGCAAGGGGAACTTGCTGAGGAACCTCTGGAGCGGTTCAGGAAGACTGAGAACTGATGCCATGCTAGGAAAACACTAGTGCTACGGTTTATTCGTTACAGAGCGTTGAGGCATGTTTGTAATATACCATACCTAATATAGGGACATCTACCACTGAAAAATTCTTTTATGGTATATATCTTACAAATTTCAAGGCACCGGGCAAGTAAGTTAGTAACTTATGAGATTTCTTGAACTTGCTTACCGACGTTCGCGTCGACGATATTTGCTGGCAAACAACTGGCAACCTTATTGGACGCAACGAGCTGGCTTCACTCCTCTATCTTTGTTTTTGAGCCCCGTCCTCAGTCTGGGCTTCCGAATACCGAACTTGCACACAAGCAAGTGTAGAACATGTCTGATTATGTGTCAAGTCCCTCCAGGCCAGCCACGCCAGTACCCGCTTTACCAGAAATACCAATTGCACGTCCATTCCGCTTAAACTGGGATACGTCTTCTCGTGTTCGAGGTCCAGCGAGCGTTTCAGAGACTACTGAGGGTCGTGGAGGTGACTATCACGCAGCACCTTTCCGCCTTGAATTGCCCAATCTATCAACCGTCAATATTGCCCCCGGTGCTTTACCCCAAGAGTGGAGTAGCTCAACACAGGGATTCAATGGTAGGCCACGCTACCGTCGTGTGATGCGTGGTGCTTATTGTTTTCAGCGATTTCAACGGTTCTCAATAACCCTCATAGACACCAAGCACCTCCAAAAGCCCATTCCTCTCTCCCAGCTGTGCCCCCAGCCGACTTACCGCGCGTGAAACGCAAGGATTTCGATTCGTACCTTCGAGCCATTGCGCCCGAATGGGAGAGGTTCGAGCGAAACATGCAACTTAGTCGGGATGGTCAAGAGAAGCCGGACGCATCATTTAGTCATCGTGGTTCAACAGACACTCCGCCTATGCCATTCACGCCTCGTGCAGGAAAGCTATTAACACCACTTAGCTCCGTCCCTCAGGTGTTCTTCGATGCTCAATTTAATCTTGGTGACCCACAGATATTCAATGCCGTCATAGAACACCAGGAAGAAGATAATGATTCCTCCGACCCTTCGTCGCTCTCATATTCGCTCCCTCTTCTTGAGAAGCTCTCTCATCACGCAGATACTATTGAACAGCATCTTGTTCGAGAAATTTCTCTTCGGTCCACATCATTCTTTGCGGCATTAACCAACTTGCAAGACCTGCAGACCGAATCGGAAGAATGCCTTGATCGCATATCGAAGCTCCGCGGACTGCTCAAGGAGGTCGATGACAAAGGGGCCAAACGAGGACTAGAAATTGTGAGGACAGAATGCAAACTGCTCAATCTCGAATCTATCTGTAGTGGTGTCAAAGAGATCGGGGGCGTGGTGGAGATGACTGGTGTTGCAAAAGGATTAGTTGCAGCAGGACAGTGGGGCGAGGCCTTGACAGTTATTGAAGGCGTAGACGCACTATGGGATCCAGTAGCTGCGCAAGCACCACCTGCAATTTCTACCAGGGAAGCTCGCGCAGAACTTGTCCGCGTCCCTACCAACGGACGATTGTCCCCTCTTCCACCTATGCCGGAATCGCCTCCCCCGGAAAATGAAGGGACTAGGAAGACTCCATCAATACCACTGTCCTCTTTAACCGCATTCTCTTCTCTTCCTGCGCACGTTCGTGCATTGACGATGGAGATAGCGTCCTCGCTTACCACGGAACTCGTCAGTGTGTTAAAGCTTGACTTACTAGAACGAGTGAATGGAGTACCCGAGCGGAACGGTAACGTGAATCTCTCCTTTAAGGATAGGTTGCGGCCCGTTCTTCAAGGCCTTTTGCGTACTAAAGGAATTCGCGAAGCCACAGTTTCATGGAGAGAAGTTGTGACAAGTGAAATGCAAGGTATCATGAAGCATGTATGTGCTGGGTACTTCAATGGTGCATGATCATTGATGGTTCTCTAGCACCTGCCGTCTTTCAATATGGGTGATGAGGAGTCTAAAGGTCCTAAGGCTGCTTCAAGGTAAGCGGGGTGTTGACTCTCTTGGTACTACTATCAACCGTGCTATGCTCATACAGTGGACTTGCAAATCTTCTTCGCTCCAAAGAGCATACGGAGTTCCTATTGCTTCTCTCACAGCTGTATACGAGTCTTCTGAATGGTATCAAGGGTATTCAGGCCCAAAATGGCATACTCATAGAAGTGTTAGAAAGTTTGCTGTATGACCTTTTGTTTCTCCTTCTCCGTCTTATCACTCACTGTGCTTCCATACCTTTTGGTTCACATCCAGAGCGCCGAAACCATCAGTAGATATCATCTCACTTCAAGAAGAACTCTTGGATATTCTATCTTCTACTGCGGACCTCTCGAACAAGCTAGCAGCAATAGTTATTGGATATCGTTCCGAACAGCATGCGCAACTTGATCTACCTGGCTTCCTTACCTTTTTCAACGCTTCGTGGGGCTTCGTGGTGCAATGCGAAGTGATATGCCGGCGGATGATCATGGGGCTAAGGGGAGTGGTCCTTGGTCAGGTACGTTCCTTTATCTAAGTCAATCAGAAGCGATCATAATACGTTACTCCTAGGCGAAGCACTTCCTACAAGCGTTCCATCAGGCCCGAATTAGCCAATCTGCGAAACTTGTCGAAGACGAGCTTTGGAATCCGATGCCGGAAGTGCCTGCAGCACTGCAGCACATGGCAGATGTCTTGGTAGATTCCGCAGTCCGGGACTCCCCTGAGCTTATCGTAGGAGAGACAGATAGCTCGACTTCGGCCCCAAATCCGTTACCACCCCAATCTGCTTTGAGCAATCCGAATGGATCCGCGTCGTCATCCAAGTACCTTCGAATCGAAGAACGACCGTACTTTTGTGTTTCTGCCACAGGTGCCGTTCTCGGCCTGTTATTCGATTACCTTAAGCTTGTCGTCAATCTACCTATGCTTAACATCGATACGATGGGTCGAGTGATAGAATTTTTGAAGGCGTTTAACTCTAGGACCTGTCAAGTTGTTCTTGGCGCTGGAGCCATGCGGTCAGCTGGCCTGAAAAACATCACAGCAAAACATCTTGGTAGGTACTGTTCATCCCCCTTGACACTTAGGAACCACTGACGTCACCCTTTCAGCGCTGGCGTCACAATCCTTGTCCATAATGGTCGCACTCATTCCGTACGTACGAGAAACCTTCCGTCGTCACCTGAGTCCAACCCAGGCAGTAATGCTAATCGAATTTGATAAACTCAAGAGGGTGCGTCCGGAACCGCCGGTACCACTTCATCACCAAATCTCACTCGTGTCCTAAATGTAGGACTTCCAAGAGCATCAGAGTGAAATTCATTCCAAATTGATTTCTATTATGGGCGATCGCACTAGTGCACATGTCAAATCTTTACAGGCAAGTTTTACGCCCTCTGCCGTAATCTCTCTAGAGTCTGCTTTGAAAGCTAAACCGAGTGCAAATAGAACGTTGATTGGGATCGGCCCAAGCAGGGAGAAAGTGTCAATGATTATATGGAACTTCTCGTCAAGGAGACTGTCACGCTTCACAAAGTGCTCTCGAGGTACCTGACTGCACCAGTGGTGGAGGTTTGTGATACTTATGTTATACGTACCAACCAAAATCGCTTACATCCGTGACTTGCTGCACAGTATGTGATGTCTCAGGTGTTCGCTGCGATTAATCACCGCCTATCCGAAGAATACAGCAAGATAGACTTGCAAAGTCAAGAAGCGAAAGACAGGTGACTAGAATAGTTGTTCTATCTTCACGCCTCGTGACGATTTTGACAGGATGCTCGCTGATGCGCACTACCTTCACGAGAAGTTTTCCGTTCTAAAAAACGTTGGTGCACCTACAAACGTGCTCAAGAATGTGGTTGCGGAAAAGGCTTTACCTCGGAAGTCGGCGTTCAGCAATATCCGAGCCACAGCAAGCCCCAACGAGCGTATCAAGGGGCTGCTTTCGCGGAAAAATAGTGTCAAGCCGGACAAGCCACTACCCGCAGTTAATTCTTCTCCGACACCTAGCTCGCCGCCACCACCTCCTCAAGAGGCACCTACCCATGCTGCTACCGTGAAAGAAGATAGAAGCCCAACCCCTGATATTGTGGTGCCACCTTCACGGGGCGGTTCTCGCGCCCGCGGGATAATAGACTTTAAACAAATGGAATCTTCTTCCAGAGATGTAGATGCGGCAGAGAAGGATGAACTCCCGCCCATTCCCGATGACGCCAATCACTCACTGCTTTCAGAAGCCGACATCTCTAACGGTGTCGCTTCTGAGATGGAAAACAATTCCGCATCGGCAGCATCCTATAGGAAGGACGAGCGTGAGATCAGTGATAACCACGACGAAGTTCCACCTGCGGTTCCTATATTACCTTGCAATGGCGATAGTTGATAATTTTGGTTGGCGATTGCAATTTGGATAGCAATTATGGATTCTTGCAAGATTCCTATTTGAAAACTGAGAATGCCGGAATATTCTAGTGTTCCTCTTGGTGGCGTATTCACCACAGATATGCATCACTGACAGGTCCTCCATTCCCCGATCCTATTGTTTTGGTCGGATCAACCAGGATGAACCCCCGTGCTTGTCCAGCTGTTCAGATAGAGAGAGAGAGAGAGAGTATTTCTGTATTTATATATCACAACAAACAAAGGAAACTGTGACCCCCAGGCCCCCCACTGAAACCTTGTTTCTCTTTGTTCCCTTACGTTGACACGGCACCCGTTAAATGCACTTCGGATCTAAATGTGGGGAAACGAAAATCGAGGAAGAGATTTAGAAGAGTATTAATATATGCAGACTGAGTTTGATCACACGATATGCTGCAAGTCGTTAAACTAACTCTGTTACAGCTCTGACAGGTATGGTGATGCTGTGGGTGGAGCACATCAAGTATCACGTCCGTGTGAGGTTATGACGCGAGCATATCCAATATTATATTGACCGGCGGTGACCAAACAGTTCCAGACTGATGTGGAAACGAGGGTGAATCTTCTAGCCTTTCCGGCAGTAAGCGTCGACTGATCTGGTCCTCACCTTGACTGTGCAACCAGCGGCTAGTGTATCTCATCATGCACGGCGTTACTAAGGGTGCATGCTGCAAGAGCTGTGCGATCCTTTTGTTATCCTCGGGTGACGAGTGCCGTCCACAAGTTTATTACGTGCGAACGAGGAGTCACCCGTGGTATTGTCACTCACAGACGTTCTGTCTATGTGACAGAACTAGGTGAGATGGATACATCAATGAATCGGAGGGCGAATAAACGGACCTCTTGGCGTTCTGTGATATGATGCCAGGCCTACTATCACATCACTTTCACATCATTTCACACCTCAGTTAATAAACATGCTGTTCTCAAATGCCGGTCAATTTTGATTCAAAGCACGAGTCATGGTGTCAGCTCAGAGTCGCGCAATCAAACGTGCGACGGTGAAAATTTGAGGTAAGAACAATGGGTAGAGAACGTTGCTTACAAATAATGCGATGTGACGCTATGTGACGTGGTTCCTTGGATCTCCTGTGAGATCACACGCTTTGACTCAACCCGGTCTTGTCTGAATTGAGTCATCTAATTCATATTTATTATTTCTCAAATATTCTATTCCTCGTACCGCCTCCCCCGTATTTAAGCCCGTGCTGTTCCTTTCCATTTTTCTCATACGTCCCATCATTGCACTCCGACAACGCCTACGACAGCGTGCTCGTCTCCATAAATAAGCTTAGTTCTTTACCGCCTGGTACCCTTTGTTGCTCAACTAAGCCTCATGTTCGAGGAGATATGCCTCGCATGTTCCAAACACCTCCGCGATGATGGGTATGTACTTCCCTACGCCCAGCTACCTACCTCTGACTCTCTTCATCAATATAGTCGTGCTTACTGCAGTGATGAATGCGAAAATTCAGACATGTACAATTCTCCTTCCATTTCTTCTGCCAGCAGTGCCCTTTCGTCTCCATACATCGATTTTACTCCCGGTGGCGAAGTTCCACCGCTTATGCCGTCTGCATTAGGAACCGCGCTTAGCAGTAATTTCCAGAAACGAGGCCGGTATTCTGTGTCGTCTTCATCCACATCTTCGGCTTCCTGGTCCCTCTTCACTGATGCAGAAGAGGAAGGCTATGCTTCTGTTGGCATTGATGACGAAGCTGCATATGAAGGAGATGGTTTAGAATCAGGTGTATCCGGCGACGGCTTCGCACGGTCCGCAGGCTTCTTACATCCGTGCAAGTCCTCAGGACTCAGCTACACTCGCCAACCGTCGGCTACCAACAACCGCTCAACCATTCCCCTTCTTCACCGCCGAACGTCTTCTACATCTAGCTCAGGTTTCGGCCAACTGCATTCATCTGCTGAAGATGACGCTGATTCTATTAGCGACGTTCCCTTCCACGAGAAACCTTCGGAGCGAGAACGGGAGCATAACAAGCTCACTGTTACTTCCAAGTACAAAAAGAGCCGCAATCGTGCGAGCCTCCCTGCATATTTCTCTCTTCTGCAGGTCAGCTCCCCCCAACGCAGCTCGCCGCCACTTTCTACCAGTTCAGGAAACACGACCAATCGTGCTTCTCCCCCTACACCAAAATTAGCTTCATTGCTAGCAATCTCTGGCATTCGCTCTGTTGTAGAAGCGACGCCCCGTGGGCGGCGACGCGAACCTGACACGAATAGTCGCTCCAACTCCCGTTCTCGTGCACGCCAGCAGACTCTGGTCCCTGGACCTCGCGAACGCCAGGACAGCCGCAGCAGTGTCGAGAAAGTTTTCGATTGGACTTGTGCTCCGTTGCATCGAGGTCGTCCAAGTGTGCGGCGCAACTCATCACCACTTCCAAAGATGATGTCCTCGATGCAGCGATCTGAGGAAACACCTTTCGTGAATTCCATCGATGAGACACACGAACGCAGGGGCCGCTTCAAGCGCAACGAGCTTGACGGACCAGGCTCACGTGATGCGCCCGGTTATGGGAATGGCAGGAGCGGCCTGCGAGAGCGGGTGCGAGAACGCCAACGCGATGTTGACGCCGGTTTTCTGTAACCGCACCCCCCAGAACTCGTTTCTCGTTATGCATGCCACGCCGATATATTTTTGCACCTCAGGCGTGATAAAACCAATGACTTCTCCATCGTTCTCTCGTCACATCGCACTCAAAAATAACCGCACAAACCTTTCACTCGCCCTTTTATATCGACCATACGTAACATATCTACCTCATCAAAGTATACGGCAGAACTTCTAGTAGTCGCAGAAAATTTACGGAAATCACAGCACGCATTCTTCGTCTTCACATATCACCATTCATTACTTATTCGTGGTCGTCACATTCAAAACTAGCATTCATCGTACCATTTAGCATCGACTTTCACCATTTTGTGGTCGTCACATCGGATCGAGGGGAATCATTATCAAGTACCATGCATTGCTTGACATTCAACTGAGATTGTGCAATAATATTCGCTCTTCATCTGCCCAACTGAGCATGACACGATTATAGGAATTAAGCGACATGCACCTCGTTGCAAACGTGCAGGCTATTCTCGAGTGACAAGAGGTGACTACGGTAGATGTTCAGTGACTAGTGGCGCCGCAAGGGTCCCGACGTATCGTATCAAAGTATTACCTCCGATCCTTTCCATTTGATACACGGCAAAGTAACGTGTTTCATGGTAATTCGTGAGCTAAAGATAAGCCAAAAAAAATATCCGGTAACGCATTCCCCAGCAAGCAAACATGATGGCGAGGCTGGACAACTGGCAGGCAAGGACCAATAGCAATATCGTAGTAGAGCATGGGGCCTTGTGCCCAGAATATTGTTCGCGGCGTGGTGTGAAAGGGTGCGAACCTTCGACACGCGACGGCGGACTTCCATTTCGGGAACTTACTGTACTGGCTCCTCCCAATTCCCCTTCAACCCATCAAGCTGAAGCTTTGTCTTCGTTAGGGATTCATCCTCTACCAGCTACTCCCAAATCATCCAGAAATCCTCGTAAATATCATAGTTTCGCGATTGCACTTCTGGTGTTGCATGACATAGCTAGCCACAGAACCATCAACTTGCCATCATTGATTCACTTACTCAGCTGAATACTGCAGAGGACAATTGTCCTACACGCCTAGGGCCGTCTCCAAGCCTGGAATCTGCAACGGTTGAGAGTAACAGTCGGTCTACTACCACGCAATCAAGGGCAGTTGCTGTACAAGCCCATACAACTACTTCGATACCGGCTACCAGACACCGGTCCCAGCTTGAGGAATCTGTAGGTGACGTACAATCTACTGCATCAACAGGTGCGGCTCGTCTGGTTTTCAGAATGTCCAGATCATGTCTACTAACCATTCATTCCTTTATCCAGATACTGAGGTCTCGAGGCCTCGCAAACGACAAAGAATCGATAGCATAAACACTCTGGAATCCACCTCTACCTTCCTGACCGTCAACAACAGTCTTCGCGTCACTAATTCGCCTCTAAACGACATGCGAAATCCTGAACCTGAACCTGATAGTCATTCCAACTTATCTTCTTCATATGATTTTGTACCAGAGGCAGGCCCGTCTTGCGTCACCTTGGACAAGGCTGGCCATTCCAATGGAATAAATAAGGAGAATGGGTACTCTACTCCGCTGTCAAATGGTACTATTTCGAACGGATCTTCAACAATGGGAAATGGCCTCGCCAAGCACAGTTCATCCATCACGCGAGTGTCACTGCCAGGCACCACCCTCTACGACGACCCATACCTTGATCGAGAAGAGTTTGTGAGACTAGTTATCCAAAGTCTTAGAGACGTCGGGTATATGTAAGCGATTTTTTTTGACTCGCATGCTCTTCCCTTATCACATTCCCTTCAGAGAATCTGCTGCCACTCTCGAAGCTGAGTCAGGGTACTCGTTAGAAGCACCGGAAGTGTCGGAATTTCGGCAACACATCCTGCGCGGTGCCTGGGCCAATGCAGAGCCTTTGCTCATTGAACTTGGGGTGACTGATGCTGACGCTCTTCTGGTATGCATATCTTCCTGTATGGGGGACATGCTCTTCTGATGGTTCTATTTTTAGGATGCACGCTTTCTCATTGGAAAGCAGAAGTATCTTGAATTACTTGAGGCACGGAAAACGACCGCTGCGCTGCAGGTACTGCGGAATGATCTGGCTCCGTACAGTACCGCGTTAGAACAGGATGAACTCCACGCATTATCTAGGCGAGCTCTTTGACATATCTTCATATTTTACATTCATGATGACTCTTGTCCAGCTTAATGATGTGTTCAGATCCACAAGATCTGCGTCGACGTGCATCTTGGGATGGAGCGTCGGGAAATTCACGGCGACAACTTCTTGATGATCTACAACGTCAGTATGAGATCTCAATAGAAATATCTCTTTGTGCTCCTGTGTTTTTTTTTTCAGTTACTGACGTCTTGCCTCACAGATTATATACCTTCTTCGACCATGATTCCCCAGCGCCGATTTTCTACCCTTCTCACACAGTCGCGAGAATATCAACGACAACGTTGCCTCTACCACAACTCCCCCGTGAATCCATCTTCATCCTCACTATTCAGTGACCACACATGTGACAAGGAATCCTTCCCTCGAATAACAACTACCATCCTCGAAGTCCATTCAGACGAGGTGTGGAATGTGGCCTGGAGTCATGATGGTACACATCTAGCAAGCGCAAGTAAAGATAAGACTGCTATTATTTGGCGCATTGGGGTTTGTTGGAATGACTTGCAGCATTTTAACATACTAATTTCTGACCCCACAGCTCGAGGCAGAACCATCATCCCGTGATTGTATAGCAGAATTCATCTTGCGCGATCACCCATATCCTCTCGGTTGTTTGGCCTGGTCACTAGACGACTCTATCTTATCTACGTCTGCGGATCACCTCATTTTGCTTTGGAACACAAAGGTTAGCATTAAATTCTCGTGTCTTGGGTTGCAATACTCATGAGCCATAGACTGGAGCTCTGATGAAGACGCTCGAGAATCACGCTGAGACAGTGTCTGCCTTGGTATGGCTCCCTGACGGCTCAGGGTTTATGTCGGGTAGCCTCGATCGTAAGATCATATTATGGGTACGCTTATCGCAGGCTTATGTTTTCGCACCTCACCTCATGTTTAACAGGACATGGAGGGCGAACCACGGGAATCATGGAATGATATAGCCATACGTGTCACTGATGCTGCAGTGACTCCTGACATGAGACGCCTGGTCGCTGTTGGGATGGGATATAATCCTCCTCCAACATTGGGGACACTGGCTCGTGCTAACGTCCGAGACGCATCTCCACCCATTGTATCCAACGGCAACGGTAATGCAGTGGGGCCCCGTCCGCAGGAGAATCGGATGATCATCTACGATCTCAAGACAGGACAGGTTGAGCTGTATGTCCAAGCATGTTTGTTTCAGCATGTTTGCTCATCGATCTTGCACGCAGATCTGTTCACATGGAGGGTGAACTTACTAGCGTGAAGATTTCCGAGGATTCTCGGTATGCATTAATCAATCACGCTCCAGATGTGACTACCTCATTTTTTGTATCAAACCCAACCATCTTACTGACCGTGCATCAAAGGAAATACATCTGTGGGACTTGGAAGAGTTCAGTCTTGCACGCAAGTTCACTGGGCAACGACAGGGTCATCATGTCATTCGCAGTTGCTTTGGTGGCATCCATGGCAACTTCGTCATTAGTGGGAGTGAAGGTATAACGACGTTCATAGCATCCTACTAATTCACTGACAAAACATTTCCAGATCGCAATGTCTATGTTTGGCATCGCGACACAGGTACACTTCTAGAGGTACTGGAAGGTCACGGCTTGGGAAGCGTGAATTCCGTAGCCTGGAACCCCCGCAATAAGCGCATGTTTGCATCGTGTTCGGACGATAACACGATACGTGTGTGGGAGGCACCTGTTTACGCGGGTGAACTGCTTCGAGGGTTCAGCATCTCTGCGTCAGAGCCAGAGATGATTGGGAAGGGGAAGGGCAAAGTAAAGCAACCTTGGGCCTATAACTATGGAGGGTTATAATGTCTTGGGGACTCAGCGAACATCGATGATCGATGATCTTTCGCGAATGCTTTGCATCCTCACTGCTTTGGCCATCATTGCACAACATACAGTTATCTGAACGCTGATCAATTATCTTCATCGTGACATATCATGCATAGTATAGACTGTTAAAGTAGCAAGGACGTAGGATAGTGCGCATTGCATAAGTTATTCGGATTATTTTCGGATGTCACGTGAGCGCGTCGCGTCGCGTCGCACTTGTTTGTCCATCAATTCAATCTCTGACCGCTTCACGTTCTTGTCCTTTGCTAAATCACACCCCTTTGTCTTCTTGTATGATTACTCTCGCACTAGTTTTTTTTCCGGTGCTTTTGGCATTTGCCTGGGCCAAGGAGTCCGCATGGAACGGTCAGACTCCTTCAGGGACAAACACACCAGGTCCATTCCGGCCCTACTACGTCCCGCCAGGAGCAAAAAGTTATGATTCATCGTCTCCGCTCATTCACTTTACTGGTTCTTGGTTCGACTCTTTCAATAACATGTACGTCGCGACGACCCTGCGTTGGACCGACGAGAAAGGAGCTGCTGCCCGGATGACGTTCGTGGGCACTGGTATCGAGTGGTTTGGTGGTCTAGACAGGAGTCATGGAATCGCCGCGGTGTTCATTGATGGGAAAAAAGTGCAGGAGATCGATACCTGGAGCAACGTGTCGCGTAAACAGCAACGGATCTTCTGGACTTTTAACCTGCCGTACGGCAAACACACCATCAAGGTCAGAAACCTTGGGAAGGGACGAGTTGACAGCCCTGTCATCGATATAGATGCCTTTGTTGTCACAGAAGGTCATACGACCCTTCCTCAAACCCTTGACCTATCAAACGCAGCACCTCAGCCAGGGGAGATCTGGTCCTTCGCTTCGCAAACTCAATGGACACTGCAACAAAAGGGCGTAACCGGCGTATCCGCCATGCAGCTTACCGTGATCTCCGATACTCATGTTCTTATCATCGATAAAGTTGAACATAATCCCTTGTCAATTGGGGGTCACCCAGCATGGGCTGCCTTGTTCAACCTCCGGACGCATGCCGTTAGGCCCCTCAAGGTTGAATCCAACTCCTTTTGTGCTGGCGGGACTTTCCTGAGCAACGGAACTCTAATAAATGTTGGAGGTAACCCTGTGGTCGGCGGGTACACGTCCGCAGCAGACTTCGGAGACCTCGATGGCTTGCAGGCAGTTCGCATCTTCGAGCCTTGCCCATCTGCCTCCGCCGCTCATTGCAACATCTACGAGGATCACTCTCGTATCCGCATGGCTAGCCCCCGCTGGTATAACACAGTTATCCGAATCTCCGACGGAAGTGCTATGATCGTTGGCGGATCAAAGAAGGGTGGGTGGATGAACAACGAGACAGTGAATAACCCTACTATCGAATACTGGCCCCCAAAGTCCATCCACAACTCGATCGGCCTGCCTATACATCTACCGTTCCTGGTCCGCACCCTCAACGCCAACCTTTTCCCTATCGTATTCTCACTTCCAGACGATAGGATCTTCATGGCCGCTAATCAAGACGCTATAATATATGACTGGCGGACGAATCAGGAACGACCCCTTCCGCGAATCCCTAACGAATGCCGAGTTACATATCCTATGGCAGCCGCTGGCCTCCTCCTTCCTTTATCTCCCGAGGACGGTTACACTGCAGAGATCTTATTATGCGGAGGTTCCACGATCGATGACAAGAAACCAGGTTACGAGATATCTTCTCAAGATTCAGCATCTTCCCAGTGCTCTCGCCTGCTGCTTACCGACCAAGGAATTGCTGCAGGGTGGGTGGTCGAACAGATGCCCGAGGCGCGTCACATGCCAGATGCAGTCTTGCTCCCAACTGGCGAGGTTTTGATCGTCAATGGCGCGGGAACTGGAATCTCAGGCTACGGCAACGTTATCGATCAGGTTGGGCAGTCGAACGCAGACCATCCGGTCCTTACACCGGTTTTATATGATCCCACCGCCCCAGCTGGGCAACGCTTTTCCTCAGAAGGAATGAGAAGTAGTGCGATTCCGAGGATGTACCATTCGGTTGCGACACTGACACCCAATGGCGATATCATGGTAGCTGGGAGCAACCCGAACTTAGATCGGAGTGAGGTGAAGTATGGGACGGAGTATAGAGTTGAGTGGGTCGGTCCTCCATACATGAAGAAGAACAGACCGCTCGTGCACAAGCCCCCTAAGGCTCTCCTGTATGGACAGAACCTCACTCTAAGTGTCAAATTCCCATCTTCCACAGCAAAGGCCCGCAATATCAAAGGTAGGTTTGTCACCACTCAGTTCGGGCCACCCACCTTACAATTATACACTTTAGTTGCACTTATGGATCTTGGCTTTGTAACCCATGCTGTTCACGCAAATAGCCGCCTGGTGTATCTGAGCTCTTCACTCGTCAGTGATGGACATTCACTACAGATTACTGGTCCGCCTCGACCTGCGGTGTATCCACCAGGACCAGGTTGGATATACGTTATCGTGGACAACGTCCCCAGCGTCGGGTTTCAGGTGATGGTAGGGAACGGTGATGGGCCCCCTGTGGACCACACTGCCTGGGATAAGTGCGTCTGATTTCCCCCTTTTTTATCCACATTACTGAAGTATTCATTACCAGTTTGCTGAAAATGACCGCGGTGGACCAGTACGAAGCATCAAAGAAGATGAAAGGAAAGAAAAAGGGAAGTATGTCAACAACATAGAGTGATGATCTATATGCTATCCTAGCTTTCACGGTTGATGGACCGTTGGCCTCTCATCCTGTTATCTATTTTGCTCACGAACTGACGTTTGAGCTTAGTATGTATTGCCAGCAATAGATTTGTACACAACGTTTTTGTATCGCACTTCCTATGATGATATTGGAGAAATATGGAAAACAAAGATAATAAATTTGTCTAAACACAAAGTTACAGGGCCCGCTGCTTCATACGACTGCTGACGGTCCTAAGTCCGGCATAAACTTTTCCGGGTGGTGAGCCCAGGATTAAAGAGACGATTGCATCACGTGCAATTTTGATGTTTTGGAAGGAGCCCATAATGTGAATTTTCCTGTGTCCAAGGCATCAATTACGTTGTCGAGATGAAATAAGAGAACATAGATTTACGTGTCGGCGAGCACGATACGAGTCCGGCTAGTGTTCTCGATCGTAAACTTGGTCTTGCCATCCTGTCCCGCTATCCGTCCTGAAATACTTTTAAGCGAAGAAATATGTGATACGTGCTCGTATACCGACCGATTGCTCTGCTTAGATGATCGCCATGGAGTGTTTTTACGTCTTTGATCTCAAACGAGTCGAGGTAAAGATCGTCCATTCGTAGAAGTGCTATCGCGTCCTGTAAATCAATAACTTAGAGATGCATAAAGATATCAGCAATCAGCACTCACGTTAACGTCAAATCCAAGAGCATACGCCTTCACAAAATCAGCTCCTTTCTGCAGAGCACCGATTTCGGTGGTAGCTTTTGATGTCTACAGCGATGCGATAAGCATATAATCAATCTCCAGGGACAGGCGAACGCGCACTCTAATTTCTAAACACCGCCTCTGAACATTCATTCGCACTTGTAGCCCAAGGATCTCGGTGAGAGGACTGAAAATATTTATCCAGTCCTTTTTTATAGGCGTCATGCGATGCGGGGGTATTGGAATTCTCCTTGTCTCTGATTTTAGAGTAGATTGTGTCGCAGATGCAGGCAAAGCCGGAAAAGAGGGCGCTGAGCTTGCCTCTAGGGCGGGGGTAGGGTTTATTTCGATCATCAAATCATCATCTTCGGCAGTGTGATTCGACTTCAAAGGGGGAATAACCTCTGGAGACATCTCTTCGTCACCGTCAACTTGTGTGGTATTGGCAGCCGTGCGTGCTTTCTTCTTACGAGTCATGCTTCGGCGGTTTTTGGTGGCAGATGTGTTCTGCTCTACGTGTGCGACTACCATGTCTGCTAATGATGGATGGGGAAATGAATTAGGCCAGTATGAGGTCTCGAGGATTCAGGCCCAGGAATATTTCGAGGATGAAGTGCAAATCACGTGACCTCGATCAAGCACTAGTAGGAAAAAGTTATCTTTGCGTAACGGCGTTGCTAGCCCTTGACCGGACTTCAAAGCTTCACAACTGACCAAATGTCGGTTTACACCAAGGACATGAACGACAGCTATACTGAGGGTAATTACATCTTCAATAACTCTGTTGTGCTCAGAAGGAGAGCTTTTCAGCGCTGCAGGCCCTGTTCAACTCGCTGGCACCCAAAGGACCTGACACGAGCCCCTCTTCAAAGCTAGCACCTTCGCAATTCAAACATCTCGCCGATAAAATAGATGAGATCCTCGAAGGCGCAAGTGAGGGTGAAGCCTTCCAACGGAATGAGAAGGGCGAAGTGCGTCTTCGAACCTGTGTCTACTATGTGTATTGAATTCTTGATTTGTATTCAAAGCTTCTCAACGACGAGGGTCTCCCGATCATAGACATCACTGAACCTGCTGCGGATATCAGTGACATTGACTCTCCAGCGGCTTCGTTTCATGAGCCAGATCTCATACCAGAATCATCTCTATCTACTTCGGAGAGGGAACAGCGCCGTCGCACACGAGATCATATTCTAGCTATGCTTGAAGAAGAGGAACAATCACAGTTGGAAAGAGACGAAGCAGAAGAAAGGGAGAAGCGGATGGAGGATATACGTAAGCGCAAGGAGGCCGCGAAAGCAGAAATGGAGCAGTTAAGGGCAGCCAAAGAAATGCAGAAGAAAATGGGGAAGGCCCTGCTGAAAAACCTTGCAGAAGCCAGGGAAAAGGAGGAGCGAAAGCTAAAAGATCTTATCGAAAAGGAGCCTCCCAAATCGGAATCCTCCAAACCGAAGAAGACTGTTACTTTTGCTAATCCCAGTTCGCCGGATGAATCATCTGCTACAAGGGAGGGTCAAACTACTGGATCATCCATTGATTGGGGACGTCATCCCATGAAGATGCACGTGGTGGAGCGACATCCAGCTTCGTACCAGTCATCGTCAGAACTTCAGCCTGAAGGTGATTCGGATGATGAACCTTTTTCCACGACGTCTTCGACACCCGATGAAGTTGAAAATATGCCATACGAGTCTTACACTTCGGACAGTGACGACGACGACGACAAATCGGATGAGGGTTTGCTGGAAGAGGAATTTGATTGGGATTCCGCACAGCACCAGCGAGAAGTGGCCCTGGAGTATTATAAGAAGCGTCATGCTATTGGTGCAGAGGCGGCCCGAGCGATGACTTCCCACACACACGATGATGAAGAATGGAACCAAGGGGTCAGTATTTCCCTTGTCCAGCCCCGCAATTTACACAAGTCAACTACAGGATATTACCCCAGATCAGCGCTCGAAACCTAGTGTATCGCGCTTCAGGGCTGATCGTATGGCCACAGCATATGACAAATCTACCTCTACTTCGCTTGGTCCATCGGTTATTCCAGCTTCTCGACAAAGATCCTTGCAAGAAGCTATCCGGTTGGGAAAAATCGACAACAACCATCTTGTTGGCGGCGAGGAGGGGGAAAGCGGGAGTGAGGATGAGGCTGTCCGAGAGGTCTTGGAGCTTCTGAGAAATGGCCGCATCCATAATGCTGGTACTGGCCTCACGAGCTCGACTGTGGCAGAACCAAGCGCAGGTTCTGCGAGGAGCGCGGCAGGTACAGTCGCCAGCATTCTCGGTGGAAAGATTTCTAGGTTCAAAGCAGAGAGGATGTAGAATGTACATCAGCGTGCAAGTACGATGGACGATGATCGATGAACAGTTATAATTGGCTTACTACTCTACAGACGTATCGAATGGCGCAATGTGAGGATAAGTGAGGGACGCAAGGACATACAGGCTAGTTATTTGTCAGCATCTGCATCTAATTTACCTATCAGACGGGACGATTCCTACCCCCGAGACAAATAGTTTAGTGACCAAAGAAGTGCAGCCAGCGGAGGACTGTCAATCTTTCGTACGAAGTGTCGAGCCGTGCGGTATTGTAACTTTGTCGGAATTACGCCAGCCATGGCTGACGTTGTGCACAAATCTTCTTCTCAGTGTTCCTCTTGCCCCTCCCGCCCCCCGGTGTCTTGTATGCCTGCCCGCTGTCCGTACTACACAACGTGATCAAGGTGGTTGTGGCTGACAGCATCGAGGCTGACAATATGTCCATGTCAGTCCTCAGGAAGGGCATGCGCGATGTGTCAGCTATAAATGAAAACTCCGACCGAATTGAGCCGAGCGGCTGACACGCCCCCAGAGTCCAGACATACAATACCCCGGAGTCTGTGACAGATTTGCCCCCAGATTAACCATTAGCTAGACTTTCTGTGAACTGCGTAGCTGCCTGGTTGCAGTAGATAAGTCAAAGGCATTATCGATATTCGACCAGTTCAAAGTCGTTTTCATTTCCAAAATCTGGAGAGATGTCCGAGTCCTTATACTCGTCTTGTGCGGATGTACTCTCTGTGTGCCAGGCTGCAAAAGATGACCTTGCCGCTATCCTCGATCCCAACATGGGGTTTGCGCCTAGGCTACGACAATTGTGTCGCGACCGGTGCGTATCAAATTCCTTGTCTATAGAGCGCACCTCACCTGCCACCAGAATAACAGAGGCGGAGAATAGCGCGTCTTCTGACGTCTCTCAAGAGGAACTCGACATCTTACGCATGGAGGCCAATACGTGGGGCCTTCTTCAGGCTATAATTCCGTGAGTGAACGCGTCTTGCTACTGGTTCCTAACTCAAGGCAACTGTAGTGCCCGCAAAACCGAACCAGAACCACGCGTCCATCCCCGCACATTACTTGCCACAAATCCCTACACACCCACGTCAACATTAGCACAAGCAATCATGGATTCATCAGTACTCCTCACGGAACTTGTCGTAGTACGAGAATGGCTCCATGAAACTGCCCCACAACCGCAACATCCAGAAGCCACCACAGGATACTGGAAGTTTACGAAACATAATGTCATGCAGGGTTTACGCACAGGCTCAGGAATAAGAGAGGGTCTGGTAAAAGAGCTGGATCCTGATGCCATGAACAGAGGTGATGGCCGATCATTAGCAGCTGATGACGCCGTGAGCCAAATAATAACTTGTTGAAGCACTGACTAACATGCCATCATTCGCAGGGATCTGAGAAAAGCCTAGCACAAGCGCTCTATTCATTTGTTCGTGCTGGCAGATTGGACGAGGCAGTTGAATTATGCAGAAAAGCACATCAACCATGGAGGGCTGCCAGTATCCGTGGTTCGCTATTATTTCAATGGCGAGCTATTGGTAAGTCAAGCTTTAGGTATGTATCCGCGCATATCTGATCTGCTGACAGCAAATGAGCAACGGAATGATGACGGCATCGATGATGCTGATGATGCGGAAGGATGGCAGGGAAACCCACGTCGAAAATTATGGAAATCGACATGCGCAAGAGCAGCCCTGAATGTGTGTTATCCAACCATTTGTGCACCATCTTTTTAACGTATCCTCCAAGCCCAACCTCCCCGATCCAGAGCGCATTCTCTACGCAGCTCTCGCGCCCTGCCCGCAAACATTTAGTATCCTCAAGTCTGCATGTCGAACATGGGAAGACAATCTATGGGCGCAGATCAGTATCCTATGTGAGGAAAAACAGACCGCAGAAATGATTAAACTGGGTGGCGGCTTCTGGGACGGAGGACTAGCAGTATTAGAAAACATGCCCTCGCCTCCGTCCCAAGAGGAGGATGCGGCTGAGGAAGAAGAGTGGGAAAAGGAAGCGACATCTACGTTGGAAACCCTAGGTAGCGTTCATGTGGAGGACGGGTACGGCCCACATACACGTGTCTATTTTCCATGTGCTGACCGTCAGTTAGTCCTACCGCAGACCACGCATTCCACGTTTCTCAGCTGGCCATCATCCTCGATCGGACAAGTTCATTGCTAGAAACCTTTGCAGCTGGACTAAAAAATGGAAACTTCGATCCCGAATCATCAGAGTGAGCTGAACAACGTGTATTTGACATCCTCTAACAAAGCATCAGGTACCCTACGATGACGCGTTTCTTCGCCCACCTGTGCCTTTATTTGCGGATGATTGATATTACAATTCCGCCGCTCGCGACCCAAGTCATACTCGAGGCTTATCTACAAGTATTGGAAGTGAGAAATTGACCCTAGTTGTTTCTTTCCGCGCTAATCTCCTTGTCAGGCTGCAGGCCAACGAGAGTTGATCGCCATGTATGCCGGCGCGCTAGGAGACAACGCAGTCGAACGATATGCGATGTTCTTGACTTCGCTCGAGCTGACCGCGGACATAAACGAACGTCGATTAGCATTGACTCGCGCACGAGAACATGGCCTAGATGTTCACAGAGTGGCAGTCGTCACTGCCGAGCGAACAATCGATAGAGCTTTCGAGGTTGGTGGAACTTGCATCTCAAAGTTCATGTGCGTGCTGACCACTACTTGCAGCTTCTACCTCAAATGAAGGGACCACTCCCTTCTGTTATTACGTTGCAGGCCACTCCCTCCGATATCGAGCTCCTTCTGCTTCGTTCCATAGAGTGGACGACATTCGAGGATGGAACGCATGATACCGCACTGGAACAGGCGACCGTCATTTTGCGGTACTTCTTAGGTAAGCTTGTTGTCGATGTTTAACTATCACGATTTAATCCATGTCTTCCAGGGGCAGGGAGAGTTTCGCTTGCAAAGAACCTGATGGAGGTGCTTCCGCGTGAACTCGCCTCCATTGATCAGCCCGAGGAACGAGCAACAGAATACCTTCACTACAGGCAGTTCTTCACGATCTGGGACAGCCTTGACCGTGTCGTGGAGTGTCAGAGTCTAGAGGTTTCGATAATGAACCGAGACACCAGGGCCGCTTGGTTAAGCGACTACAAGGGACTTATGGACCAGGCTTACGATGCCGTCGTGAAACTACTCACCTCGGATTGGATGATGCCGGACGAGACAGGAGATCGCCGTTCCCGCGAGCTAACTCGCGTTCGGCAAATATACGTCCCCGAGCTTGTACTGCGGCTGCATGTCATGCTCTACGCCTCTCGAGAGCATGTCCCAGAGTAAGCATGTCTTCGTATACAATGCCTGCAGTTCTAACACATCTTGGTCAGAAATCTGAAGCGCGCATTGGAGCTTGCTAACATTGTTGCGGATTCGAGGTACAAGCTGTATGATGATTTCTTGCATCTCGATGGCCGAAGGCTTGGGGAATACCTTGATGCTGTGCGCCGGGCAACAATAGCTGGCTTGGAAGGCGGTGGATCTGATCCTTTCAAGATAATTTTATTGTAGTCACTATTTGTTATAACTTTGTGAATCTATCTCGGAGGGCAAAGTCATCCATATGCCTACACTTACTACGTACAAGCGTACCGATCACCTTCGGACGTCGCGTGTCATTTTACAGTGAATTACAATAACAGGTGTCTGTATACTACGTTTGCCGTAGTCTTTTCCTCAGCTTCTGTAGGGAATAGCGTCCGAATGTCTCGCCGAACTCTCGATAGCACAGTGTAAAGCTGACCGTGTGCGAACGAATCTGTACGTAGGTCCAGTACCGCTTTCTCGAGCGTGAGTCCTTGACATCCGTTGAATGTGGTGGTGGCATAAGCAGGTCGCAGGGGAAATTGCTTTCAATTGATGGTCCAGCCTGACCTCGCAGGATTGAAAGAGAACGTAATCCGAGGGAGGCAATGTCTCTCTCCTGTTTGAGGCATCTCAACCTCCACGAATCTGCGATGCAGAGCGGCGATGCGCACTCGTGCATTTCACACTAATCCGTCCTCGATGGACATAGCGTCGACTTTGACATCCAGTCGATGGGGAGGCGTGTTTGGATGAGTCAACATGGCGAAGTAGTCGGGCGTTTGCTCAGGCGTGTCTGCAGGTGCTTCGTCTGCTTCTTTCAAACTGTCTGAACTGAAGTGAGATTCTGTCACGTATGCTCGTAATTATGTCCATTCTTAGCTTGATCTTATGCTCACCATAATCTCCAGGCAGTGCATCTAACATTGTTTCGTTGAATTCATCTACAAATATGTTAGTGCTGCCGCAGTTCGGTTCTGAACCTCGGTTCGAACCCGAACCTTTCCGAACCGGACTCAAGGTCCGGTCACAGGTCCGGCATGGCTCCTGGACCGAACCTTAAGTCCGGTTCAGGGTTCGGAGCTAACCAGAACCGGTTCGGACGCGTTCGAACCCCACCGCGACTGTCATCTGTCAGCGCCTACACTACCTCAATTTTGCTGCTGCTGCAAGTCCCCGACTCCTATTGGCTCGTAGTTTTGCTTGAGGTACGTTGTGCATGTAGACTCGACTCTGGATGGGGGACTGATATGTTCTTTGTCTTTGTCTTCATCCTTCATGACAATATTACTGTTGTCCAACATTGTATGTTCTTTTTTAATCTTGCATCTGCCAGAATATTTAATGATCTTTTTCCGTTTTGTTTACTTTCATGCCTCCGCTTATCGGCCCGCTTAGCTGCTCATCGTCCTCAATGATGAGCTCAACATATGGCTTGTTTCTGCCCGTTTCTTGGCGGTTTTTTTCGGGAATTCTTTGCAATAGTTCTCTCTGGTCTTCCTGTCAGTGTGGCGCCCTCAAACCAGCGGTAATGTATGTTTTAACCCATTATATTTGAGCCCTACATCGTAAGATACTAACTAGCCCTCAACCACTGCGCCATCTGCACATCTGCGCCATGGTCCTGCACCAACTCTATCTCCAACTCCTCTTCACTCTTGCCCACGAAGCTATCCTCCCGACGCTGCCGTGTTCCCAATGCCCACTTATCCTTCGCGAGATCTCCTCGTCTTCTTCCCTCCTCCTACTCTCGTCTGTCGTCCGCACTCGTCTGAGCCATGTCAGCAGTTGCTGACGTGCGCTGGGCGTTTGCGCATGGCGTTCGTGGTGTTGGGAATGGCATGGTAGAGCTCCGGCCCATCTTCTGCAAGCTTGGTCGAACCCGGTTCGAACGCGAACCGGACCTCCCGAACGCGTTCAGTGACGTTCGGTCCAGGGTTCGACCAAACAGCTAAACCGAACCTATGGTTCGGTTTAGCGTTCGGAAAATTTGGCCCAAGAACCGGACTGAACTAGACTTCAGCGCTTCAGCAGCACTAGCTGCAGGACAGGAGAATCGAAATGTCATATTGTAGATGACGTCACAACTTACGAACATGCTGATTGGCCACCGCGGATTGTGTCATACATATATATATTGCAGAGGATTCAGTGTTCGACCATAGAACTCATGTTTACCATATTCCTTGTCGCAGCCGCAGCTACAGGCTTGGGGTTAATCTTGATATCCTCATTCAAGGCGACAGATCCCTACCTCTTTCCCAAGAGACCCTCATTCATCTTATGTGTTATCCAGACTTTCCTAATTTCAACGTTCCTGGGCGGTGTTGCAGTGGCCAGTATCAGTATCCTCCTGTCGCACTACACCGGATTCAGAGGATTCCCCATCTTTTTGGCTTTCTGGGGTGTTAAGGTTATCTGTGACATAATTGTATGTAATTTATTTCAAAATCATGACATAATTAATATTAATCACATTGTAGTATCTGATTGAGGCCTATCGGCATCTTCTCGCTCGTCACCAGGAGTTGGACTGGTTTTGGCGATATTCCCCTGAGCTGCATCTCCGATACCCCAATTTGAAAACCAAGCTCTCAGAGGTTTTTTTTTTAAATAATTTAACAGCACTTAGCATCTAATTCATTATTTTACTTAGTCCAAGCAGTTTCTCCTCCTACTTAAGAACCGGGTCATATTTGTCAGCTTACTTGAACATCATGCCCTGCGTTCCCATGTGGAAACCCTTCTCAGGTTAGGTCTCAATGAGCTCACGCCCGTTGTGCCTTCGGCACAAATCGAAGGAGCGCTACGCGCTCCTTCAGGGGAGGAAAATGAGTGTTGTTCCTTCGTCACAGGAAGCCAAGGAGGACTACACCCTCCTTTGGCTTCCTGGCCTCAGTCTGCATCCTAATAAATTGTGCATTTTGAATAAGATCACGCCTTGATAGTGGATTTCAAAAAGAGGTATATTTATGAGCAGCATTTCGAGAAAACTAAAAGTACATAGTACATAAGATCAGTCAGTTCTATATATATATATATATAAGTACATCAATCATTGATATGATCTGTGAGTCCTCTAAGCACTTCTGTATATACTACATTGGTTGTATTTGAGCCTTCTTCATGCTCCGGAAAGATAGCAAACACTCTGTCTGGGTGGGTGCAGCGAGATAAAGCCACATAGAGTTGTCCATGGCTGAAGACAGGAGTCCGCAAATTAAGGCCAACCCACTTGACGCTTTGACCTTACGCCTTGTTGATTGTCATAGCGAATGCAAGACGAACAGGAAATTGGTGACGCTTGAGAGGGATTGGGTTCTCTTCAGAACTGGATTCCATAGTGATGCGAGGAATTAGGACTGTGTTCTCATCGACCTGCTGATCTTCATCATCTCCATCCCTAAGAACACGGCACCTAAGGACACGGGTGGTCCAAGACAGGAGTATCATGTGAGTTCCGTTATGGAGTCCCTGCAAGGGGTTCAAATTGCGCAAAAGCATTGAAGGAACACCTGCTTTGACCTCCAATTTGTGCAAAGGGAAGCCTGATGGGGCGAGGGTATGAAGGAACTCTGGGGGAATGTAATTGTATTCTCTCTCCGTGACTGAGTCTGCACTGGTAAAGACTGCTTTTTCTCCAGGGAATGATTCGAGGATAGTGGCATTGATTTCATCCACATCAGTGTTCTTTGCAGAAAGAATGGTGTGATCCAGGAAGTATGAATCATTTAAGGGAGGATGATCAGGGAGCAGAGTTCTTGAGTATAGGGCATTGATGAGAGACCGGAGATCATTGTTGGGACACCACATGTGGGCAGGGAGGGTCACAGTTCCATCTTCATTTGTGCCCCTACCAGCTCCAATCTCAAGAAGCCACCTTGCAAAATCATCCCGTCTCCCGTCTCCTGTCTCCTGTCTCCCGTCTCCTGTCTCCTGTCTCCCGTCTCCCGTCTCCTGTCTCCTGTCTCCCGTCTCCTGTCTCCTGTCTCCTGTCTCCCGTCTCCCGTCTCCCGTCTCCCGTCTCCCGTCTCCCGTCTCCCGTCTCCCGTCTCCCGTCTCCCGTCCTCCAGTTTTTGAGTCTCCCATTCTCCCATCTCCCATTTTCCCTGTTTCCCATTCCCAATTTTGTGTCCTCCTGTTCTCCAGTTTTTGATTCTACATTGTCTTTGTTTCCTTATTATTTATTTTTTCACAACCTTTTGTCATTCATTTCCTGTCACTACATATATTCATTGTCCCCCTGTCTGTATCATATGTTTTTCCATTTTCATTTTTATTATTTACTGCATGTACCATAAACAATTACAATAGGGAAAATACTTGTGTTGAGTAGTGCGCAGGCAGCAGCGATTGAGTCGGCGCTCGAAAACACGTGACAAAGCCACACGAGTTTCCAAAAAGAGGTTTAAGTGAGGTAAGCGAAAACCATGTGGGCCTTAAGTGTATCTATGCGGCGTAAGCGCAAACTACGCGAGCGCACGACTCCTCCCGAAACTGTTCTCCCTTTCTTCTTAAGATATGGCCTTGCTGGATGTCAAAATCGAACATGATCGAAAGCTTCGAGGAGATGAGTGGCTTGATGATATACCTTACTAGTAATACATCGTAGCGGCAGCGAGCTGCCAGTACTCCAGTCCCAGACTCTGCCTCTCTCTCTCATGCCAAGTCGTTTTGTGTACATCAGCAAATTCCCTACTACAAGATTGCATAAGATTACAATATTTTAATTTACCTGCACGTGAAAACTTGTAGTCGCATTACAAATCAGTGCAATCAATTGTGATGCATTGTAAAGTTTCTGATTGTACGACACTTACAACATTGTGACTCCTGTCAGTGACTACAATCTCTTTATATACCATCTACGGCGCTGCACACTTAGGTTCTCGGATTTCAGTGAGAGAAAATAGCGGCCTTTTAATTATTTTTGCATTGTTGTACCAGTGAGGCTACACCAATCCACTAGTTATTCCATGATGTGCAGCCAGTTGCATTCCAACAAGTGCACCCTTCGGGCTTCATCACAGCGCTTGATTTCTGCTTCCCAAACCAATCGCTCAAGTATATCTGGGGGCTCCTCACGCGGTCTGTGTTCAAGAATGCAGAGCAGGTCATCAAAGCACTATTGGAGGGCACCACACCCGCAGAGCCCTCTGATACAGAGGATTCATCGGACCAGCCTATATGTTCACTCAGTAATGCAGCTACTAACGAGAACAAGTGAAGACTCGTCAGTCTATGCTTTGAACTCACTGTGCACCCTGATTACACTTCTTGTCCACAACCAGTCACCTGGCAGAATTGAAAGTCGTACAACTTGAAACTGTTCACCACAAAACTCATTTTCCAAAGCAAGTACATTCAGATACATCCCAGACACGCTCGAGGTGCTGATATTTAGTGTACTTACGGTATGGTCCCATGCTTGTGATCACGTCTCGCTGAAACACAGACCAGTCACCCGCAGCAAGCTTTCGCAAGACAAGTGAGTTGACTGCTACATAGAGAGCAGAATTAACAAATGAATGACTTAACCAAAACAGTGTCCTTACCTGGAACCTCGAGATATCCTCCTTCATCGTTGAGAAACACAATGGACCACAGTTTTCGATCCTTCGCACTTTTGAAAATTTTGAAAAGGTGACCACATCCTGATACGAAGACGTCTGTGGGCTGTGTGAATGGTGTACTACATCTCCCGTTCCCATGAATGGTGTCAGATTTCTTGATGCCATATGTCAACCAGGAAGCGATGGTAAACTCACGCAGGAGGATGACTTTCAAGAGAAACGTAAGAAGGCTATAAGGCAGTAGTACCATTTATGTAAGCCAAATGCAAACAGATTCAATAGGTACGTAGACTCACAGCCAGTGACCATCTGAACTCTTTTTGCTTAGCCACTGATTGATCAAATCCTGATCAAGATATATGTGCTCCCTACCCACCACCTTCTCAGCATCATTGGGACCATCATGAGGGAGGGCCGCCACCAATGGCTGCTGATTTACTGCCAACAATCACTGGACAGTTGTTCTGAAGAAGGTCTCGAATTTCATCCATCCTTGTCAGCTGCGATTCTGGCGTAGGATTGTCTATGAAGGTGGATCTTGCCATGTACTCCAGAATGTCATTGTGATGAAGAAAACCTTGACGAGCTGATAAAATTTATGGTTTGGGAGAAGGCGACCACCATTTTCAAGAAAGACGTCGAGAGATGTATCGGCACTGTAAGGAGGAGGGTTGCATACAGATGAGTTTGCAGTCATGATAGCCGAATTTTGGTATTCACATTCAGGGGCTAGCCTCGTTTAGGGGTCTCATCACTTGAATGTGACCTATCATGACTATCTCATATCTGCTATGTGTCTTCCTCGAGAGTCGTGAAGAAAGACTATCTCCTGAACATTGTTTCTATCGCATCGTCGAAGAGACTATTCAAAATGTCATACATTGCCCAACCGTCTTGCATTATATGGTGAGGAGCACACTCAAAAATTTCAACGAAGTTGTGGAGGAGCAAAGGGTTCAGGATATCACCAAATATCTACAAACTACCTGCCCCACTGTTTCCGGCAGTGACTCCCCTGCAATGAATTCGACATTCGTTGATGTGCGTGCATACTCGGCCTGTCAAGGTGGCAAAGATCCAAAGAGCAGGAAGCTTGCCCGAAAACACATATATATCCAGAAGCGCTTGGTTGACGACTGGGTGAAAGCCTTGACCAACAAGATAGAGTACTGTCCTTCTGAACGAGAATTTTGGTAGGTAACTTCACCTTTGCATTGTTGCTCGCTGCCAAATATACCATCTCCGTAGGCTCCTCACTGTCTTCATGAAGCTTTGCTTGATATGTGGGCTCATCGCTGTGGTCAAACTTGCATTCACTTCACAGGACATTGATGTGAAGTATCAGGCCCATGGTTCTCCATGCTCACTAGCCAATTTCCTCTTGCAATGGAATGGTTGGCTTGAGTTTGACTCTGATGAACCTGTTCATCGCGAGAGATTGCCGTACCACAAATTGCGCTCTATAGTATTTTCAGACATGTCTGAGTTGTCTCCAAATCATGGTCACATCCGGATAAAAGGTATGCGTAGAAATTTCAATGAAAGACATTGACATCATCAGTGACCTTTGGACTATTCCAGATAATTTTTCCAATATTGAACTAATGGCTGCTGGAAATTGGACGACCATTCCACCAGTGTGGCCTACGCCCTACAATGAGTCCCAGCCACATTGCCTATGCATGTGGGATTCCCCGCCAACGGAAGGTCACCCTGCAACAATAGAGATGACACCATGGAAATCAGATACTCGCAGATCAGATCGTGGATGGATTTACGGGGCGAAACAAGTGGAAGACTAGGGTTTGGAGCTCTCCGAGTTATTGTGCCCATATTTCATCACCAAAATTACGGAATCCAGATCCTTTCAGCGTGTCTGTGATTTATCACATCCTATATCACGCACCACAGCGCGGAGAACGAGGACAATGCGGACACAGCCTCGTGATAGTGGGCGACAGGGTAGGAGAACCAAGGAGGAGCACATGTGAGAGATGGATGGTTCAGGAGAAGTTTCCCCAGCGGTCACTCCGGTGGCAGTGTGTTGACATCATCTCTCCTTCTCATATGTTTGGTCTCATGTTGCGTAAAAAAAAAAAAAATGCAGTGAGGTGAGTGTGAATCTCTCTTTGATACTCCCGAGCTGCACTGCGGCACGAGCTTGTTGACACAGAGGAGAATTGTCTGAATTGAGCTTGCAGATCTTTGATGTATGTAGAGTGCAGCTGGTTAATCACTTACATGCCAGACAATCATGCTGTGAATACATAAAATAGATGAAACTATACAAAATATACACTGCTGTGAGGATCAATGAATACAATTGAACATACCATGAGAACCTCAAGACATTACTCTGAGTCTGCTTGTTTCGCCCTGTCAACTTGCCCAGGAGCATGTTACCATTCACATTCTGCCTTCATCTGTTACAGTCATCCGTAACACCTACACTAGCCCCCGCTCTGCTAGACTCCCGACGCGGCGGCACGCCGCCTGCACTTAGAAAGACAGCAGTCTGGACCGCAGTGACACTGCCCCTGGCCTAGACGGCCTTGTACCTGATCCATGGAGGCTGTGCACCTCATGGTCACCCTAGATCAGCGCATGTATACCTCATGCCGCTTCATGAAGATCCGGAGTGCCCTTGGCGCCTCAAGGTACTTATGTGCAGTCGCACTTGGCGCTGCATGCTTGATCAGAGGTTAAGCCTCATGTACCTTATCTGAACCTCATGTCTTGTTATCATAGATCCTAGATATACTATAGATTACAGACTGAGCTTGAACACTTACATGTAGCACATATAAGTAGACAGATTATTGTACTTAGACTTTACTTTAATCTACTTGGTCCAACCCAGAAACCTGTTCAATTAAGTCTTCCAGCTTAGTTGTCTAGATCACACTTCTAAGTCGCTCCCCACGCCTTAGCCGTATCCGCTAGCCCAGTATCTCGATGAGCGCCGTCTTACCGAGATAACTGGAGGACCCCTTGACGTTCCGTCAAGCCGAGAACCACCCTTAGCTTCGGTCAGGCTCACTCGAGCCATCGCTAAGAAGACCTATCCAAGTTCGCACACGCCAACCGACGGTCAGCATAACATCATCTAACTTCCGTCTCTGTCATCTTCTGAGGTTTGGGGTCTATTTCAGAATCCCACATTCGTAAGGAATTCGGTCAGAACACATCAAAGATGTCAGGATACGACTCAGGGTCTTCATTCCATGCTGTCCAATCTCCAGTAGCCAATCGTTCAAGATTTCGAACTAGGCAAATCCAGAAGAATATGTCGATTAGCTTTCAATAAAATCGAATGAATACGGATGCCTACTGTGCCCTAAGCCAGGAATGAGAAAAAGTGGTGACTCTATCTGAAAATACTAACAATTTGTGGTATGGCAGTGTATTGCGGCAAACCCAAGTAGTACCAAGTGAGTCGAACACGAGCCAACCATTCCATTGCTGAGAGGAAATTTTCCAATGAACATGGAGAACCACGAGCTTCAGGCTTCACATTAATCTTCTCTGGATTGAATGCAAGTTTGACCACAGTGATGAGACCACGTATCAAGCAAAGCTGAATAAAGATGGTGAGACTAGTATGGCCGATGATGTGGTTGGTGACAATAGCGATTAGGCTAGAGATGAAGGTGCTTACATGTAAAATCGTCGCATGCCTGCAGACCCTTTCATCCAATTGTCAACCAAGCGTTTCTGAACATAAATGTGTTTCCGAGTGTCCTTTGGACCTTTGCCACCATGACAACTAGAGTATGCACGCACATCAACGAATGTTGAATGCATCACAGGAGAGTCACTGCCAGAAAATGTGGGGCATGTATTTTGCAGATATTGGATGATCTCCTGAGCTCTTTGCTTCACTGCAACTTCGTCGGGGTTTTCAAGTGTGTTCCTCGCCATGTGATGCAAGATAGGAAGGTAAATAATGATACTGTGAATAGTCTCCCTCACAAGATGACAGAAGGGGTGACCAGGAGGTAATTTCCCTTGATCGCGACTCTCAAGGAAGACACATAACGGATATGAGATAGTCATGGAAGGGGAAGAGCGACTCGCCCCTAACGAGGTTACCAGTTTGGAAACTATGTGGTGGTTTCCCACGTCAATAATCTTTTGAAGTTTACACCAAACTCGTATCATCGACGTGCCTATGGCATCGTTGGCCTTGGTTCTTCGCGTCACAATCGCTCTTAGCACTCAAGGATTCTTCCAGCCAGATGAGTACTTCCAGGCGTTAGAACCCGCACACCACTACGTCTTTGGATATGGACACCTCACGTGGGAGTGGGTTAGCCCAGTACCACTTCGGAGCATCATCTACCCTGCGTTGAATATGCCTCCCTTTTGGATTATCAAGACGCTGGGACTTGATGCAAGATACCCTGAGCTACTCGTGAGCACTTTGTTTATTCTGCCATCCCTCATCTTCATTCGACAGGTCAGATAGCAGGCCCACGCATCGTCCATGGTCTGTTGGCTGCCATCACAGATATATGGATCCGTGAAATTACAAGACAAGTTCTCAACGATGCATTTGTGCCAACTGCTGTACGATTCATCGAATTCGAGCGTAATTGACGACTGAAGTGATTTCCTACAGTACTTTGTCTCTTTGACATCTCTATTCCATTCGTTGTCACTTTCACGTTCCATGTCGAATTCCCTCGAAACATCATTGACGACAGCTGCACTAAGCTACTATCCTTGGAACAATGCGCAGTCCATGCAGGTGCAGTCGTCAGTTACTCAAACTGGCTGTTATTGTGACAAAACATCTCATACGTAAGGAACAGGACTACTAGTAGAACGCGCATGTGCATTGTGTTTGCTGCGCTGGCGTGCGCGATCAGACCAACCAATGCTATCATCTGGGTCTACATGTTTGGCCTTCTCTTCCTGCGTCTCGGGCTCCGCCTGAGTCGGGGGTCCAGCCTCATTCGCGATTGTTGTGTCATTGGGTTAGCTGTCTTCGTCCATTTGCGCGAAGCAATTACCAACTCACGATTTTTACAGAGCTGGGACTATCCTGGCAGTCTTTGCGCTCGATTCAGCATTTTATGGCAGACCCGCGCTGAGTTTATTGAATTTTCTGCGAGTCAATGCGTCGCCTGTATCTTTGTTCTACGGCTCCAGCCCTTGGCATTATTACCTGTCTCAGGCACTTCCAATTCTCTGTTCAACATCCTTGCCGTTCGTGCTGCATGGTATGTTCCTCGCAGTCAAGAATGATGAGAAAAAATCAAAGACAATGCTCGGTTGTATCTTTTGGACGTTGACGGTATTCTCATTTGTTGGACATAAAGAATGGCGTTTTCTCCACCCACTCCTGCCGATGCTACACATATTTGCATCAAGGTCCCTAGTGGAACTGCATCATCGCAGCGCGAAGATCGAGGTCAAAGTTCCCCGGGAAAAGAGAAAGAATGCAATAGCCAAAACCTTTCTCGCTCCCAATCCGCACTCAAGATCTATGCCTTCTTTTATTGAGCGTCCCAGCCTCGATATATGTGGTGTTCTTCCATTGCGTAGGTCAAATAAAAGTCATGTCGTATTTGCGGAGCTTGCCTCCCGAGAACCTGACGTCCGTGGGGTTCTTGACACCTTGTCATTCGACCCCGTGGCAAGCCTACCTTCACCGGCCCGAGCTCGCAGCATCCGGGAGAATGTGGGCTCTTGGGTGTGAGCCACCACTGGGGTAAATGATCATCCTTGTCATAATTTTCGCTTGGGCTTGATATTTTGCACTCAGACTTCAACATCCTAGCGACTACAAGGACCAGACAGATATCTTTTTTGAAGCACCTTTGGAATATATGCGAACACATTTTCCATCGCGTGTGGACACTTCGTACCCTCCTTCGGCCTTCGCTTCATCAGTACCAAATGTCACATTCGTGGAAACACTTCAGGTTGTTGAACAAACTTCACGATCTTGGGATTTAGGCTGGCGGCATGAGTGGCCACAATATGTAGTACTGTTTGGCGCGCTTCTACGGGAGCCGGGCGTGTTGGACCTATTCCAAAATCAAGGTTACGAAGAGGTGTGGAAGGGTGGGTTTGAGTGGGAAGGAGATGGTCAGAGAAAGGGCGCAGTTCGGATTTGGAAACACATCGGTTGAATTCATCCTCAGCCACAGAAAAAAGATCATAAATCGTCTAACGCATATGATTGAATATGAAAATAATGATTGATTGAGGAGTGCAATTCAGGATGTAAAAGATGTATCTGAGAAATTAAGGCTACATCACGGTGTGCCAGGTGGCCAAATGTCCACTGGAGATCATCTACTTTGCATTCTGGCGTTGCATGCGAGTGAGCTGTGATGACAACATATGTTAGCAAGGAAGTTGATCTGAAGGGGGATGACTGACTCTGCGACGCTTCTTCAACCTAAATAGGATAGTGATCAGTCAGTCTACCATCCCTTCACATTGGAATATGAAACATACTTGTGCTTCTTCATCTTCTTTCGCTTCTTTCGCTTTGTGCTATCAGCGTAGATAGTGACCCACTCCTGTGCAGACTCTTTCGCGTTAACCGCGCTACCTTCTGCGGTCTCCTCACCCAAACCAAGTTTTGCCAGGGTGTTTTGCCATGATACTATTCCACCCACGCGATTCATGACCAAGGCATGACCGAGCTGCCTCGCAGCATCAGCGTCAGTCTCGAACGAGGATTCTGGGGGCTCGTCGAGGGTAGGAAATTGCCCTGACTGCAATTGAGTCGTTGGCACCTCTTCTAGTGACTGAAAGAGAGGTGCGTCCTGGGGCGCAGACTCAAAGATGATAGATGGCGGTTGAGATAAGAGCAGAAGCGGTCGGTGCAACGAGAAGAATTGGTGGAGATTGAAATCCTGTGACGATATTGTGGGATGAACTTGGTGATGAAATTGGCTTGAAAATGCCGAAATCTGCGATGCAAATGGTAGGGAAGAGTTACTTCGTGCTGTGTCGACTGTGTTCGAAGCTGGAATCGAAGGAGTTTCATCTGCACCTCCGACCTTCATCTTGCCGTTCCCATTCCCAGAGCTGCTACTGCTCGTTCCATCGCTAGGTACGACGCTGGTGTTTCCATTATCGACCTTTGCTCTGCTAGAAGAAACGACAGGCTTGGGAGGTTTAGCGGAATTGAAGTATCGACCTCCGCCTGGTTTAGACGAGAAAAAAGAAGAATATGCTCTACAGTTCACCGCTGGCGGTTTGAAAAGACGTGGTAGGAAAGACATAAGTGTCTTTCCTTCGAGCGTCTGGCCTGGCCAGTAATTTGAGAGGGAGGACTTGACGTTGTGTGCAAGAGAAAGTGTTCAACCAAAACGGGATTGTTGTGTCAATGGCGCGGCAATGCTGAATCGGCCGAAGCTTGGGCTTGCAACTTTCCGGGTGCCTCTCACTCACATGTACATGCTCTCTACACGTTGAACACTGGATTGATACTGGATATTTAATTATTCAGACTCTCCATTATATATATATATATCTGATCAGCGGACAGTTAGCTGGTTGAGCGGAATACTGTCGGAAATCGGAAGACGTACGTCGTCGTGAGAAAATGTGGAAGTACACTGCTGTACCACCACCACCACCACCACCACCACCACCGGTCACCGCATACCTGGATCCTTGGCGCGGGGCGCTCGTCTTCCATATACACCAGTACTAGTCCTATTAATTGTATTCATCAATCTCGATATGTCCGTCTCTCCCCCTGTATTCAATATCCATACGCCCACATCTTCTTTCGCGCTCATCCACTCTCGTAAGCATTTCAATGATATGACATGGCGAAGCTGATCATATATCTATATATCAGTCAAGGATGATACTATACAGCAACTGTATAATAAGCTTTCAAGGAAGTCGAACACTGGTTTTCACGGAAATCGCGTTGGTCCTGGTTGGATCAAGTACAATTGGAATGACACCATGTGGAATTTGGATGATGGTATTAATCCTTCTGCATCCACCCGCCCCTTCCTTGCTAAAATGCCTTATACAGAAAGTGACTACACCATTTTTGTGTGGAGGCATAAAGCACCCTCTACGTCCCAACAGCCTACATCCGACATAACACCAACACTACACGTTCACGATCCCGCAGCCCAGCTCCCAGAGCCACCTGCGTATTGCAACACATCATTTTACCTATTCAGCTCTACACGTGTAAATTCCCCGCGTCCTCGGTCAGCGCGGAGCGCCAAGTCCCACAAGTCTAGGGCACCACCAGATGCCGAAGGGATCTCAGGGGTTGCGAAGCACAGAAGAGATTTTGAGAGATTCCATAGCGAAAACGGTGTACGTACTGTTTTGGGCACTATCGGCCCAGTCGACAATGGTAGGCAAGCGCTTGTTGGGTCTTGCACGCACATTGAAATTCAAGATCTTTATAGTCCGCATGCTTCTAAAGAACGGCTACCGTCACGTCTACATTTCACGCAAGTTTGCGTTGAGGCATGGGTTTATTCCAGGAGATGCAGCACCAGGGCACTATGGCTACAGTGGCCTCATCAACCTTGGCAAATGGCCGATCACCTTGAAGACAGCTGCAGATTTCACTGATAGCACACAAACTAACGACGTCTCAAACGCAGCACAAAGTTTGAATCACCTGCAACCCAGCAAGTCAAAGACCGTTTCTGTCCCTGTTTTCTTATCCGAGGAGCCACACTTTGACGTCGTGCTTGGCCGCTCGTTCTTTGAGAAACGCCAAATAAAGACCTCATCCATAGATCCTACTGAGGTCATCTGTCTTGATACTGGGGACAAAATTGAGTGTGAATTGGTCATACTCAAAGATGGTAGGGGTCAGATTGTCACTGTTACATAGCATTCCGGTGAATTGGACATATGATATTAACAACTGCTGTACACAGAATAATGCATAGAATACATCACAAGTATGAATTTTGCTCTGACCAGGTCGCCACGACAGGTCCACTGTTCCATGAGAGTGTAACAGGGTCTGGGATAGAATCTATCTCTTTCACATAATGGATTCCTTCATGAATATTCAAAAGGCCTATGCCATGCCTATGGATATGAAAGTTCAACACCAATCCGATCATGAGACAATGTGTATCACTTACTGTTCCTCAATGTGGCAAGCTATGCTTCGCAGAAGCCTACCAGCACCTACACTTCGTCGACAGAGAAGGCACCGATATGTTCTTGGGGGCTTCCCACATAGGAGTTGTGATTGCAGTCGCGACTTGCTAGCTTCGGAAGCTTGACTGTTGTGTAAGTGATTGTGTTCGAGCTGCAAAGGTTTCAGATACCAAAAGTGAAACCAAGAACGCAGAACATACACCCTTCCTCCAATGCATGACAGTCTTGCCATCAGGATGACATGCGAAACAGTAAAACGGGGTGCTTGTGCTGTCCATGTGTGTAAGTGTAGCAGTCCGAGGATCCTGACAGCAACTGCGAATGACATGAATGGCGAGTACTGTGGAAGACCTGAATTTCGGAGACCATGGAGAAGAACCGAGCGAATAATACGCGATGCGGGCCACTTGTTCCTTAAAAGAATCATTCCTTTCTTTGCTTGAGCCTCTTGGAAAATCAAGGCTGCAGTTGTGTGCAACAGCATCAATCCAGAAGAAGAGCTGTTCGCATGCGTTGCAGACAAAAACACTGGTTGCAAGTTGGCGAATGTCTCCAACTGGCGCATATTCCTTTGGATACCCATTCGTGATGATTGCAGCGAGCTGTTGATCGACCTGTCTCCGCCAGTTCCTCACTAGGTTAGGGAGAGCGACAAAAGCCGGTAAAAAGGTATCACGCTCTACTACGACATGGGCAGGTAATTTGATGATGTCGTCGAAAGGTTTGAACCGCGCAACGTCAGCGACATGAGGTAATACGTCGACATCAGTGTTTGGAAATGATGCTGGTTCAGCCAAGAAATCGTTCCATGCCTGGAGGAGAATCCTCCGACGAGAATTATAAAGCGTTTCTTCCATGCGGATGGTCCGCATTTCTAACATATATTCCGTTAGAATTGGGCGGATGCGGCTCCAAACTGTGAGATCAAATCATTTACACAGAACTTGAAAAAATAATGATTACACCAACTTCGAGCAGTAAGAGGCCGCGAATCTTTGATGGCACGATGTTTGGATATTTTCCACCAAGTATGATAATCGATCTCAGGTTTCCACCCTTCTGTTTCTAACCACTCCTTGATGCTAGAATCTGATGTCAGCCAACATATGTGTTCACTTACGGTTGATCTTACATTCGTTTTCGGCCCTCTCGTATCTGGTGTAACTCATCAGATCGGGCCCTGTTGACTCCAGAGAGCCATGCTTTGCAAGCATCAGCATGCTTCAAGGCCACATCATTTACGATTTTGAAACCTGCAAGTGAAATGTGGCGTACCTCGCGAATAGCACGCACGGCCTTCTTTGTTTCTTCGATGACTAGCGTCTGTTCAGCACAATCTAAGCCGTTGAGCCGAAGGCTGAGAGCCTCGTACTGCGATGTTTGGATCATCTCCGTGAACCCTATCCGTTATCAATATCAACCGGACCGGTGCAAAGCATATGGTACTCATACGTAAGCGCAAGTCACGGAATATATATGTTGGGAGAAGCTCAGTTAAGTTTGGACAGAGCTGAGTGACGACGGGTTTTGAATATGCTGGCTCCATACTGAAATATAATGTTCATTTAGAGTAAGAACGTGCAAGGGAACTTCGTACTTTATATGGATTCTCAGACACGGCCCGCAATATTTTGCTCGAAACTGCCAGATGATGTTGAAACCGATTCCACGACAGTTCTGTACGCTTCGTGTTGAAGGATGTCTTTATGAAAATTATGGAAGACGACCCACGTAACAGTGTGGATCAAATGCAAGGCAAGCGTACTGTGGCTCACTCAGATCTGATGGACATTCGGGGAGGTTCGGGATAAGTGACCGCGAGGCTCTCCAAATGAAAGCGTTCGATTTTCGCATAAGTAAATTCCGAAAAGCTTTAGAGGTGCGAGCTAGATTGAGGAGGTCAAGCGGTTTCAGGAACCCGAAAATCTGTTACGATAGATAATGTCTGAGCTGGATGTATATGCGCAGGGAGTGAAACTTACTTCGAAAAGAACATCCAAGCTAATGGTGGGTAAGAGGGAGAGCCCTCCTTTCCTGGCTCTCGACCTGATTGGTTTAGTGTCCTGAGCTTCTACTAGTAGGGATTCGGAGCCTGGGGCATCTTCATGTTTGGGTCTCTTCATTAGGTCTGCGACATCAAAAACATCAGCAAAGTACAAACGTAGTCAGCAGTGCCAACTCACGCAAGTGAAGTCGCTTTGGAGACGTCATTGAAAAGGGTGTCACAGGGCCGTGGACCGCCGGGGGACAGGGCGTCCTCGGAATAGTTACTCAGGGCACTCCGCAGGGTAGCTATACACTACCGAACAAGGATAAGAACGGTCTTTTGAAGAAAAGTATAGGAGGGAGTTCAGTAGAGTCTGAACACGGTGGGGGATATTTAAGTATTGGAAAGAAAGCATGGAATTCGCGCTGCATGATTATATGGTGCTGATTATCATTAACGCATGTCCTTTGTTAACTTTAGCTTGAACAGCACCTCGCTTATTAAGCAAACTTGATCTGCCGCTTGCCACCTATTTGAATCGTCGTCGTGATAGTGGCAGAGATTATTACCAAATTAGGATGTACACTCGGCTCGAATGAGAAACGATTATTATACATGTGTGCGTGGCTAAGCCCAGGAGGGCAGCTGTTCCGCGGACCTTGCCTTCCTAATTTGGGATGATACATATTTTGCAAGCTCGAGTCTCTAGTAGACTCTCTACAGCAAGTTAAAGTCTTCCTTCATGGCGAGCGCTATCGGAATGGCCACATTTCATACAGCGCAAGTGGCATTTCTGTGACTAGTAGTATGTGCCCTCTTGCCGCATCACTGTTCAAGGTACCAATCCCATTGCAATTATTAATGCCATTCGCGGCTGAGTATACTAGTCGTGCTGAAACTTGAAGAGCTTGACATGTGTGAGAACATCAGAACCTCGAGGTCCACGGCTAACTGCCGAGCTGCGTCGAAGACCCGGAGCTCAATCAGTGACAACTGTTGAATAACTAATCTTGTATCCAGCTGTAATTGCAAATCTGCAATGTGCCATCGCAACTAGGCATAACAGTTGCATAACAGTAACTGTGTTATGACACGATGATTGCTGTGTGCCCCGCGTGCGTCAGATGGAGTGTAATCTCTCGGATGATCCCTGGAAATGATCACACGATCATCGTCCAAAGAGCATCGAAAGGAGTAAGAACTCTTGGGAAATGGCCGTCAAACTCTACTGCTGTAGTACCCCGTGGATGCTGTCATTGTTCGGATGGCAGTAAAATGATTGAATACCGTCATCATGGCCAGGGGCGTTTCGCCTTCGCTTCTTCAGAGACTTGGTCCAAGCCCGGTCAGGAACTTTCCACCTAGCCTAGTGTGGCATCTTCCATGCGGGAAGCGCATTATATCCATCAGCTGGTGGCGTACACTTCGGGAACATGAAAATTATCATCGAGAAGTACTTCGGTCTGAGTCACATGCCACATTCGATAGGGTTACGAACTTACGATGGTTTAACTTAAAGTCTTAGACTAGTTAGCATATTGAAAACTCACCAGCAACGTGCCTTGAAAATTTACGCATGCCTCTTTGCGGCCTGCACCGTGTCGAAGGATCGCGCTCAGTACACAGCGCTGATCCACCTGTCGATTGAACCTCAAGCTTCAGCATCTTATCGTGATCGACCATGAATCCGAATCACAAAATCTGTGTTTTAGTAGAATCTTCAAAGATCGCCATCAACCTTTGGTAGTTTGGTGACCATCAGAAGCGATATCACGGCGTGCGTAGTAGGGTCGTCTAGATAAAGGGTTAACATTACGTCGTGGAAGAGTTCGTCCTGCAACCGATTCAACCGAACGTGATATTGAACGTTACTTAACGTTGAACACCGTTCGTAAACGAAGTAGGCTCACGCAAGGTTCACGATTACAATTTTGTGCAGATGACTAAGCAGATCGCACCCGATCCTTTCAGGCCTGGCTCTTTCCAAGGTGTTCCTTTGGGAAACTGTTTATTGTCCCCTTGACGGTTGTCCGTACCCTATTTCTCGCCTACCATGTCTGGAATCTGTAGACCACGTCTTGCCGAGGAGCGCAAGCAATGGAGAAAGGACCATCCCTTCGTAAGTTCCCCACTTCTTCTATGCATTTGAATGAAGCCCTTTCATTTCGACTCGTTATCTTGCGCCACTTGCTCAATTGAAATATTTACTTCGATATTTTAGGGATTCTATGCGAAGCCGGTGAAAACTGCAGATGGCTCCATGAACCTCATGGAGTGGGAAGTGGGTATTCCTGGAAAGGCTGGTGTAAGTCTGAAACACAACATGCGCGTCATTTACTCATTACTACGCCAACAGACGCCTTGGGAAGGTGGTCTTTTCAAGCTTACCATGACATTCCCCGAAGGTGATTCACCTTTTGTATTTCTGGATTATCTCCACTGACTAATCATAATCGTGTAGATTATCCGTCTAAACCACCGAAGTGTACGTACAACCAAACCTGACATTCGCTTAAATATGAGTGTATGGCGCACAGGTAAATTCACGCCCCCTCTCTTTCATCCAAATGTCTACCCGTCAGGAACTGTCTGTCTTTCCATCCTTGACGAAGAAAAGTCATGGAAACCAGCAATCACCATAAAACAAGTTCGTGGAGTGTTGGTGTTCATGATATCCATCTGATTTCCATGTCATTAGATTCTCCTGGGCATTCAAGATCTTTTGGATGATCCAAATGTAAACGATCCGGCGCAAAGCGATGCCTACACCATGTTCAAGTATGTATTTTTTTCACTGGTCTATATTGCATGGGAATATCACGGTTTATGTCTGCCAAAGAAACGACAAGGTTGCCTACGAGTAAGTTATCGCGAGACATTTGAAATACCAGCTGACCGTCATCCGTAGGCGAAGAATCCGGCAGCAAGCCCGGGAGAATATACCGAAATAAAGCAATACTTATGTGTCTGTAGTTATCTCTGCAATGAGAACATCAGAATTTCAACTAGCGATGTTTACATTATGGGTCTGACTCTCCTGCTCCTGGCCTTACTGACCTTGACGGGTGCAAAGATGGCGGATTTACATAAATTACATGTGCATCCGAGGAAAGCTTTGGAAGATTCCGTGCGGTACAGGTTACCTGCACAAAAGGGATGCCCCTGATTACATAATATTTCTTGCAGATGTTCCTCTAGTCCCTTTCTGCTTGCCATCTATCATGGTCGCCGAGGCCGCCAAATATCCTATGCGAGCTGGTGAATCGGTAATTAGCCACTTAGTGACCGGTGGGAAACAGGTGATTTTCAACGACTCGCAAGACATTGTATTCACCGATTGACATGTAGTTCATCGGTCACTTCTGTCAGCTCTATTCGAGTTGCCAGTCGAAAATAATTGCCAAATCTGTCGACAGATGCGGCAATCTTTCGCGGTTCTTATCACCGTGTACTTTCACGCTTAAACTTGCAGCTGTGAGTCTCGTACCCCTTCAGATCACACCTTTGAATTCGCTAACCTCCAAGCAACCTCCGAGTGCAGCGGCAACCGTCAGCGCCACTGCCGGATCTACTAGTAGGTATGTATATTCTCACATCCAGCCTCCGCCGTAAGACGGTACTAAACCAAGGTCATTTTTCTCCCATCTCGCAGGATCTCTGACTCTCGATCGATCAATTCCGAGCGCATGCTCTGATTCATCCCCACCCAATGCAGACTATGGACGTCGGATTGAGCAATCACCGGGTTCATGAGTCGTCATGATATTTTTTCTTCCACTTAACTAAACATCACAGTAACGTGCACTTTTCACAACCTCGCAACTTTTTTGATCCGGCACTTCAAGACTTTTCAAGATCCGAATAACCCTCTTCATCTCATGCCTCATGTATATGTCCTGACCATGATCTCCACAGTACCCGAATACCTTGCGTGCCTTCCTGTCCAGGCTAAGCCAACGGACACATCTGCAAGTTCACGGGCTGTGCTTGCATTTTGATCTGAATTTCAAGGTGTTGCAATGCTCAACCCACAAGCAGTCTCACAAAACTATCTAAATTGGTGCATGTCAGTGACATGTTCTTCCGTAGCAACTGCGGACGCTTGAAACAATACACGGAGTGATCTATAACCCGAAAGATTCAGACGGAAATGAAGTGGGAGCTCAAGGAAGTGGTTTTGGTTAGCGTGAGATAGCACGACGAGAGTTTGGCGCTTAAGTGGGTTTTGTGTGGATGCGAGCATTATGGACAAGCGGACAAGTCGCAACGGTGGCGGCGCACGCTGTATGTTGGCGGTGGTGAGTAACATTTTCGCTAGGTTTACAAACCACGTTAGATCTGTCCAATTATATCGCTTTTGATCAACTGACGGAACAAGCGAGATCCACCACCACTGATGACTCGGTAGGAGAAAATAGTATAAACTACCGACTAAAGTAGTGTTATGTGCCGCGGAACGTGCCCATTTGCTAGATGGTGAATCCGGCAAATAATTTTAGCACTGTAAAAATTATCTGCGGGGTGGGTTGTTACGTACTGGCTGGGTGATGGTAAGTGGGGTGAAATGTACCAATTCTAGCACTGGCCATATGGTCTGCCATGGCCGCCCTTCTGAGTCTCCTCCAAGTCTCGTCCCACGGATTTCCTAACAGTCAATCTACTAATCCCTAGTGTCCAAGCGACCCGAACGGCTCCCGCAGCTTCCACAATCCCAGTTACATGTCGCGCTACAGCGCGGCCTCCAACACCTTACTAGCTAGACCAAGCCATAAACGACTGGGCGCCGTGCGGTAAATTTACGCATTCTTTTTATATACTTCACTCCCACATTTTGATACTCGGTGATTACGCTCGCTATAATTGCCGGACGTCTTGATATCTTCAACTGCCATATCCGCTGTCCATGGAAATACTGCCAAGTACTTTTTTCTATCGCTCTCAACTTGGTTTGGCGTTTAATTGCTTTTGTTTAAGGTATTCCTCCAGACTTACTGGGATATAATTTGCAGTGTGAGAAGCGGATATGTGTCATTGGAGCGGGAGCGGGAGGTCTTGCTGCTCTGAAAGTTGTATCAGAGTCCGCTTACTTCAAGTCAGGGAAATGGTCGGTCGTCGCGTATGAGACCCGGGAAAAGGTTGGGGGAGTATGGTGAGCTCACACTGCTTCAAAAACATCAACAGTTGCTGAGCACGATCCCGTTCAGGCTGCCTTCACCGCCGGTTGTTGACGACTACAATGCTCCTGTGACGCCTCTTTATGATTCATTAACCACGAATGTGCCTCATCCTATCATGGCATACACCAGCTACTCCTTTCCGCCAGAGACTCCTTTGTTTCCGCCAGCACATGTAGTGCAAACGTATCTCGAATCGTATGCTGCATGCTTCAATCTTATACCCCTCATCAAGTTCGATACCACAGTATTAGATGCACGATGGGAATCAACTCAGTGGATAGTAACCCTTTCGGATGGCGGACACTTTGCATATGACCACTTGATCGTCACAAATGGGCATTATCATTTACCCCGCATACCAGAACTGCCAGGGTTGGCAGATTGGATGAAGCGTAGTAGAGCCTCTCACTCTGCATGGTATAGAAAACCTGATTTTCTTGGCGACAAAATACTTGTTGTTGGAAGCGGACCCAGTGGTGACGACATCGCTGCTGAGATGTGCACAGTTTCCTCGGTGGTCATTCATTCTGTCACGCTCCCTGGCACAGAGAAGAACGACCCTGAAAATCTCATCCGGAGAGGTCGGCTTATCGAACTCAAGGCTAACGGACAAGTAGTTTTTGACGACGGCACGACGGAAGATAATATTGACTACTGTATTCTGGCAACCGGATTCCGTATGCATCTCCCCTTCTTAGAGGGAGCGTCCATGATCATCAACGACATACCACCGGACTTCCCTCCACTAATTCCCGGCAAGCTTTTCAACTCAACCTACCACGTGTTCCCCCTTGCAAAGCATTTATTTCCGCTTCAATCACCGTATCCTATCTCGTCAATCGCCTTCATGGGCTTGATCATAAGGGTCGCGCCGTTTCCACTCATGGAGGCTCAAGCGTATGCGATTGTGCGAGCGTTTTCCGATCCTTCATCTCTAGATCCTATCGCAGAAACGGTCGATATCATCACTCGCCGTGATAAAATTAAACGCGCTGGTGCTTCAACACCTCTAGCTGTCGCCAAGGCCTGGTTCCGATTCGACAGGCAAGACCAGTGGGATTATCGAGACGCGATGTATCAATTTGCGCAGGGCATGGGGTCGGGGACTCCGCTCATCAAAGTCACAGAGTGGGAGAAAGAATTATACGATCAGAAAGTGGAATTGAGGTTTGCATGGGAAGATTTGGAGAAGTCGGGAGATTCAATTGAGTGGTTGAGAGACGTCGGGAAGAATGGGGTGCAAGATTGGGTAGAGTTGATGTATCGTGTGATGGATTATGCCAGGACTCCAAAGAACTCGTTGGGAAAATTGTGATCATAGCGCAATGCGACACGCCTCTCGTGTGCAAACTAACACATATTATTACTGAGTACTAGTATTAGCTCAACTGTTATACCTCAGCATACTATTACTGTCGTACTAAAGGAATGTATCCCTCACTTCCACAAGAGATCGCATGATCACTATCAACCTCCGGCCCGCCGGGCAGCACGTCGGAATAGCACTTGACCGGTGACCTCTGAGTGAGTCACTTTCATATAAATTTTATCACCAGTAATGGCAGTAAGTACCTCACGGACATCTCATCACTACTAACTAGCATGAGTCCCCAAAGCCTGACATGCCAACTCAGCGGTACACAACTCGTTCATGGTGATCATGGACCAGGAAGTGAAGTGGCTCCTTCCATCTCTGTCACCACGAGTAAGTTCCCCGCTACTTGCTAGGGCAGCAGTTCATCATCTATGTAGCGTTCCGAAGAGCTGTGCCTTATGACGACCCTGAGAGGGTTGGAGCGATGGATCCCGAGAAACATGTCTATTCCCGTTATTCGCAAAATGTCACATCGAGAGTGGAACAGATCTTGAGTAAAGTCAATGTAGGTCCCATTGCAGCAATAATCGGAGCATGCCTTATCTATGCCTTATTTCCCTAGCAAGGACATGCAATCACCTATGCGTCAGGATTAGCTGCTGCATTTTCTGTGAGTTGCCATAACATCATGTCGATGCAGCATGCAGGTGGTTGACTAAAGTGACCCTATGTCACTTTGATAGGCGCTTGTCCACTTTAAACCCAAACGCATTGCAATTTCCGGAGGATATATGGGCTGTCACGGCTCCATATCCACTTACATCAAAGGGAGGTTTACTGATACCCCGATCATTGGCCTAGACGATGAATTCCGAGAGGGAGATCTCTGCTGGCTCGAGAGCCCCTTGAACCCTTTAGGTGAATCGAGGCAAGTCTTCGAGCTGTTTTGGTTTCAAAAAATTGATGATCTAGATCCCTGTCAGAAACATTCAATATTATGCGGACAAGGTATATTTCGAAAGAACACAGATTATCAGCAGGGGCGCTCATTTTCCGTCACTAAGATCCACGCTGTCGGAGGGAAGTTATTGATAGATTCAACCTTTGGTCCTCCGCCTCTTCAATACCCATTCAAATGGGGGGCAGACTGCGTATTTCACTCCGGTATAGTAATTTTCATCCCAAGCACGATATGATCATTGATAACATTTTGATCTGTCACAGGAACCAAGTACTTTGGAGGCCACTCAGATTTGCTCTGCGGAATTATTATCGTCAAGACCGAGGCTGAACGTACACAGGTATTTGTTATAAAATTCCCAAACCAACTGAAGCCCATTTTTGTCAGCTCTGGCACGACCGTGTGTACATGGGAAATATGATGGGGTCCCTGGAATCTTGGCTTTTATTACGATCCCTTCGAACGATGCATCTGCGCATCCCAAGGCAATCGGCAAGTGGCACGGAAATCGCACAATGGCTCAGCAGAGCCGTTGTTCCAGAGGGTCAGGAATACGATGGTATTCCTGGTGGAGTGATCACCAAAGTTTGGCACTCTAGCCTTCAGGAGACTGATGCCAATGGATTCAACCCTTCGGTACAGATGGAAGGTGGATTCAATGCCTGTTTCTCGATCTTGGTGCGTAAACGTGCACAATGCATGATTTTGTCCTCATTCGAATAAAAGCTTGCAAAGGAAGAGTATGCGAAGAAACTGCCTCACTCACTGGAGTATTTTGTGGTAAGACACTTCTATCAGGAAGCAGTGAGCGCGTTGATGACTGATATACCTCAGCCGGCAACCAGTCTTGGTGGTGTTGAGTCTTTGGTAGAGCAGCGGGTCGAGTCAGATCCGAACGAAAATCCTCTTCTTATACGCCTAAGCATTGGTGTAGAAGAAGTGACAGTGAGTCTCAGCGTGGCTTACTGGTTTTCTTTTCGTTGAGCATTCGTATCTATGTTAGGACCTGAAGGACGACTTGCGAAGGGCACTTGTGGAGATATCAAAAGGAATTTAGAGCGAATAGTGCATGGATGTCATACAACTTGTGAAACATAGCTACCCCAGGTGACAAGTCTGAAAGCTGAAATTTGGCTGGAGGTACAAACTTTGAGTCGGAAATCAGTTTAGCTGTATTATTTTCAGAAGGCTTTGCCAAACAGCAGTACACACAACTCATCATTTGGACGCGTCACAGTGATCGTAAGCCGCGTCAGCTACGTTATTACATCTTGTATTCAACTACCATGAACTCCATCTTACAGCGTTATTCGGGGCCAAATGCAGGACTTTCTAAATCAACGATAGATGAGGACAATGATTTCTCAGATGCAATGTGGGGTTCTGAGGCTGGCTTCGGTACCTTGGCAAAGGGAGTGCCAGGCTTCGTTGTCCCATCTGTTCCAGACGTGGGTCTACCATTATTGTCCTCAGTGCAATTAAAAACTCCGTGCAATCTCGCAGCCTGCCGCATTCTTGAGGCTACACACTGATGATCATGCAGACCCGTCATGCAGAATCAAGATCCAGCATGGAACAACCACGCTTGCATTTAGATTCCAAGGCGGGGTAATTGTGGCAGTCGACTCGCGTGCTACCGCTGGAAGCTACGTCGGTATGTATATATCAGGCTGCATTGTCGCTCTTCTAACACGGTCTTTAGCATCTGGAACAGTCAAGAAGGTCATTGAGATCAACCCTTACTTGTTGGGTACGATGGCTGGCGGTGCTGGTATGAAATCGACTCATTGTATTTATTAGCTTTGACGTATCCTCTCCAGCTGATTGTCAGTTCTGGGAAACATACCTCGGCATGCATTGTCGATTGCATGAACTCAGAAACCGAGAACGGATATCAGTATCAGCTGCTAGCAAGTACTTGAGCAACCTTGTGTATAGTTATAAGGGAATGGGTCTGAGCATGGTCAGTCTTCATATGCCATGTTTCCCATCAAGTCCGTTAACAGTTTTTAGGGTACGATGATCTGCGGCTGGGACAAGACCGTGAGTACCAGTGTAAATATATGGACAACCCACAACTGATTCATGTTGAAGGGTCCAGCAGTATTCTACGTTGACTCTGATGGCACGCGGTTGAAAGGCGATCTGTTCTCAGTGGGATCGGGAAGCACATTTGCCTATGGTGTCTTGGATCAGGGATATCGGTGGGATCTTACGGACGAGGAAGCACAAGAATTAGGACGGCGAAGTATCTATGCCGCCGGACACCGAGATGCGTTCTCAGGTAACACTTGCAACCTCTACCACGTGAAGGAGGATGGCTGGAAGTTCATCGGTACGTTAGCAAGTCATTTCTTTATGTTCACTGTGACTGACTTCCATGTTCAGGAAACTATGATATCACAAAGCTGCACTATGAAGGACCAGGAAATGTTGCCGGCTCACCTGGTCACGGGTACGGCTATGACCTACGTGTGGAAGGACACAGTTCGGCCAATCCTCCCGAAGCACAAGCACAGGCGTGATACTTTACTGTATATATGTGTATCCGTAGTAAAAGTCGAACGCAGTGTTTCCACCTGCCAAGCTTCATAGCGTACCTTTGGGTTGCTTTTCTCGGGGCTTGAAATCAACTCTCAATCTGACAATATGTACCTGTTCAACTTTTTGTTGTGACTTCTAAATTGGCTCAAGGCTGGGCTGCAGCTCTCACCTTTACGACGTAACGACTTAAATTTAGAAGGGTGGGTCGATATAGTAGCCACGGTGGAGTCGGGTGGACCTGACGGAGTCCTTAAGTATAACTACGGCGTGCACGACAGAAGACTTGTACAATCATGAAACGTCTGTTCCCCAAGTCATCCAAGAATGCGACTCCGAGTTCTGCCAAATATTCTGCTCCTGAGCCGCCAATGGCTGGTCGTACGGCGACAGCACTCCCCGCGGCTACCACTGTTGGTCTGCAACCGAACTATGTCGTTCCTCCAGTTCCACACCCCAATCCTCACGAGCACATTACGTTGCTTGCATCGGAGGATGGTCTGCTCATGCGTCCGCACTGCGCAGGACTGCCTTACCCCGTGTCATATGTTCGCGTGTCATGGGGCAAGACAACACACATAGCAGAACTGCCCAGCGATCGTGGAAGGCCTTCTGTTGATTGGAAAGAGGGTGTGGTCATCTATGGGATTGTGGGCTTAATGACCTTGTTCAATGGTAACAAGACTTCGTTATCTGTTCAATCGTGATTAAATCAAAACTGAATACTCTCCGGCTAGCCTCATACCTCTTGGTCATAACGTCTCGATCTGACGTCGGGCAATGTGAGCGACTTCTATCTTCGAACATAGTAAAACTCACATGAAACTCAGTGTTTGATGCCTCACACCTGATTTATGGGGTGAAAAGTGTTGTATCCATACCCCTCGTGAAGGACCGTGCCAAATCAATCCTTTCGCGCATGGCATCTCGTAACACGTCTGTAAACAGATCCTCCCTTCTTGTGAGCAATGCAGACGATCTCCAGGTCCCTGATGAAGGGACCTCGGGGGAGCCTCGCGTGAAATTTGCAGACGAGGAGGAAGTGAAGATCCTGACTCCACGCGATCAAGTGGAATTCTCCGTTAATAACACCGGTCGACCTGCCTCACCTGTATCATCCGGTGCTTCAACTCCTGCTTCCGATGTGTCGATGACCCATTCTCCTGTATCGACGATTGCAAATCGCATGTCGTTCTGGGGCCGTCTATCGAAGCGCGCATCGAGCACATCCGAAGGAGCAGACGTAGGGGAGTCTCTCCTCGATGAGCGAGAGTTGTTTGATTCCATAATACACGATGCTGAGGGAGTACCTGACAAGGTGATCAGTTCCATCATAGCTGCAACTGCACCACCACCGGATAGCTCAGAGGAGCGTAACTCTGAGCTCGAGGCACGCATTATACGCGGATGTCTCAGAGAATTCACGAAAGGCGACATGTACTTCGCTCTACATTTTGGTGAGTGCACGCATCATCGCCCGCCAGACATGCAAGTCATCACTTTCTTCAGACATCACAAGATCTTTGCAACACAAACATGAGCAATTCACCAAGATGCATACTCAAAACAAGCTACTTTCGGAACTGGATGCTCTTCCGAAAGATACGAATGTTAACCCACTAGACGACAAAGTGGACGCTCTTTTCGAGCCATCTGTTATATTACCATTGTGGAGACGGGTCGACCGTCATTTTTGGTGGAATGAATGGTTATCCAAGCCATTTATGGACGCTGGTGTAAATGCCTTGCATCAAACATTCGTTTAGCATTGACTGATCGATCCAATCTCAGCTTCACTCTTATGTGACACCGATAATGCAGGGATATATTCAGATCTCCTCGTTTGATCAACCCAAAGATACCTCCGCCATGCAAGATGATTCAGCGGAGCCCGTTGATTACATAGTTATCTCGCGACGCTCCAGAGATAGGGCCGGTTTGCGATATCAACGCAGGGGTGTGGACGACGAGGCTAATGTAGCTAATTTTGTGGAAACGGAAGTAATCATGAGAGTTCAGGTGAGCAGCTCAGTTTCTACTATTCCGCTGAGTTTGAGGCTCCTCAGAGGAACGGAATAAGCAACGTTTTTAGCCATGTGCAAATTCGAGGCTCAAGTAAGCAGTTGTTTGTTGAAAACGCAATGCATTGCATGACCCGTTCCAAGTTCCGCTATTTTGGACGCAATCAGGTTACAGTATGAAGCCACCTCCTGTCCTTGCACCCGAAAGAAGCCCTGCGCAGAATTTGGACGCCATCAAACGCCATTTCCGTCGTGCTGTCCCTGTGTATGGTCCACATGTAGGGTTCGCAATCGATATCTAATATCACGTCATTCACCTTTCCTTAGACCATTGTTAATCTTGCAGAACAACATGGGAAGGAGGGAATGATTACAAATGCGTATCGTGAATATGCAACTAAATTGGATGTGAAGGATGTTCGGTAAGTTCACAACGACAAATTCTGATGACAGAACTCGAATGTTGTTACAGATACTGCGAATTCGATTTCCACCGCGAAACGAGGGGACTGAAGTTAGTATCATTTGCTTACGGATAACGCGTTCCTGATATTAGCAGGTACGAAAACATTTCCAAGCTCATCAATCAACTCGAACGTGTGTTTGAAAAACAAGGGTACGAATATTCTGTCATCCGACTTTCTTCGACATTACGAGCTCAATAAAATAGGTTCTTCTGGGTTTCGAACAACATGCTCCTATCAAAACAGAAGGGTGTATTCAGGGTTAATTGTATTGATTGTTTAGACCGCACTAACGTTGTCCAAGTGAGCCGTAGGTCCCGCCCCTGTTCCCCTTTCTAACATCAGCCACAGTCTGCCTTTGCAAGGCATGTGATGAGCATGCAGCTTGAGGCTGTAGGACTTCTGAGTCCTCCCCAAAGTGGAAAGTCGGGAGTGGAGGTTATTTTTAATGATGGTTAGTGGCTGTCGTTCTTTTTGATAACGGAATAACAGAGAGTTGCATAGTCTGGGCCAACAATGGTGATGCGATCAGTCGCGCATAGTAGGTGTAAAACGATTTGTCGGAAAGCTTGCTCTTACCTTAGTCCTCTCCTGAAGTGCTGGTACATCTGCCTTGAAGGTAAGTGTTTGATTCACTTCTAAAACCTAACTCGAATGAGCTGACTGTCTATCGGTAGGGTGATTTTACCAGGTCAGCTAATCCTTCCCTGTATCTTTTTACTATTAACTGGATAAGTCAGGACTGGGAAGCGAGACTTGGGGGGTATGCTCAACGATGGTGTAAACTCCCTTGCTAGAATGTACAGCGCGACCTTCAGCGACTGGTTTTGTCAAGCTATCATCGACTTTATGCTTGGCTACAGGACTCTCTCTGTTTTCGAAGAATTTCTCATCAAGTTACAGTCGACTGATCCTAGAGAACTCATTCGTTTGTCAAGGATCAGAGCAGAAGCTATAGCAACTTCTGTCGCTCGCGTATTATCTGAAGGCGAAACTTTGATATCTGGGTGGACGATCTTCAGCCCGGAGCAATTGAATGTCAAATTCGACGATCGATTTGAGGAGAAAGTGTTACTCTTAGTGAGCATCAGTCATGATTTTTCAGCATTGTTCTGACCATGAGCTAGAGTGCCCGCGCTCTGTACATTGTCGTACGTCGTCCAATAACACGTTAGAAATATCTGACTGTCCCAAAGAGCTATGACTACAGCTTGGAGAAGACCAAGATGTATATCTGCGTCCCTTTGGATGCGATCGCACGACTCGAGAAAGGTCACGTTGGTTTTTGTTGACAGGTCAGGTAGCTCAATTGTCAGATAGGCGCTTATATCATATCTCCTCTGGAAGAGGCGAGCAGGGATCCAGTGCAGAACGCTGGCTTTTCGATTTACTGGCATGCCAGCAATAAAATCAGCATGCGCATGACGAGTTATTCAATCAGAAACTGTCCGGAAGACGCCCTGACGAGGTCACCGCCAGCGGTATCGGTCAATAGTTCCACTCAGTACAAGCCGACGCTACCACGTCGCGAGCCAACGAAGACCGCCAACCTATCAGGGATAATGTCTAAAGTTTCGGAGAACGCGGCTGGTGCGACCAACGTCTGTTCTGCAGCTTTCAAAGCCCTCCCAGTAGACCCTGCTCGAGTTAGAAGTGGATCTAGCACTGGATATGCAGAGCCTGCAGATGATCTCGCGGGAGCGACTACTTGCAAGCAAGTCGTTGACATGATGGTAGACAGCATTAAGCGAGCTTGTGAGGATGCAGGAAATTCTCCTGTTATCATGGATCGCGATGTAGTCAGGTGGGTAACGCGCCAAGAATGCTTCTATGATATAATACTCATTTCAAGAGCAGTCTCACTGAAGCTCAAAAGATGACCAGTATCTATGCTAAAATGGAATATGGCGTCAAACGGTTAATTTGGTTGGGAGGTTTGGTGTAGTAAGGCGAGGTTTTTAGTTTTATGTAATGATTTACTTCGTGGGCTCTTCGCCTATTAACACAATGGCAACAGCCCTGAGACCGGTCTGCCGTCACTACAAAGCAAACCACTTGGTTCTTGTCCAATGGGTCCAAGCCATGTGGTGGACACTACCTACAATAAGACCTTCAATCCAATAGCAACACAATGACAACAAACGGACTGAGACCGATCCACTCTGCAGTCAGGACAGAATCATAATAGACGTAGTTATTTAATAATTTATATAATTTCTCTCCATAAAATAATGACGGGCAACTTATATAAGCGTTACGGACGACTTGCAAGTCCCCCCAATATTGTCACAAGTCCTACAAGCTTCTTTGTTACCACAGTCACCACTTCACTGCATCTATATCAACATGGTTCATCTCGTCACTTCCGATAATGTGGAGTTCGTAGTCGACAAGGAGGTCGTCGAGCGCAGTGTTCTCATTAAGAACATGCTTGAAGGTACTCTTCTTTTTATCTTTGCCGTCCATAGGAGTAATTTTGATCTTTCTCAGATGTTGGAGAGACCGATCAATCTATACCCTTGGCTAACGTTTCCTCGGCCGTACTGAGGAAGGTAAGCATTTAAGATATTTACTGATCAAACGTTTTCTTTGCTCTATAGCTAGACAGCCACGTGCTCACACTCCACTATTGCACAGGTCATAGAGTACTGCGAACACCACAGGGGTGAACCCTTGCCTAGCGCAGACGCCGACCAGAATCAGGATGAGACCCGCAAGCGGACAACCGACATCAGTGAATGGGACCAGAAGTTCATAACTGTTGACCAAGAGATGTTGTTCGAGATCATCCTCGCTGCAAATTATCTCGATATCAAGTCGCTGCTGTGAGTCACAAAGATGATAGTCATAATGCTCGCTCTTACCGCCTTCAAGCGATGTCGGATGCAAAACGGTTGCTAACATGATCAAGGGAAAGACCCCTGACGAAATTCGTCGTCTCTTTAACATCGTCAATGACTTCACTCCGGAGGAGGAGGTATGTTTTGTTTGTCTCTTCCACTACTACCACCAGCTAAATTTTGATCAAAGGCGCAAATCAAAAAAGAGAACGTAAGTCCCAACTATCTAATTCTTATAAATCATCTCAAGTCTTCTTCAGGAATGGGCAGAAGACCGATGAGAGATCAGTTCGTAGAGTTTACTGTACCAGCTATATTTCTATCGTCGTGTCATTACCAGTTTCCATCGTATTACAGTTCGATTTGTCCTCGTAGTTTTCAAGTTCCTATGGAACAATAATTTTACGCAGCGTGCCACAAAGGCTGGCATGTGCTTACATAAAGTCACAACTACTTTCACAAGTCAAACGTACTTGAGTGAATTTTGTCCTCCTTTCTGTCTCGTTTATGCCACGGATCCCAACTATACCAGGAGCTGTCATTTCGCCACGCTCTGAACAAGACCGGTGGTTGAAGGGTCATGTAGCGAGACTTTGCCACCTGGATCATGAGCGGTACAGTGCCCAACTGACATATGGTCGAGAAGTTCATAACCTTGTTTGTCCTTAGATTTCCTGGTAGTCAACCAGTTAGTTTTGCATTGGAGCATTTGCAACAGCTGGAACATCGCGAGTGAGTAGCAGACTTTGTCAGTATGAAAATCAGTCTGCCGACACCTCTCATTTGTTCTGGCCAGTTACTGGGTGTGCGAGAAGTCTGATGGTGTTCGCGTCCTTTTCTTCCTCCAAACAGACCTTACATCAGGCACTCAAGCAGTTTACCTTGTGCGCGTCCTTCTTGGCCTCTATACACCCCTTGACGTTACCTAGATCGACAGACATAATGATTATTACGAGGTTCCAGGATTCTGGTTTCCTCATCACGAACGACGGAAGGAGCCTTTGAGAGATACCATTGTCGATGGAGAGCTCGTCATTGATGTAGACCCTCGCACCAAAAAAGTAAGCCAGAATTGCAACACCGTTCGACGCTTCTGTTAAAATGTCACATTTTCCTCAGGAGACATTGCGGTTTCTCGCGTTTGACTGCCTTGTGGTTGATGCGCAGAATGTCATGTCGCGAACATTGGACAAACGATATGGTGTATGTACTTCATATCCTCAGCCCATAGATCTAGGTGTTAATTGAGTTTGTAGCGTCTCAAAGAATGGTTTTTCAAACCCTTCTCAATGATGATGCAAGAATTCCCTCACATGGCTGCTAGCCAGGCTTTTGAGTGCGTGATCTGACTTGGAAGTATGACTGTTTCTAATACGTTTATTAGCATCAAGGTCAAGAATATCAGCTTCTCCTATGGCGTTGAGGAAGTGTTCCAGGTAGTCATTCCAGCACTACACCATGGCAATGACGGTCTCATTTATACCTGCGTGGAGACGCCATACGCGTCAGGTACTGATCCAAACATGTGAGTCTGTTAGCCATGGTTATGGGACGATACTAATTTCAATTCCAAGACTGAAGTGGAAACCTCCTTCCGAGAACTCCATTGATTTCAAGCTCGTGTTACGGTTCCCAGCATCAAAAAGTAATCTATCGAAGCCAGACTATCACGCGAAACCATTCTTCGCACTTCATGTGTACTGTGGCGATGAACAAGGACGACCGAAATACGAACCTTACGATGAACTCTTTGTTGACGATGATGAGTGGGAGATGTAAGGACTTTCGCCCAATACTTGTTGCAGCTGACGGATGAATCTGCCAGGATGAAGTCATCAGGCGAACAAATTGATGACAGGATTGTCGAAGTTCACTGGGATCCTGTTACTTCTCATTGGCGCAAGATGCGCTTCAGGGACGATAAACCCAATGGCAACTATCGGACGGTAGTTGAGAGTATCATCCAAAGCATTGCTGATGGAGTTGAGAAGGATGTGGTATGCCGTTTATGCGCTGCTCGGGAATCATGTGCTTAATTTCAATTCAGCTCCTCGAGCGCTCTGCGGTAATAAGACATGCCTGGAAAGCGCGCGCTCGGCCGCAGCAGCCCTCTCAGAGAGGGCCGGACACTGCCACACGAATGCCATCAAACGGGCCCTCAGTAGGGCATGCCCCACCGCCAAATGTTCCATTAAAATATGGCCCTCTCGCCACTTCGCGTTGGAGCAGGGTGTCCGGGCCCCCAATATTTGCTGGCATGCAACGTTGACCCAACTCACGCATCGGATCGCACTCTATCATGATAAGCAACCGGAATTACAAACCATTTGTACGTCCATCGGGTTGTTATCGCCTGTCGCACCCACCCTCCATCAGATCGCCCGTGAAACAACTGAGTGACATCTCGGTTGTTGTTCCGGGGATGCATCTCGCCGGATATGGACATGTGGAGGAATCGGCTCTACACAATAGCTGACCTCGCTTGATACCCAAAGAATGGAACGCCTTTCGATCTGGCACTATCAATCTGTTTCACTTGATACATTCGTACAGGGTCTTGTTTCGATATCAAAAACATGAAATGTACAAAGTCTGGGGTGACTGCAAGTACACTAAGTCGTAAGTTGAAACGTCGTGACGGGTCGTTAAATCACAGCCAATATGGATTCGGATGGAAAGCATTTTGGGAACAAGATCGGTGGAAAGCAGGCACGGACGCATGTCTAGTCGTTACAGATGGTGACGGAGATAGGGAAGCAACAAGTACGTAGCGCTTTTGATTTTGACGCCATTATGAGCGCGAGAACGGAGAGAATATGTGGGAGCGTAAAAGGCGTTGCTTAGGCGTAAATCGTAAAGCTCTGGAACAGCAGGCAAAAAACAGCTTTCCACTGGAGAGGTAAAAACAAGCCTCATGTGCCCAGTCTGAAAAGCCTCGGAGATATACGCGTGAAATTACAAACTGTGGATGGTATGCAAAAGATGCGATAAAAATGAGGTTGAAATGGATGAAATCTGGAACGGAGAGTTATGGGGTGGCGTCTGCCGGCGGCGGCGGCGGCGAGGATGTAGATCCAGAACGGATGGGATTTAAGAGCGAGAAATTGATGAGAACTCATTGGAAGATGTTCTGGTCGAGTGAGAAGGAAGAGGCTCCGTCGGAAAAGTGATGAACATCATCTCCGAAGTCACGACACTCTGCGAAAGTGTAGGAGCGCAGTCCGAAGAGCGCGAATGAAGTCCGGGAGATGACGCCTATAGCAGGTAGCGCAAATTCGGAAGGAAGTTCGAGATTATGGGAAGTAACATCTGCATCAATCATACTGAAGCGAATGCTCTCCAAAGGAGCTTCGGGCATCTCGGGAGTGGACTCGAGGGACGAAACCGAGGAGTCACGGCCGTGTCTCCTGCCGGTGGGAGAGTGAGGGGCTATGGAGAGTGCAGCAAATTGACTCATAGTAATAGACTAGATAGTGATATCGACGGTCAGACACCATCATTATCGATAGATAGTATCAAGGTCTTACCTGGGCGAAGTCTATGGGGGGAAGGTCGTGCAACATGAGCGGGGGCGTCTGTGGACTATTTGAAGAGCCCGACAGGGTAATGGCGCCGCCCGCGGAGACATACATGCTGTCTTGTACTTCCTGATCTGGTTCAACCTGGTCCTGGGTCGCATCAAGGTCACGTTGTCCATCAGAAACCCGCCACCACTCAATGTCCGCGAGGACCCTACGTTCAGTCGCTTCCGAGTCAGAGGAACGACGAGAACCATGACCTGCAACACGCGTACGAGCGTTATTTACACTACCATTTGATAGTGAAGTTGGGTATGGGTTCGAGCGAACTGACAGAGATGAAAAAGAACGACGAAGGGAAGGCATTGAATGGGTGCAGTGATGTGACTACGAGTTGAAGGACCTTCCGACCAGAGATTTTAGGACCAGGAGCTGCCTGCCGCAGAGCCCACTGGACGATAGCGAGGATGAGGAAGACAAAGATTGTGGGAAACTAAATATTCAGGGTTTTATAATTTCGGATAAATCATTTAAATGTGACCAGGGGACTGATGTGAAGAGTGAGCGTCATGAACTTTTGTGAATGTCTGAAGTGGTTCACAAGAAGACGCTCGCTGGCAGCCGTCATCAAGGCACTTATGACAACTATTTACATACTACTAACGGTACTATACTGACTCTAGCTAGTGACTATAGTTACCTACCTATATGTGTGGACTGCGCAGTGTGCACGTTTTCAATCTTTACTTAGTGAACAGGCCCAAGAAGGGCATAGGCAGAATCATCTTCACGACGAATGTTTGATACGATCATTTAGGCGCGCAACTGTCAGTTCTCACACAGCCTGCTCACGTACCCTTTGATAACGATTCGAGAGACCTGCCAAACCTCGTCTAGTACCGGGCGCCAAGTGAATCACTCATTCCCGGCAATCGAATACTCGTGCAGAGCTCGTGCACGTCTTTTTCGGCCCCCTCTTCGTAGCGTATTCGTCACAGGACCGGCTTCATGCACTTAATTCCCGTCCCTTGCTTGCTGTTTCCGTACGTCGGAGCGCATAGGCAAGAGGCATTGTATTGAACCGCCGGCTAAGTCGCAATAGTCGGATCTCAAGCGTGTCTTCGGTACTTATACCCTAGCGGCTCGTGCTGCACATCCCCACAGTCATCTACCCACCCATACTGCTAACGATGTGCACCGTCTACTATGGTCCGGTCATTAACCCGCAATCACTCACTGACTACCTTGCTCTTCCTCAGTGTTTAATCTGCGTATCTCCACAGGGTAACATCGAATGGCTAGTTGAGGATGTAGACAGCACAAAGCTCAATGATGTCCTCTCGCAGCATGATTATGCCCCTTCTGATATCACTCTCATTTGTTTGGATGATGGGGAATTCCTCATGCCTGGCTTGGTTGATACCCATGCGGTCCGTCCAGCACCTTACCAGAGCGTTCATATCTTGACCCATTCGTTTGTATCTGTAGCATGCTTGTCAAGTCCCTAACCTCGGCGTGTAAGCATTCTGATTCTATTATGTCCGTCCTCTCCTTATGCGCATCATTCAGTGGTGGGGAGTTAGAACTCCTGCAATGGCTCGACAATTACACGTTTCCGACGGAAGCTAGGTTCAAGAACGTCGAATATGCCGAACGCACTTATCCTCATGTCGTACGACGCATAGTCAACTCGGGTGTAAGCGATCGGTTCATGCGCTTAATCATCACGTTGACGCTGAATTAGACAACGACATGCTGTTATTACGGTAGTTTGCATCTAGAAGCAACCAAGGTTCTAGCCAGTCTCGTCCACACTGCGGGTGAGTTTACTCTTGTCGTATCCGAACTACTAGCTGAGACGATGGAACAGGTCAAAGAGCGTTTGTCGGAGTACGTATCCTTCTAGAAAACTACAACCAAATTCTAATTGCTTTCAGAAATGCAATATGAATCGGAATTGTCCACCTAATTACATCGAACCGTCTGTCAAAGAGTCTGTCGACACCACCTTGGCTTTAATCAGCTACATCGAAGAGCTACCGAAATCTGTTAGCGGCGAGACATTGCTACATCCCATCCTTACCCCGCGTTTCGCTGTTCATGTACCGAGGAACTCTTGACGCGTCTCGGCGAAGTCGCGCAGAGCAACCCAGAGCTTGCCATCCAGACTCACATCTCTGAGAACAAATCCGAGGTTGAACTGGTTAAAAGCCTGTTCAAGACTAACAGTTACGCAGAGACGTATGACAAGTTCCATTTACTTCGCAAGAACACCGTTTTGGCACACGGCGTCCAACTCACCGAGGATGAAATGGTGCTTATCGCTAAACGTGGCTCGGGGGTAGCACATTGCCCGACAAGCAACTTCTATTTAAGCAGTGGCATGGCCAGAGTCGGCATGCTCCTGGATCATGGTGTAAAGGTAGGTTTTCCGTTTCCCAATAACTGATTGCTATAACTGACGTTTCTATTCGATCAGGTTGGATTGGGCACAGATGTCTCTGGCGGCTACTCCCCGTCGATACTAGCTGAGATCCAGCACGCCAGCATCGCATCCAAGATGCTCGCTATACAAGCTGTCGATAACAAGAAATGCAAGTGCAACGGAGGCCACTCGAAGTCATCGTCATCAGGCTCGGAAGACACCCATTCGCGCGGTCGTCATGGTCACAAGCACCACGAATATCAAGGTGATGAGAAGCAGCCTGGACGGTTCACCAATCAAAAACTATCTATTGCTACCCTTTTGTACCTCGCTACTCTCGGTGGGGCGGAAGTCTGTTGTCTACAGGACCGCATCGGCTCGTTTGAGCAGGGAAAGGCGTTCGATGCTCTCCTTGTGAGCGTCCGAGAAGACGATACGGGAAACCCTGCGGTATGGGGCTACAATCCTGACCGCGACTTGACCCATGGTGTCACCGCGCAGAGCGCGGACAACAGCTTGATAGAATGGTTGGAACGTTTCTTGTTCTGTGGGGATGACAGGAACATCAAGAAGGTGATCGTACAAGGAAGGACGATTGGTGGACGGGATTACCATCCGTTACGGTAAATACTCATTAGAAGCGAGCTCGGATGCATAACTTGGATGGTATACCTACATGGCTATAGCAGTAATATACAACAGTCCCTTGGAGACTCTCTTGTGCTCTCGCCAGTGGTGATCGATGATCCTTGATACGTAAGAATACAAAGCATGATAGATACAGCGGCTGGTGATATATATATTATCCATCCTTATCCTTCTTGTAATCTCCAAATTCCCATTTAAAACAGTCCTATGAACATGAACAAGGTGTCAGTTGAATGAAACATAACGAAAGTACTCCCAGAACACTAACCACGCAGTCCTCTTCTTCGCGGGCGACAGGTACATCCCATTCATTCCCGTCCTCATCCGGCCAACCGTCCTGTAGGTCCAGAACTTCTAGAATGACTTCCTTAATGACATGCTTACGCAAGTCAACATGCCACCCCAGTTTCTGAACAGTATCATACACGATACTCTTTCCCAAATGACATCTCGTTTCAAGAGCATACCCACCCTGAGCGCATGGCGAAGCAATACCAGTACACGCTCCCTGAGGTATCGGATCGGCATTATGGTATACATGTGTGATAGGCACCGGAGGTCGAGAAGAACCTCCGATGGGGGGCGGAAGTGGGAGGTGAAGACGATTCGCTGCCATCCTTTCACCAGGGGCCTCGAATGCGACAGCTGGTAATCCAAAAGTGGAACCAAGGAGAGAAGCAAGACTTCCTCCGAGACTATGACCCACAAGCCATATGTCAGCGAAAGGGTATAGAAATATCACATCTTTCACGAGTTTCTGGGGATGCGAGGATGTTAATCATTGTGGTGGTCCATGCGGGTGATCGACTTACGACGCCCGTGGAATAAAAGAGGCTGTCCTGTATGAGAGCTTTGGACAAACATGTGTCGTCGCATCGTTGATGTAGGGCTGACCAGGAATAGCAGTCGCAGACTGTAGAGAATGTCCATGAAAAATCAACGCGGGCGCAACAGCACGAGAAGAGTAGATTATCGTTGAGTTTATCTTTCTTTGATGTAGGTCCCTGAAGCGTGGTTCCTTTGATTGAGAGTACGACTGTAGACCTGTCTCTAGAAGTGAAAACATGGCCACGGAATCCGTCTTCGTCGTTATCCCACCCGAATGGAAAGCTCTGGAAGGGTTGTTAAAAAGTGAGCATAAGTAGTAGGAAGACGCACTCACAGTATTGACGTCCCAGGATGAATCGAGGTCGTACCAGTTCTTGTGGCCTGGAAGTTGGTACGCATTGGCAGTCATGCGTGCCAATTGTGAGAGGGTATGCCTGTCTTCTATGTCTGGTCCTGAGACTACCTTCTGTTCCCATTCAATGGGCTCAGTCTCGGCATGAAGAAGTGACCGTAACCGAGCGTGCTTGTGAGCATCGAGAGATTTCGGGCGGTAGACAGTTATTGGTCGGGTCTTTAGAGAGATTGCGGGTGGCTCAGACGGCGGTGTAGGATATGCAGCAGTGAGAGGGAGTTGACCTTCTGCAACAGGAAGAACGAATTGATTGTCGAGATCGAAGTTGATCCGGTTTGGGACGACAGTTGCGTCGGAGGCGATAACAACTTGAAGGATGTGAAGGAGAGTTGTGATATGCAACAGATCAGAATACATGTTACCACCAAATATTGTGATAAATCATCGAGAGGGTGTCGGTGGGTACTTAAGACAGTGACTCCTACTCCTGCTTTGCTCTGCCGAAGTACTGTGTCAATGTAGTCAGAGACCTTAAGGTACACGACATAAATGGCTCAGAGGCTGTTCAAGCAACCACGTGGACCGCTAATGGCTTTATCTGATCATCTCGCTAGAACTAGCCGCTGGGCATTGCCAGTGGTATTAACGTCGTGTTTAGTCAATTAGTCAAAGACGATGTCACTACATTTCGTTGATACTTTTGGGATAGTAGAATTATTTATCCACCCGTCCTTCTTTGATCCGCCCGTCAAAGACGCTGTCGATGATACTTTTTGGGCCAGTATTTGATAGTACTAGGGCTATTTGTCCACCCGCCCTTCTTTGATCCGCCCACGACCACGATCATAGTGCTTCCGTCCGAGATCGAATAACTGTGTTATACCAGCGGAGGCCAACCATGTGAATGCGGGGGTAATTCTCATACTACGATGTTGGAATGAGCGGCGGAGGTAGTAGATGGATAAGGCTCGAAGAAGCAAACTGCTTGCAAGCCATCGAGGTCTCCAAAACCTGCTGTGGACGTGTACGATGTACCTGCCAACCATAGGGTTACTGCCCCCACTGTTTATTAGAGTTCTGTTGCTCAGAAAAGTCCTGCTGGCACAAGATGAGCTGGATTCGACCTTGAGGGGCCTACTAACGGCATGTATCCGGAGGTTGAACAAGGCAGCCCATGCTGGGTGCCCCAATCGACACATGATTACGTTCAACCTTATGGATGATAAGAGCGCGAGTATCGAAGATCACGGTAAGCTGCATGACAGATACGCCGGTTATGCCACTGTGTTCCAATGTCCATCGAGTTCCCGAAGCGAAGGACTGAATTTGTGCTGCTCAGGTTGCTGGGTTTGACAAGTCAAGGGTCAGAGGAAGGGTCGGATGACCTTCTGTGGCAACAAATGCATCTATGTTGATAACAGGGTTGTCAACTTGTCCTTTCCCGAGGTTTCTAATCTTTATGGTGTGTCCCGTACATCAGGTTAAAAGCCCAGAAGATCCGTTGCTGTTTGCGCGGCATCATGATGTTGCTGCAGGTACAGATCTTCTGAACTTTTTCCCGTCGATGAATACCGCAACGATTCCGTGACTCCTGTCCAGATCACCAAACCACTCGATACCAGTGCCCACGAACGTCATCCGGCGGTGTAGCAGCTCCTTTCTCATCGGTCTGACGCAGGGTCATCGTAACGTACATATTGTCAAAGGAGTTGAACCGAGAACCAGTGAAATGGATGAGCGGAGATGATGAATCGTAGCTGTTACTCCTGGCGGGACGTAATAGGGTTGGAATAAACCTGGTGTGAATCTGTCCCTGAAGGAGTCTGACCATTCCCGGACTCCTTACCCCAGGCGAATGTCTAAAGCAAAGGAACAAAGATAGTGCAGCAATCATAACAAAGGGTTTATGATTTAGCAAAGATAAGGAGTGTGAAGCAGTCAGCGTTGCGGTGGCGTCCTTGAGATGGATGGACAAGTGAGACGCGACGCGCTCGCGCGACGTTTGAAAATTAAGTTATGCATTGTGCAGCGAAACTACGTCCTTGCCGGAATTTAACATTCCATACTATACAAGGATTCCCGTGCTACACGCAGCTGCCATATGTGCACATGCTCCTGCAAAACAATCGAAATCATGTCCGTTCTTGTATCAGAGTCACCTACAAGTTTAGCGTAGAATTCTCGAACGTCAAGAATGAGGCGTGGACCCAGTACAAACATCTGCACCACAGCGATAATGACAGAACTGCCAGAATATATGACAACTCCCATGGAATTTGAGTCCTATAAAAATTATGAATAGCAGTCACATGCAGCGAACGATCCGCATACCGCGATTGCTGAAGCAAAAAAACTGAAGTTCAAGCAAGATGCAACAAAAAAGCTAGTTCGTGCGGAGCTTCAGCGGCAAAGATAACCAAGTCAAATTATGAGTTTACCTTCCAAAGTAAAGCACGTGTGATTTTATCAACTCTGAGACAATCCACAAAGGTAGATGTGCCGAATTGTCACGGAATTTTTTTACAGCAATCCAGACGGCAAGACACAGTGCGAAGACCTCACATGCAGTGTTGAGTATATAGATCACCAATACCAAATTTGGGTCACCCTTGGAGCTGTGAGTGCACTGATAGGTACCGGAGAGAATGAGCTCCTCTATTCGTCGGGTCAGCCTGATTATTTGATATATAACTAGAACTTGCCTCCTGAAGTATTGCTGAAACCTATTGCAGAAGTGATGTTGACAGTCAGGAAGATTGCGATGAGAAAGATTTCTCGATCCTTGATACAGGGCATATAACCGAACAATCATGATGGCTAGCGATACGTCAGTCAATATCACTGAGGTATTGCAGCTGAGTCACTCACCACCCAGAATGGGAGTCACGATCACATTTGCAGAATTTAGTGTGAAGTTGGTAATATTGCCTGAAACGCCCGTTCGATGCTTCGTAGAACCAGACACTCGAAAGGAACTTACACCTGTTACAGTCACTATTTTGCAACAATCCGGTCGAGAATGTCGCTCACTCCTTGTACGTTTAGGACAGTAATAACAGAGATCAGCGCAGAACACTCACTACATCTGTCTGCGAGACTGATGGAAGGTTCCCTGTATGCCGTCAGTTAGAGAGGCCAACCACACCATATGCAAGGGTTCATACAATGAGGATGGGATAAAATCTATGCACAAACGTTACGGTAAACGTCAAACACACTAACGCTGTGTATTTTGACTCCATCGCACATCGCACAATAGGCAACTGCCACCAATGTAAGCTGGTCCTCTACAAGATGCGGAGTACGAGAGAAGTAGGCCGCCAATGTTGTAGAACTATAAGAAAAATGACATGGATTAGGGGAAAATGCTAGACTCCAGTGAGTTTGCCTCTACCGTATGTAGGGTTTCTGTCGTAGTATGTTCTCAAGTCGTTTCGTTTGGGTCGCGTCCTGGGAAGTTACGTCCTTATATGTACCGTACTTAACTGCTAGCCGGGCCCACCCCACCTGACCGTCACCGCTTATGTTACTACTTAGTAATATCAGTAGATGTGCTACAACGTTACTAATTAGAGGGAAAAGTCTACCACACAAGACTTCAGCGATTTCTTCAGCGATTAGCAGTTAGTGCTGCCGCAGTTCGGTCCAGAACCTAGGTTCGAACCCGGACCTTTGCGGACTGGACCAGTGGTTCGGTCACAGGTCCGGTATTTTTCCCGGACCGAACCCCCTGATAGGTCCTGGGTTCGGTATTTTCCTGGTGCATGTGAACCGGTCCGGATGCGTCCGGACCGGTTCGAACCCAGTTGCAACGAAGCATCGAAGCTTCATGTTCCTGGTGAGGCTTTCTGTTTAAGTATCATTCTTGCCCGTCAATTTAAAGTCTTCTCCCCCTTCTATCCTACTTGAAGTAATTATATTTCTTTTCATCCGTCCTCATCATCCAACCTGAGTTCTCCCACATTCCTATCTTGGCATCTTCAGCCATGCAACTCATCAAGGCGCCAGTAAGTTACAACAAGTTCACTGTCTGTCACAACTGGCTACTAGCTGACTTCTAATGTCGCTTGTTTCAGGACATACTACCTACAATTATGAATCACTACACCGCGGCTCTGCCATGTTTTGGCCTCTCTGAGTTGGTGTTTCTGCCATTCGTTGGCACTTTGGCATTTCATGGTGCGGAATCCTTGTGTTTTGATGTTTTATGGTGTGCAACCATTTATATTTTAGTTTAAATATACTTATTGTTGCATAGTTTTCTACCTGCTCTACCTGCTACAACTATGTCGTCTGCATGTCACCCTGATGGCTCGCTGAAAGATGCAAGTGAGATGGAGTGGTACAACGACATCGACGATGACTCCCCAATGCTTCCTCTTGCTCCCGCTCCTACCCCTGCTCCTACACACAATGGCAATCTCAACTCTTTCATACGTTGTTTGGGTCGAGCCATCAAACCTATGGAGAAGATTCGTGAGACTGCCAACAATGTGCCAGCTAAACGGTCAGCTCTGGGACCTCCACCTCAGCGTGCCCCTGCCCCCAAGCGAGCATTTTCTCGTACCAGCAGCAAAGAGGACGAGGATGCTGAAGAAGAAGCTCCGCTGCTCGAGGATTTTACAGACGATGAAGACGAGAATGAGCACGAGCATGACGAGGCTTACCAGAAGACAAAGAAGCTTGGTGACCAGGATCGCGAAGACCGTAAATCTCTCAAGAAGGATGAACGCAGCGCTGACTTAACTACGGTATTTACTTTGGAGAAAGGTCGTATCAACCCCCACACCCAGGAGAGTGAAGATGGGTGGTGGTGTGAGGTATGCAAGGCCAACAATGTGCCACTACATCAGTGCTTTTTTAAGGGTGGTATCTCAACTCGATGCACTCACATTGCACACCATCCAAAGTGCCATTTCCCAGTTTATCGGGACTGCTGCGTACAACAGGGTTTTGTCATGCACGATCGTGCAATACCTCAGGGCTGTAAGACGGCAGATATGGCATGCAGTCAGGCAACCTTGGACGCCTCTCTTCCTCCCAAGGTTCCTGCATTCACGAAGTCTGGACTCATGGATTACATTGTCGAACTCATTGTGGCCGAGGATGAGGTGAGCGACTTTCATTTTTGACATATTTTAAGATACTTATACATGTAGGCGTTTCAACTTGTAGACAAGGGACCCTTCCGCCGCCTTCTTCAGTATCTTCGGCCATCACTTTCAGACCGAGATATTCCCCACTGTACGAAAACTCGGGATGAAATACTTGAATGCGCAAACATGGCAGTCGAGCGTGTGAAAGAGAAACTCAAGCTTGTTGACAGCAAAATTTCTATGATGTTTGACTCGTGGACATCTTTACCTGGTCATCCTTTCCTATCCATCACAGCGCATTACATAGATTCCCTGGCCGAAAAGCCTCAAGAGTGGGAACTCAAGACAGAGCAGCTCGCGTTTGCACCCATCCATGGCAATCACAGTGGCGCGAATATCGGGAAGATTTTGATTGAGAATATTGACAAATACAGTATCCGCACAAAGCTTGGGTGGTTTACAGCTGACAACACTACTAACAACGATACTGCCATTGAGACAGTTGCTCGCTCTATTGACCCTTCTGGTGACAAGTGGAATCCGATTGAGCGTCGAGTACAGTAAGTTTGTCCACTAAATACTTTAGTTAAGATTGCTGATGAGTATTCAGTTGTATGGAGCACGCACTCCACTTAGCAGCAAAACATTTCGTCGAAGAGGTTGCGCCCACACCAGCAAGTGTCTTGCACAAGAAGGCAGCTCAGCAGGCTGAAGATGAGGACGATCATGAGGAAAGTGTTGAATTCGAAGTCAGCAACACCATTGGCAAAGCGCTCGCATTCATTGCACAGGTGAGTTCTAAATTATTCTATCTGCTATTGTATACTGACACAACACTTTTTTTCAAGGTACAGAAGTCTCCTCAAGCTCGAGTTTTCCTTCAGAAGTGTTGCAAGGAGGTGAACAAGCCCCCATTGGAGCTTTTGGGATGGGTTCGCACACGGTGGGCGTCTCTTTTCAATATGTTAGAGCGCATTTTTCAATTGCGCAAAGTTAGTCGTTTACTAATACTACATGATCACATCGCTGACTACTTGATTTGTCATTGTTCAGGGCGTGAACAGATCCATCCAGCTCGCTGATGACAGCGACGAGGTCCCGAATTTAAAGGGCAAGTTATATACGAATTTCAGGCTTTCGGCACAAGAATGGACAGAGTTGGACTTGATGCGTGAAGTCCTCCAGGTTTGTCTTTTCTCCTCATCTTTCATAGCTCATTGTGTATGCTTATGTTCTGCACACCCAGGAACCTGCAGATGCTCAACAGAGTTTTTCGGCGACTCGCGAGCCAACAGTATGGCGAATGATTCCGGTTCTCGAATGTCTTCAAGAGACACTTCAAAACATGGCAAACACATCAAAATTCAACCGCTTCTCAACAGCTATCGAGGCTGGTATCATTAATCTATGCAAGTGGTATGGTAAGACAGACGACACAGACATATATTTCATTTGCCTTGGTATGTAATTTATGTATCTTGATGTCTTTGAATGACACTGACCTTTTTGTTGCAGCGCTTGATCCCAACTACAAGATCACATACACCAAAGATAAATGGGCCCCTTGTTTTTTCAAAACAGGGATGCAATGCCTTGAGAGAGTTGTACGACACTTGTTGTCACTCGCCTCTTGTGGTTCGTATACTAACTAATCTTATATAGTTTGATCTATATCATCAAACCAGTACTTCGTCACAGGCTCCTACAGAGCCATCTATGGCTGTACCACCTTCGCTTGCACGCCAAGGCTCATATGGCCATAGCTGGATGCGCAGCTCTATCAAATCGCATGTCACAAATGACGCAGCCACACAAAGGCCTCATCAAGAACTTGAGGACTATCTGGATGCACCGCTTGAAGACATTGACAATGTAGTGGCCTGGTGGGGGGTACGTCTCTTTTTTTTTCATGTTACATGTGTACTAATACTACTTTTCAAGCACCATTCTATCCAGTACCCGACTATCTCCCGCATTGCAAAGGACTACCTTGCGATTCAGGGATCGGCTGTTGCATCTGAGTGTGCATTGTCAAGCGGCAGCATCACTGGGACTGCACGTCACAGCTGTTTACAGCCAGCAACATTCGAGGCTCTTCAGTTGCTCAAGAGTGCATACCGTCAAGGCCACATCTCTGCAACAGTCCAGGCTGATTTTGCTGCTCCCCGCGTCGTTGTGAATGAGGAGTTCTAGTAGCTATTGATACTTTACATTTCATTGTCATTTTGCTAGTAATTTACATTTTTTTTGGCATTTGGAACATCGGTCCAAGGTTCGGCCACCATACCTGAACCTGACCAATGGTCAAGTTTGGGGTTCATAGATATAGGGCCATGAACCTGACTGAACTGGACTTCGGCAGCACTATTAGCAGTGACTTGTAAGGTATTTTCTTACCGGCTATTACCCAGCTGTACCCGGTGTATAGCCGGGTGGCTATATCCGGTGTATAGCTGGGTGGCATAAACCGGTAATTCCTGTTGATTCTCCGCACCATCTCCCACAACCTACCAACATGCGAACTCGTCGTCTACGACGACGAGCTCGCTTATACAGCTCAAATTCAATCCTTTTTCAAGCGCATTTTTGCCTCTTTGCATGGGGACATGTATTTTATATCTCTGTCATATCGCGCGTTCCGGACCTGGACCAATCTCACACATCATTTTTGGCCTTCCGGATCTGGCCAACTTCTATCCATCGTCTGAATCCGACCCGCATCTAACTTCCATGCCTTATCCCTTTATATGTTCCTTCTCCAGTTAGACTATACTCATTTTCTGTACCTCGTTTCATTTCCACCTTTATTTTCCTATGTCTTCATCTCTGTCTTCATTTACTATTTTCCGATAGACTAGTGTTTGACTTTTCTATATGCTCCGTCCACAGCCTCGCACAGCTTCGGGCTGCGCAGACTGATTCTCCGTTAAGTCCTCAGCAGTATATAAACCCTGTAGAATCTTTGTACTTCCTTAGTTCAAATATTATCTTAGACTCTGCTCATTCCCTTCTCCGTCCGACTTGAGTTTCTCCTCTTGTCGTCCTCCGCTAGTCTTAGGATCGATTCCTATAGACTTCTCATCTCCGCCTCTACCTCTGGTAGTCCTCTGCTGTCTCCTTTCTAGTTCGGACATTGTCCGGATTAGTCTTATCCCTTGTTCCTGAATGTCCGCCGGAATTCCCGCACATCGGACATCGGACTCCGGACTCATCCGACAACCTTCGGACATTGTCCAACAGCCCTCGGAAGTTAGGGGCACATACTCGGGTAAGGGGCGCAGCGCACGAGCTGAAGCCAAGCCCTTCGGATTCGACCCTTGAGCACGTTCTTAACAGTATATTCGAACTCACACCTTACCGAGTATACTTACATCTATGGCACCTACAACCACTCAGACAAACCTCCGCACGGCGGGCTTAGTAACTGCCCGACGTGACTCTACTCCCATAGTCGATGCATTCACTAGCTTCTCACAGCGTCGCGCTAGTGTGCAGGGTGCTGCATCCAGCATCTCTCAACTCATGAATCATCCACACCCAGAAACCCCAACTCGCACACCGACCGGATTCCTTCCGGAAAACGAAGATACTCCGGGCGGAGATCTGCCGGATGACGGGGGAGGTGACCCGGACGATGAACCTCCGGAAGACCCGACTGATGATGAAAACGAAGGTCTCGGTCCACAAGACCTGGTCTTCCTCCGCCTTTCTCAGGCAATCAATAACCTGGCGCGTAACAACTGCCGATCCGCCATCCCTGACGACTCTAAAATCAAAGTCCGAGAACTGGACACCTTTGATGGCACTGAGCCCCGGAAGCTCCGGGCGTTCTTTGTCCAATGTGAGCTTAACTTCCAAGCTAAGCCGAAGTCTTTCCGCACCGGCCACGCTAAGGTCAACTTTGCGCAATCATACCTCAAAGGCATGGCCCTTGAATGGTTTGAGCCGGACCTCCTTTCGGATGATCTCACGGATCGTCTGGAATGGATGGATGACTACTCCGAGTTCATGTTAGAACTCCAAACTAACTTCGGACCTCATGACCCGGTCGGAGATGCGGAAATGCAGCTGGAACAGCTCTATATGCGCGACGGACAGCGTATCAACAAGTATGTTGTAGAGTTCCAACAGCTCACTTCCCAAGTCCGCGGTTGGGGCGACGGAGCTTTGCGCCGTCAGTTCTACAATGGACTTCCGGCTCGCATCAAAGACAATCAGTCGTCAAGGAAAACCCACCACTCTGTCCCAATACAAGACTCTCACCCAGACTATCGACGCTCGATACTGGGAACGCAAGGGAGAAGTCTCCCGTGAAACCAAACCCTCTGCATCCGCCCCTCCTGCTAAACAATCAGCTCCGACCTCCAACTGGAAAGAGTATTCCGGCGGACGGTCCGGAAATGCCTTGGCTTCCTCCTCCGCCAAACTTCCGGACTTGACGTCCAAGCTCAGAAAAGACGGTAAACTCACCTCCGAGGAATGCCAGAGGCGCATGGAAAAGAAGCTCTGCTTTTTCTGCAGCAGACCCGGTCATACTGCCCAGGACTGCCTAAAGTCCACTTCCCATGCGGCCAAAGGTCGTGCTAGCACAGTAATTCCGGAAAACCGGAGGTCTCGGAAGAGACAAAAAATTAGTCCGCAACCCTCTTGACTCCGCGCGGGACGAGGGTTGCGTTGACTCAACCCGTGCAATGGAGCTACGTCTCAATGCTGTTTCTCTTTCCGATCCAAACTCGCTTATGCCAAATATCTCTATTTCTACTTTTCCCGATATCTCTCCGTTCCTGGCTCTAGTAGATTGTGGTTCCTCCCATTGTTTTATAGAAAGCAAACTAATCCGAGAAAATAACATTCCGACCTATGCAATCTCTCCGCTTCCGCTCCATCTGTTTGATGGTACTTCTAATGCCATGATTACCGAGGCAGTAGATTTACCGATCCGGTTTCTGACCAGCATGGTTACCTCCGAAACATTTTATGTTACTCCTTTGGACTCATCCTGTTCCATCGTTCTAGGATATAGCTGGCTCACCCGACACAATCTGTTGATTGACTGGGTAAAGGGCAGCATCGTTTTCCGTCCGATTCCTCATGGAGTGCCTCCGACCCCTCCGACCTCACTTCTGCTGGCTCCGGTGGAAATCCCTTCCATAACCTCGCCGAGTCCCTCCGCTGATAACACCATTCCCAATATTCCCCTAATCAATGCAGTTGCCTTTTGCCGGGCCTGTAAATTAGAGGGATCGGTCCAGTTCAGTATTTTCATTCGTCCGTCTGGTGTCAATCTCTGCTCCACTACACTCTCCTCCGAACCTCCGAACCTATCCGGAATCCCTTCAGAATATCACGAGTACACGGATGTCTTTGATAAAAGCAAAGCTGGACAGCTCCCTCCCCATCGTCCCTATGATCTTAAGATCGATTTGGAGGAAGGAGTGGCTCCGCCCCTTGGCACCATCTATTCCCTTTCTCCGGTTGAGCTTGTAGCTCTTCGCAAATTCCTTGATGAGAATATTGCGACCAGACTTCTTCATTCCTCGTCCTCTCCGCACGGAGCCCCTGTCCTGTTTGTCAAAAAGAAGGACGGCTCCCTACGCCTCTGCGTAGATTTCCGAGGACTCAATAAAATCACAAAGAAAGACCGCTACCCTCTTCCCCTCATTTCCGACCTTCTCGATTCTCTGAGCCGCGCTAAAGTTTACACTAAAATTGACCTCCGGTCCGCTTACCATCTAGTCCGGATGGCGGAAGGAGACGAGTGGAAAACTGCTTTCCGGATGCGCTATGGCTCCTATGAATGGTTGGTTATGCTCGAGGGTCTCACTAATGCTCCGGTGGCTTTCCAATGCTTTGTCAATACCATCTTCGCCGATATGCTTGACATATGTGTTATTGTGTACCTCGACGACATCCTCATTTATTCCGCAGACCTTGCATCCCATAAACAACACGTCCTTGAAGTTCTCCAATGCCTCCGGAAGCATCGGCTATATGCTAAACCAGAAAAGTGCGAATTCCATTCCGACTCCGTAGAATACCTCGGCTACCTCCTATCTCCGGCCGGACTTACCATGTCTTCGGACAAAGTCCAGACTATCTGTGACTGGCCGGAACCCCGGAAAGTTAAGGATATTCAATCGTTCCTCGGGTTCGCCAATTTCTATTGTCGCTTCATTTTTAACTACTCGGATATTGTAGTTCCACTTACGCGGCTCACTCACAAGGATGCTCCCTGGAATTTCTCCGAGGATTGCCGGAAATCCTTTGAAACTCTCAAGAAAGCCTTCACTACCGCTCCGGTGCTCACACACTGGATGCCGGATGTTCCTATCGTCGTTGAGACGGACACTTCTGACTATGCTATTGCCGGAATACTTTCTATAGTATGTCCGGACCAGGAGCTCCGCCCGGTTGCCTTTTACTCCCAAACCCTTTCAGCTCCGGAACTCAACTATGACACTCATGATAAAGAACTCCTAGCTATCTATGAAGCTTTCCGGTCCTGGCAACACTACCTTGAAGGCTCTGCTGAGCCTATAGACGTCGTCACAGACCACAAGAACCTTGAGTACTTCGCTACCACAAAACTCCTCACCCGCCGCCAGGCCCGCTGGTCGGAATACCTCCATCAGTTCAACCTCATTATCCGTTTCCAACCCGGAAAACTCGGAGCTAAGCCCGACTGCCTAACTAGACGTTGGGACATCTACCCCAAAGAGGGGGATAAGGACTACACTCAAGTTAATCCACACAACCTCCAGCCGATATTTACCACAGAACAGCTCGCTTCGTCCCTCCGGGCATCACACCTAGCAATTCCGGTGCTCCGGGCAGCTGTACTAATGGATGTCGAGCAACTTCATGAGGACATTCTGTCCGCCCTTCCCCATGACCCTATCGCTTCCAGTCATCTTCTGGATCCGCCGGACCCGAGATGGACAGTGGACGAAAGTGCCTCCATCTCCAAGTACTCCGGAATACACATGACCACCCGCTATCGGGACACTTCGGTCAGAACTGGACCCTGGAAGTTATCCGTCAGGAATATACCTGGCCCGGAATCCGCGCATATGTCAAGGACTATGTTAAGTCTTGCATGACCTGCGCCTGAGCCAAAGTTCCGAGGCATAAACCATATGGATTGTTGAAGCAACTCCCCATTCCCGAGAAGCTGTGGAATTCTATATCCATGGACTTCATTGAACAACTCCCCAACTCGTCCGGCTTCACCGCCATCCTGGTAGTCATAGATCGACTATCCAAGCAATCCATATTCATTCCGACCTATGACACCATCACCTCTCTGGACCTCGCCCGGTTATTCCTCCTCCATGTGTTTTCCAAGCATGGTGTTCCGTCCCATGTTACTTCCGATCGCAGTATGGAATTCGTTTCCCACTTCTTCTGGTCGCTTGGAAAAGCACTTGACATGATCCTTTACTTCACTTCCGGATATCATCCAGAAGGTGACGGACAAACCGAGCGAGCTAACCAAACCCTAGAACAATACCTCCGGATCTACTGCAACTATCAGCAGGATAATTGGTCGGAACTGTTACCCTTGGCCGAGTTTGCGTACAACAATGCTCCGAGTGCTACCACCGGAGTTTCACCATTCTTTGCCAATAAGGGTTATCACCCGAACATTTCCATACATCCGGAACGTGATCTTTCCTCCGCCCGTGCCCGGGATTATGCTATAGATTTAGATGAGCTTCACCAATTCCTACGAGAAGAAATGTCCCATGCCCAAGCATGATATCAAGGACCCGCGGACGCTAGACAGAAACCCGCTCCAGACTTCAAAGTCGGAGATCAGGTCTTCATTAAAGCAAAATATTTCCGCTCGACCCGACCATCAAAGAAGCTCTTGGAAAAGAATCTTGGTCCATTCGACATCATTGCTCGTCCCGGCACTCATTCCTTCACCATCCGTCTTCCGGACGCTATGCGATCCGTGCACCCCGTATTCCATGTCTCTCAGTTAGAACCCGCAACTCCAAACATCATTCCAAATCGCATCCAACCTCCTCCACCTCCGGTATTAGTCGACGGAGAACCGGAATACAAAATCTCCGAAATTCTGGACTCCAAGATCGACCGCCGGAGACGTCACTGCCAACTACTATACTTAGTACGTTGGGCCGGATATGAGGGAACAGACGAAGAAACTTCCTGGATACTCGCAACTGAACTCGGAAATGCGCCGGAACTTCTATCGGATTTCCACTCGGCATATCCAGATAAGCCGGGACCAACTTCTAACAAAAAGTAAAAAAGACATGCATATATTTACATTATTTAGGCGTCCGACATCCGGACTTCAGATCCGACAACCTAAGAATCCATCTCCATGTCTCCGCCGGATCTGCCGGCCTCTTTTTCCGCCTCCTCCCCATTTTCCTCCTCTGGAGCATCCTCTACATGCATCCGGAAACCATTCCTCAGACTCTCCATGAAGAGAGCCTGAAACGCCCTCTGCTCCTCCATGAACCGGAGCATGTTTTCACTCACCCGGTCCATCGCAGCCCTACTTCCTTCCGCCGCTGCAACACTCCTCCCCATCAGCCCATTGGTCCGGGCCAGTTCCGCCACAATGTTGTTGGCGGCTGTGACCCAGGCCTGGTCATCATACTCCACCCAGTCTTGATCCTCTCCAATGACCATCCGGGGATTGGAGACTATTTCCATGTCGTCGTCGATGTCCTCCGGACTGCGCTGACGTCTTTTTCCTTTGCCCTTGGGGCTCGGAGATCCCTCCGGACGCGCGCGTTTCTTGCCTTTGCCTTTGCCGGCTGGCGCCTTGACAGGCGGATTTCCGCCAACGCACTTCTCCTTGGACGCGCGGCACTGGTCGCAAGTCCGGATCTTTTGGAAATCATTAGTAATCATCCGGATCCGGACAAAACAGAAGACTCACCCTAGGTGTCTTGGACACTACTGCCCAGGTGCAAATCTTGCGCCTAAGGACGCACATCTCACACGTGACCTCTGGATCCCCCGGACCAGAGGACTAACATGTTGTTAAACTCCGGAAGAACACAAAAAACCCCATCCGACTCACCTCCGGCGCATTGCCCATCCTAGCCTTTGCCAAACGCTCCTGCTCACGCTCAGCCAACCTTTTCCGAGTCTCCTCGATATCCTTCCGCTTCTGTTCCTCCATCCGTTTCCATTCCTCTTCCGCCTCCTTGCGCTTGCGTTCCTCTTCCTCTGCCTCTCTCCAAGTGTCTGCCTCGAGTCGCGCGATTTCGGCCGCGATTTCGGCCTGCCTCTCTTGAAGGAGTTGCCGGGCGGACTTTGAGTTGCCGGAAGTGGAGTTAGACATGTTAAACAGTAATTGGAGTTAGGGGGAAAGTTTTAGACGTCTCATGGGCGCCCCGGCCTACTTATATGTCCAGTTCTATTTTTACGAGCTCCGCCCATCATCCTGCATTCATAGAAGTCCGGTCCGGACTTCCAGATCAGAAGCCTCGTGGGCTCGGCCCTAAGGGGGGGATACTGTCATATCCTGTGTTCCGGACCCGGACCAATCTCACACATCATTTCTGGACTTCCAGATCCGGCCGACTTCTATCCATCGTCCAGATCCGACCCACGTCTAACTTCTGTGCCTTATCCCTTTGTACATTCCTTCTCCAGTTAGACTATACTCATTTTCCGTACCTCATTTCATTTCCGCCTTTATTTTCCTATGTCTTCATCTCCGTCTTCATTTACTATTTTCCGATAGACTAGTGTTTGACTTTTCTATACGCTCCATCCACAGCCTCACATAGCTTCGGACTGCGCAGACTGATTCTCTGTTAAGTCCTCAGTAGTATATAAACCCTGTAGAATCTTTGTACTTCCTCAGTTCAAATATTATCTTAGACTCTGCTCATTCCCTTCTCCGTCCGACTTGAGTTTCTCCTCTTGTCGTCCTCCGCTAGTCTTAGGATCGATTCCTATAGACTTCTCATCTCCGCCTCTACCTCTGGTAGTCCTCTGCTGTTTCCTTTCTAGTTCGGACATTGTCTGGATTAGTCTTATCCCTTGTTCCCAAATGTCCGCCGGAATTCCCGCACATCGGACATCGGACTCCGGACTCGTCCGACAACCTTCGGACATTGTCCAACAGCCCTCGGAAGTTAGGGGCACATACTCGGGTAAGGGGCGCAGTGCACGAGCTGAAGCCAAGCCCTTCGGATCCGACCCTTGAGCACATTCTTAACAGCAGTCCTGAATATTTGTCACGTTTGTTTGTAACAGGACGAAAGAGAACCTGCGAAGTGGCGAAATGCTGGTGTGCGGAGACCAATGGCCTATCTTTTTGTATGCCAACCACGTTTATGACCCTGAAGATCCATGGTGCGGTCTTCTTAGGAGCTGCTTGCTAATATATGTGAGTGTGCACTCATATTTTCATATATTCTGTTCACTACACAGTAATTCATCAGGCCTACAAACATGTTTTCACGTCTCCAAGTTCGGTCGACAGGGAGCTGAAAGCTACGCGTTCTGGAAATGCTCGCCTCCATGGCATGAATTCAGTCACAATAGCTTCCCTTGCTTATATTGCAACTCAGGTTTGTCAAGCAATCACACTTCTGTGGCAGGATGATTTTGATGTAAGGCTGAAGGTGCGATTTGCTCTAAGCTCGTCCTCAGTGTTCTCGCGGACCGACACATCCACAGACTCGGAAACATTTTATCATAGCCTACTCGATCTCTTGGAAGACCCCGAGGAATGTCAGGAGGTTGATGAGCTACTGATTTGGTGGAACCGGTATTTTTAATCATCCTTCACCATGTCGCTAAGGCTCATTGCTACTTATGCAGCCAAGTTTTTCCTGCCTCCTCTGCTGCCAAGAGACCTATCAGTGCTAACAGCGCCCTATCCAAGATCCGACAATGATGCATTGCCCTCAAACAAGCTACAAATACTCACATTGTCTCCTCATAGTTATTTTGACACTTTAACATATCTATCCATACTTAATAGAATGATACCCTACTTTGAATTTTATCACACCACAGACAAAATTGCAGGAAAAAAATGTGCTATAGTCTGTTCATTTTAGCTCGTTGTCGCATCCATCCACCCTGCCATGTTATGTAAGATGAGATCAGGAGCCAACATCATGCTTGTGAATGAAAATGATAAGCAAGCATTGTAATATTCTATGTGACTACGTCATTTGGGGGTTAGGTGTCAATTCACTGTCGTTCATAGCCTGAAGTGTGCGCTTAGCAGGCTCGGGCATCGCAGACTAGCATTACAACTACATACCTAATGTCAGCACCGGGTGAGTTGTTGTTGATGGTGCAATGAATAGCTCTGTTTGTATAACCCGAGCATGCAGGCGCAGCTCGGTAGTGCGCTGCGGGCACTTGACACCTTTGAGGTGTAGGTAGCGTTGGTCCAATGCAGTCCAGCCATATAAATATTTACTTGAGGCTAGCATTTGTTCAGTGATCGGGGAGTATAAAATGATAAACCAATTGTGCATACCATTATAAATCTCACCAAGGCTAGGGCAAAATGATAGTGAACTGTCGCATGTCGCCTAAATCGTGTATGTGGCAGAACCGAGCTTAACATACTAGTATCACAACTACATACCTGTTGTCAGCATTGAGGGAGTGGTTGTCGATGGTGAAATTACAAGCTCTTCCTACATAACGCAGGCATACAGGCACAGCTTGGTATTGCGCTGTGGGCACTTGGTACCCTTGGCCCGTAGGCAGCGTTGGTCCAACGCAGTCCGGCCATATATATATTTACCTAAGGCTAACATTTGTTCAGTGATTGCAAATGAAGTAAAAATAGCCGACGGTTGCATGCCACGACCAGCGGGGGGCGGAATTGTAGTGTATTGCCAGTGATCTTCAAGTAGGCAGCCTGTTGGCTTATCCAGCATCTCGGCGATAAGTTGCAATTAGACTGTCACAATTACGCATTTGGCAGATTCCATCAAAGTAAGTCCGGGTATTCAAAAGTTTCTCATGTGGGGTACAATTCTGATAGTTTTTATGCGAATTTTATGCTAGATAAAGCTTTCTAAGGATTTATTTTTTTCGGTGTAGAGACTCATGCCTCTCATTGTGCAATATGGCAGTTTTCACTGGGGAGTACATGGCACGAACTTGTAGCATCACTCTGTGTGCTACCCGCAGCTATCTCTATATGAGGCGCAGCTTTCCCGCACAACGCGCGCCATGCGCGCGTACCTTTCCCGCGCTTCACGATGTATATGCGCGCGCGCTTTCCCGCGCTTGAGCGCCCTATAGCGCCAGCCATCCAGAAGCATCCATCCACTGTCCACCAAGTTCCCTAGTGCGTATATTTCCATTTCTCACATTTGCATATCGTTCCATCTTTATTTTTATCATGGACCCTTACTTACATATATCTTTACATACCTTACTCGGTAGCGCTTCGGCTCCGCATGAGAGCGCTTAGGCGCCATACTTAAGCGCCAGCAGTACATACTTACTGACTAACTTACTCTCCCACCAGAACGACAGAGGACTTACTGGTTACTACCCACTATTCACCTAGCAGAACATAGTAGAAATCTATTTGTTTACACCTTGCATCTCCCTTCTCTTGTCTTACATCATATCATCACTTAAGCAAACTCACTCTTACTCTCTCTCGTATCTGTATACACGCGCACGCTTTCCCACGCTTCGCGCCATACACGCGCGCATTCCCGCGCCTTGCGCGCACCTGCGCTTTCTCGCGCTTCGCATTGGCCAACCAGTAGCGCTTTCAGCGCATACCTCTAGATCCTTGCTGCACTCGCTTCCCCTTTAGGGTCAAACGCACTTGTCGTCTCAAGTATAGCAGACTAGGCAACGCATGACCTTACAACAATTATAGATACAGTCTGGAGCATTGTTCATGCCTCGCTGTATCGTTGAACCTTCATCGGGTCGGTTACCTGATGTTACTGTCGTATAGTCTTGGTCTCTTGATAGTTGTCCTTACAATCTTGATAATATCTTGTACCATGGTTGTGACCTTAAATAACAACTTGTCTTTTGTCCTGTTCGTTGTAGTGCATTGCAAGTACACTTAGTAAAATTTTAGGCAGTACATGATGCATCACTGAACGGGCGCTACAGACTTCGTAAAATTAAGTACGGTCAGATGTTGTGATGCATCATGGGTCCATGCGTGATGCTACATACTTAGTGGGTGTTCCTGTACATGCAGGACTTCAACAATAGATATGGGTATACTACAGCATCATATTACTAGTACTACAAAGAAGTTCGACGACAAATATAGGCAGGCAGAACAACCACACACGCGAGAGAATGGGTTTTGCTGTGTGTTTGCGCTGAGGCTGCGTATTAAGAGGAATGCAGGTAGGTATTGGTATGCAGGAGGCCAGCGCTGGTTGCTATAAATGGACAGCGATGGCACATCAAAGAAGGTACACGCATGCAAAGGGGACAGCACAGGCAATGGCGGGAGGAAGGAAACAATGCATCATGGTGCATCATATTAGTATGCGGGAGGCCAAGTGCTGGTTACTATAAATGGACAGCAACGCCGCATCAAAGAAGGTACACGCACGCAAAGGGAATGGCAAAGGCAGCAGTGAGAGGAAGGAAACAATGCATCACGGTGCATCACAATTTTAAAGGGCTGATGCATTATGTATAACCTATCAATATATCATGCATCATAATGCACAAGCCGAATGCATCATGATGCAATGTATTTGCCTGCGTGTAGACTGTAGCATTGTTGCATCACTTGATACCTTACAACTACAATGATTTCTTGCATCAATATGACAGGGTCGCCTGATGAATGGACATAATGATGGACATGCTGAAGCACCTGCAGATGCACCTGAGCAAACGCCCGACTACCTCGCCATGTTGACTCATCCAAACGCACCACCGATGCCTCACACAGGAGAGAGACATTGCCTCCCTCGCATTACGTTCTCTTTCAATCCTGCGAGGTCAAGTTGGACCGTCAATCGAAAGCAATTTCCCCTGCGGCCTGCTTATGCCACCACATTCAATGGATGTCAAGGACTCATGCTCGAGAAAGCGGTACTGGACCTCCATACAGATTCATTTGCGCACGGTCAGCTTTACACTGCGCTGTCAAGAGTGTGATGTCGGCGAGACATTCAGGCGCTATTTCCTACAGAAGCTGAGGAGAAGACGACGGCGAACATAGTATACAGATAGCCATTACTGTAATTCAGGGAGAGAAGATATTGTAATAAACAGACACATGACATCTGAAGGTGATCGGAACGCTTGTAATAATAAAAAAACAAAAACTGTGAAGGGTCCTGGGTTGCCCGGAGGGCTGTGGTATATGATTTGTTTGATGATAGAAAGCTGGCGAGCTCCTGCATATGGATGTTCGAGTTACTACGCAACACGCTGTAGAGACTCATGCCTCTCATTGTGCAATATGGCAGTTTTCACTGGGGAGTACATGGCACGAACTTGTAGCATCACTCTGTGTGCTACCCGCAGCTATCTCTATATGAGGCGCAGCTTTCCCGCACAACGCGCGCCATGCGCGCGTACCTTTCCCGCGCTTCACGATGTATATGCGCGTGCGCTTTCCCGCGCTTGAGCGCCCTATAGCGCCAGCCATCCAGAAGCATCCATCCACTGTCCACCAAGTTCCCTAGTGCGTATATTTCCATTTCTCACATTTGCATATCGTTCCATCTTTATTTTTATCATGGACCCTTACTTACATATATCTTTACATACCTTACTCGGTAGCGCTTCGGCTCCGCATGAGAGCGCTTAGGCGCCATACTTAAGCGCCAGCAGTACATACTTACTTACTCACTTACTCTCCCACCAGAACGACAGAGGACTTACTGGTTACTACCCACTATTCACCTAGCAGAACATAGTAGAAATCTATTTGTTTACACCTCGCATCTCTCTTCTCTTGTCTTACATCATATCATCACTTAAGCAAACTCACTCTTACTCTCTCTCATATCTGTATACACGCGCATGCTTTCCCGCGCTTCGCGCCATACACGCGCGCATTCCCGCGCCTTGCGCGCACCTGCACTTTCTCGCGCTTCGCATTGGCCAACCAGTAGCGCTTTCAGCGCATACCTCTAGATCCTTGCTGCACTCGCTTCCCCTTTAGGGTCGAACGCACTTGTCGTCTCAAGTATAGCAGACTAGGCAACGCGCGACCTTACAACATTTATAGATACAACCAGGAGCATTGTTCGTGCCTCGCTGTATCGTTGAACCTTCAACGCGTGCCTGTCTGTTCGCTGGCGCCAGGGTCGTAGAACCATTCGTCATTTTCCAGGTCTGCAAGGCTATTTTCAATCTAGCATCCCAATCAATGGGCGATCCAATCACGCATGTTAGAGTCAACTCACCCAATGTGCCAAAACAGCAGCAATTATATCAGGCTGTGGTGCACATACACTCGTCCGACCCTCACTGGCCCAACTTAAATTCACGACGATCTCATCAGACTGCTTATATGTGGCTCCATTGAATCCATCGTTTAGCGTCAGGAAGAGGAAGATCCATGCCTGCCCATTGGACAGAGCACCGTGGATGAATTTGCGTCTGAAATATAAAGTAACAAATTAAACATATAAACCCAAAAGCTCGCAAAGATTTACTTACTGCAGATTCTTAGCACAGGTATACATCTCGCATACTGCCTGAGTGATATAGTTCTCACCAAGTTTGTTGTACTTGGCTTCTGTGACGAAAAATCCGAATAGTCCCATCACTTTGAGTTCCTGAAGGCTCGCAGATTTTAGGTAACCTAGAGGAAAAAATGAGTGTAGAGGAGGGTAAGTTAAGGCAAACCTACGATCGGACACTACCCTGGCACAATCTAAGAACCCTGAAAGGGTTTCCGCGCTCCCTGGAGCGATAGTCATCTCTGGAACACAATACTCCATGTTGAGAAGGAAATGCTTGTGGCGGGGTAGCATTGCAGCTGCCCAAAACAGAAATGCGTCAATCCAGGTCCTTGCACCTGCCTCATTCTAATGCCAGCATGAGTTGCGAGAGGGTTGAAAAATTATAAGCTTATGCACATCCCTGGCAACATGATTTTCCAAGAATGATAGGTGGCAATATAAATTGCTCGATGACCACAGTTCTCCTTCTTCTTCAAGGACGGCAAGGTCTCTGGCACGATCCTCATAGCCGTCTTTCATTGCGAAAAAACCACCAGGCATGATGTTCAACCTGGACAGATCAGACATGATCATACTGGAGAATGAAGAAGACTGTAAAAAGTGAGTCACTGGGAAATTATTTAATAACAAATAAGGCGCACCTGGGGAACTTCCGCCTGCAATTTCAACTGGGTGATTATATGGCGCAACATGTTCTTGAATTGTTCCGGAGTATCATTCTCGTTGATCCTACTTTCGAGTTGAGAGAAAGATTTGAGAGCCTCTTGTAGTCCCTGAGCAAAGTGCTTGTCTTTTTTAGGGGACATGGCAGTTGTTAGAAGCTAACACTCAGGACACGCTAGTGAGAATATAATAAGAGATGGCGGGACAACGAGAGACCACCTGTGTTGGGAGACGACACCTGAAGTGAAACGAGACGTATTATATATGTGAATGCACGTGATAATGTAGAAAACTATGATGCGATGATACGATGACGACAATAACAATTCAACCTCAGTGAAAACTGGTTATGACGGATGAGCATTGAGATGTTACTTACCATATATGTACTGTGATGAAATGTGCTGATTGCAGTAGTCTATGTCAAGAGGTGGGGAAAACCTTAATTCCCAACATGGTGCTCGTCGTTATATAAGCTAGAAAGCTCTAATGTACCGCCACTTGAAGTTTTGAGAGCAGCGTTCTGAGTTATTCGACAGCGGCGCAAGATCTTGATAAAAATTTTAACTGAGCACTGGAAGGCCCCCATTTGTACTACTTAATAATACATCTAGATAGTCAGATCAATGAGATAAGAGCATGGAATGACACTACTAGCCAAATCAATCTGTCCGGTTGTAAAAACTGAGAACATGTGACCAATATAACGCGAGACGTGTGAATATTGATATGACGCGCTCACACATGTATTGACGCGCCTCGTCTCTCCGTTGCCTCACACCACCATCAAGACTCATTCATTTTTGCATACTCTCATTCAAATTATGTATTCTACAACACAATTGCATGCACAGATTTCCCAGCAAGTTATGAAAACTCGGCTCCTATCAGAAACGAGGCGCATATAGCCACGTTGCTTGAAGCGACGGACTTCGTCGGATCAGATCCCAACACATATTCATCAGTATCTGGACACTCTAATAGCCCAGACATAGACTTCAATGTACAATTATCGGATGATACCACGCAAAGTTACAGCATACCAAGAAAACTTCCCTAACTTATCGCCTCCTTCTCAAGGTCCTAGCTCGTACTGGGGCCGATCAGATTCAGACTCACAATGTTCTTCTTCGGTTCCTGATTCCGAGATTGATATCGAGGAACAATTATTACTAAACATGCTGGACTCACTTTACAACGTGTACATGGCTAAGGTGCTAGCGGTAACCATCGGTACCCAACAACGGTGGAGGATGCTATGCCCTGACTGCAAAGAATGGGTCCAGACTAGCGTATCATCTCAACTACCTCTCTGGCATCCTGGGCAGTTCAGCTCGTTGAGCAACCATCGAGGCAGCCGTAAGTGCATCAAGGCATCGACCGATAAAACAAAACCTATGTTTGTTCGGACCGTGTCTGATGCGCCTTTGTCTCGTTCCCTGAGCCTTACATCCGAACATAGGTATGTTTCATTTCGGCTCTAATTCATTAGACGTATTTACATCATATGCCTGCAGACCTTGTCGTGTTCTCTCACCTGTTCTTAATAGTGTCTGCACTGGAGTTCCCGTTGTCTGGCCAGAAGACCTCCGTCCCTTCATCATGCTCTTTCCTTGGGAGCGCTATCATGATGGCCCAGACGCCCTACCTTTCCTTGTAGGCACTCGAAATCCCAGCGCTCTTCGCCTCCGATCTAAGCGCTGCTTGTCACATGGTACTCCCTGTGACGAGTGCGCCGAAATCCCTCTTCATGTTGAACATCTGGCAGATATTGCACCCATTCCAAAAGCGCACACTAACTACAAGTTCTTAGGTCTTGCACATATGCAGGACATTGCAAGGACTTATGCAGAACAAATCAAGCAGTTGAAGCTACAGGTGAGTCTGCTTCATTTTTTTTGTGTATATACTAACTCTAATTAGCAGCTAAATGATTCACGCAAGTACATGAGTGTGCTCACACAGCTCGACGACTACAATCGACTCCTCATGGCTGTATCTGAGCAAGACATCCCTCGCCTCCAACAAATCATTAATGTTGCTTTACGCAATGGTGCCAGCATTCGCCAGGTGGTCAACAAGCTTGAGGATGCCCTTGAGGGGGCGTACCACCCTCGAGGCTATGATGCGAATGACCTAGATATCGCTACACTTGTGTATAGGCTCGGTGGACATCAACTTCTCTTCGCACTAAGTCAGAAACTCGCCATCCCTTCCCTTCGCACCCTCCGTACTTGATCTGCCTTCACCATCATCGCTCCCACAATCGGAACAATTCGTGATGAGCACTTTGACAACAATATTCAAGCAGTTGTTCTTAGTGGTTGCACGGATTCAGTCTTATGCGGTGTCAGTCTTATGATTGACGAGATCGCACTCGAGGAAATGGCTGTCCATTTCAGCAAGTACAACAAGGTCGGTGGTTTGTGCTGGAAGCACTCACACACTATCGATCCTGTCCTCCGGACCTACGAATCTGCAGTCTACATTGCGCAGAAGATCCACGATGGTCATGTCCATCTGGGCAAGGAACTGACTGTTATGGGAGCCTTGTGTTTTGGCCGGGATGAAATATTCCCTATATTAGCTGCTCCTACTTGCAAGACCGAGAACACCAATGACATGGAGCAGATCCTTGCTAAAGCCATTTCTCGGTGGAACTCAACTGGTGCGGCGGTGCAGATCGGACCAGTCTGGTCAGTTGCAACTGATGGTGATGCTACTCAATGCACCGCTGGCCATAGGCTGTTTGTCAAGAGTCCACTCTCTGAGGGCTCAGATTTGTATGGTACACTTATCAACATGCCGGGATTGAATCTGTTCACTGGTAACAACGAGGTAACGCTCGACTTTGACTTCAAACACATATTCAAGCGTGAGTGTTTTCTTTCTTATATCAAATGCTTAATGATTAGTTTAATCCAGGCATATGCACTCTCCTTTGATCTCCTGCCGGTGTTGTACTCAACAATGGTCGCATCATCAATTCAATGATGCTCGCACGGTACCTCGTATGGCTACCTGCCTTCAATGAAGCGGCCGTCACCAAACTTCTCTACCCAGGCGATCCTCAAGATGTCCCTCGTGCTGTTGAGCTTGTGCTTGCCGTCATTGAGTTCTCCAATTCTCAACATTCCATCATGAACGACTCGTTTTCGACTGACATTGACACTCGTGCGGATCTCCAATCAATTGCTCTTCTTAGTGCTCTCTTGGAGTCCATCCTCCTGCCTTTCACTGATGTCTCTCTCTCCCTGTCCGAACAATTTGTACTGCTCAGTCAATACTCTCATCTTACGTTCGCCTTCTTTCATGCACATCGACGCTCATTCATGTCTTATCAATTGTATTATGACACACAAACAATGGTAAAGAACTTGGTATTCTGCCTCGCTAAGCAACAAACGCTAGACCCCTACGCTCCTTTTTTCCTTGGGGATGTTGGGGACGATCCCCTCGAGATCCTTTTCGGGCGCATGTGCATGATTGGGGGCCATAACTCCACGTCTTCGTATGCTCAGGCTCTTGATCGTTTAGGAGCTGCGAAGGATATCGACGGTGTCTTCAGGCATCATCCAGAGCTGGATTCAGGCCACCGGCGCCTCAAATTAACGTGTCAGGAAGGTGTTGATCACATCAATCGCGAGATCTGGAAGGGCAATATCATTTCCGGCCGATGTGATCTGCCCATGGCATGGCACAGTGGTTGTGATACTGCTCTTTCCATCCTTGCCACATCCCAACTCGAGCCAACTCATTATTCATTTGCAGAGCTTTTCAGTGTGCCTGGCATTGATATGCTACGTCCATTTGGACAAAACAGGTACCTCGGGATCACTACAGACAACGACCTCGAGGACACCAGTGAAGTTCCCTCTATGCCTCCTCCAGTTGCAATCACCCCTCTCTCTCAGTGTCTAGAGACAGTCTTGGCACATGATCACGACCACTCAGTTCCTGACCCTGAGGTCTCAGTGGGAGGTGATGATGACAAAGAAATAATGCTTACTTTCCAGGAGGCATTGATTGACGAGTCATCCACTGACACCCCTGCTCCCTCCTCATCTTCTCAGCACATCCCTCGAGACCCGTCGACTCCTGCTTTGCCACAGGGGCCTGGAATACACCCCGACGATTACCTCCTATACAAAGGAAGGTGGATCCACAAACAGACGATATGTCGTCTCGTGATCAACAAGGATTTTATCTCCAAGTCCCTTAATTGCCTTGAGCACGTCTGTGGAGGTTATACTAAAGTCAACAAACGTGTTGATGTATCTGCAGGTCGTATCACAGATCCCAATCTCTTTCTTGTCGGGGACATTTTTCTCACTGTCCTTCACTCTGGTCGCACTCTTTCGATTGGTGTACTTCGTTCCACTGCTGTCAGCCTCAACAATATCTCTCGTGCATCAATTAATGTGACAATAATGAAGGCATTGCGAAACACGGCTAAGATAACCGGTCAACTACTCAGTCTCGTGGCAACTGACCCTTCTCCTGACAGCTCTCAGTCGTTTTTATGGGACGGGGGATACATCAAGGCTCATTCCATTATTCAAGGAACATTGGAGCATACAGAACATGTCGTTATGGTCACTGTTCCTGGTTCCCTCGTCGAACCAGTCAATCCCGAGGCCACTTTCATTCGCTTAAGGGACGATGTCAACACTGACAAGTTTACTCAAGTACACGGCAGCCAAAGCACCTGGAAGATCTCTCAGGACATAATGCAAGCAGCTTGTGAACTCCTTTGGGCCAAAGCCAACGAGTTGAAGGTCACCCTGAAGTCTATTGCAGTCATCATTCCATCAGATCCAAACATGTTCCCTTACCGACTCCCAGATGGTACATTTCATGTTTTTAGTTTCACACTTTGTTTCTAATCATAATTTTATATTGTTAGGCACTCCGGCAGTCATTTCTGTCGAGGCCAGCAACCAACTCACAGCGTCCAAAGGAGAGCGCATCACAACGTGTCCGCTTTGCGACACCAAGGTCATCGACATGTGTGATCACTTAGGCCGTCACATATTATGCGCATTGACACTCACGCCCGAGGAGCTGCCTTTGAAGGAACTGGTTAGTTTTTTAAAATCATGTTACTTTACATTACTGATTGGCTCTATATAGGTCGGTCTTCCAAGTCCCTGTGGTTTTTGTGGTTGTGCTGGAGCACCCGAGTGCGCTATCACAATCACAGTACCTAGCAGCGGAGCACCTACCTGGGAAACGAAGTGCATATACAAGCACACATTCAGGTATGGATCCGTCGATTCAGGATCAAAAAAGAAGCCCTGTCACAACTTGCCCCTCAAATGCGAACTTTGCCACCCTGTTCTCCCTCCTCAACCCAGCAAGACCATGCGAAAAGTACCCATTCTCCCCGTTGAATCTGTGTGGCGCTACAACATGATAGCACACATCCTGGACCAGCACGAGGAGTACACTGTCCCTGGACATAGAGAGGCAGGAGTTCCATTGCCGGTAAGCATTTGGAGGACGATGAAGCTTACAGATCTCGAGCAGGGCGCTTCACGCATCCCAAAGGATCGCTGGCAGCCCTCGTACAGTGGTTCGTCGGAGCGGGAGAAGGAAAATGTACCTGTAGCGTCGGGTTCTCGTACTAAACGTCCTGCCATCGAGTCCGCTGGATCTCTTCTCTCCAAACGAGCTCGTACATCCCTCCAGCATAGTACTTCACATTAGTTTGCTTATTTTTCACACCCTTCGTAGTTCCGTTGCTTGATCCGTTTGTTGCATGCTCCATACCAACTCTGTATGCATAAGTTGCTCTGATTTGTGATCGAGACAGCTACTATATATGGCTAAATTATGGTGACTGTAACGCTGTCACCGTGGGGGGGGGGCCGTCCAAAGTTACGCCAGGTGTATGTCATGAACTCTTATTTCCCCCACCTCTTGGTCTATGTTAAATTCGCCACAACCCTCCGGGCATCCCAGGACCTCCATCAGTTGATGTTGTGGAAAAGTAAGCACCAGAGAGAATTCAACAGAATGCAAACCATGCAAAGGTTACATTTGATGGCTTATGAGATATCAGCGCTTCAGCCTTAGTAGGACCGAAACTCGTCTCAGTTGTAAGCATGACGCTTACATGACGCAACTTACCTATGACGTCAGATGATGACGACCTGCACACTTCTGAAGCATATACGAGACAAACTGAGAATGGACTTGCAGGGTGAGGGTGTTGGACTATTGTATCTTACTTGCTATGATGTCGCTATACTTCAACCTTGTCATTGACGCATCTTCTAAGTCTAGATTTTGCACGAATCAATGGTCATTTATGAACAACACAAATTTCTTCTAGAATATATAGATATATTTGGCAAAAGCGTAATTATATCAGTCTATAGGTCTCATGACTACCATGTCACGGACTCATGAATTCACTGATGAAACTATGGGGGAGGATGACTCACAGTTAGTGATGTGCGGGCCCGGCTCGGCCTGAAAGCCCCGGCTTGGGCTTGGCTTTTGGGGGCTTGGGCTTTGCAAAACCTCAGGCCGAGCCGTGGGCCAAAGCCAGGCCAAAGCCGCGGCTCGGCTTGGGCTCAACGACGGCTTTCAAAAACAAAATGAGCAAGCGTGTCAATCTTCGCGGCAGGACGAGGGAAGCAGTCATTACAATACGCGTTGCAATGCCCCAGCCTATGATGAGAGCGGCTTTGTTGAGATTTTGTATCCCAGCGCCCAGCATCAAAAAGCCACAGATATAAAGCGGCATGGCTAAGTAACAGGTCCTACACAAATTCTCAGCTCTAACTTTGGACCATCACTTGAGTTTGCATACCACAAGCGGCTCTCAGCCTCGAAGAAACCACCGTTTTTGCGAATATGCAGACGGGAGGAGGAGATCCCATGAAGACAACATTTGTTGTCTACAAAAGTCGATAAGTTTTAGTGATGTGCGGGCCCGGCTCGAAAAGGTCAGCAAATGTACTAGTCAGCAACGCAATTCATCTCACCTCAAAGAGAACTACGAAGAAAAACTGAGGACGCCAAGCGACATCCAAAGATGCCATTAGAACTTCCGGCCATCATTAGAACTTCCGACCATCGTGGTCTGTATTTTGCCATCTTGTACCCAGTGACGCCTATCAAAGTTTCAAATCGATATCGCAGTCCCGTAGAAATTTGCAGTGGCTTCAATGCAAGGTGCGCACGATCATACATACTGGTTCAGAAAAAGTCAATGCCACTATCTTAAGAAGAAAGAGTTACAAACACGGATTGAACACCTGCGGCGTGCGTGGATAAATCGGACCTGTGCATGTTGGATTTGCGGAAGAGACTAGAGTAGCAATGGTTAGACAGATTTAGATATAGTAAATAAACTCGTACCTGATGTCCGGATGTCCACAGAAGTCTGTAACAGACGATTCGACTCCCTAAAGTAAGGATGCATTGATATCGATGATGGATGAGCAGGGACATAAAGCCACGGCTTGAGCCGCCGGCTTCGGCTTTCCAACAGCTCAAGCCGGGCCCTGGGCTGTGGTCAGGCCCTGACTTGGGCCCGGCTCGGCTCGGCCTAATCAGGCTCGGCCTGGGCCGGCCCACGGCCTGAAGCCGGGCCGTGCACATCACTACTCACAGTATGGCATAAGAAGGATACTAGGCAGCGACATGCACATACCACACCGTGATCACAATATTTGCATTCGTCGATGTTCATCGAGTACTAGGTATCGTTTACCACAAGTTCGGACAATCAATGGGTATGCCTAAGTTATCTGCCTGGTCCTGAAACTACTGCGGCCTTCTCCCATTCGATGGGCTCAGTCTCCACGTGATAAAATCGAGGGATTTCAGGTGGTAGATAGCCATCGATCGGGGCTTGAGAGATATTATAGGGAGTTCAGATGACGGTGTATATGTAGCAAGGAGATACATGGTGGAGTTGATCGCCTGCGAAAGAAAAGTTGAATTCAAAGTTCGTCCGGTTTAAAGCGACGGAAGCAATAGCCATCAATGGATTCTGAATGAAAGAGTAGATGTGATATGAAACACAGAGTACATGTTACTACCTGATAGCAGGAATATTATGATAAATCATCGGGAGTGCTGGTAAGCCTGGTAAAGGTGCTTATGGGCAGTGAATGTTGTACACAACATCGGACATATATGGGAAGCTGTTTAAACCATGTGGACCGGGTAAAGGCTTAATCTACATCTACGACGAATGACACCAAAGTTATACAGTGTTCTTCACGATCCAGTCCCTAATAAATGTACTGCTCAACTTTGTCTGCTTCAACATCTCCATGTCCTCATGGTCCAGCTTTTCGCTTTCTGAAGAAATAACATCGATGACGAATGTACGAAGGGGAGGCAATGATTCGGCGGAACGTTTTTTGTCGACTGTATGAGAGTGTCAGTAGATATTTCCAGAGAACCGTCAAGGTACCCACTTGACTCCGCGCCCGGTAGAGTCTCCACGCTGACTACCAGCGCCTGGATATTAGGATCCCAACCGGTAGGTCCATACACATCCCGTATTGCAACAAGTTCATACTCAAGGTCAGGACGGAAGAGTTGCAGGAAAGAGCGTGTTTTTTCAATGCGTACGGCCATTGACTCCAAGACATGCTTATTCGATTTATTCTTCAACAGCTCATCGTCTCGAGGATAAGTTCAGTCGCAGGAGCGACAGGTTGCAAGGCATTATCATACCTGTGATTCCGACAATGACCTTACTACTGGCTATCCAGGCTCCCATGCTGAGCAGGATTTTGTGTCCTGCATGCAAGTGATCGAAAGTGCCACCAAGTGCGACGACGGGGTATGATGACGGGGAGGTATCACAGCTAGGAGTGACACATACGGAATGCTGCCGGTGAGCTTCAATGACTTTATCTGGAACGACAAACACTTGGGGAAGGGTCTCAATAGAGTCAGGGAGATGGAGTATAGGGGGGTCTTGATAATTCCGCCATGAGTATGTACGGAATGAGGAAATGAGAAGAACTCACCGCCCTGGATTCTAAAGCACATATCCATACTATTCCCGAAGTTACTTGGGAAACTCTCTGAAGGGTCCTTAAGCATGATGCTAATGTCTAGTAAAACCTTTCCCAAGTCTTGGGCTGCCTTGGTTGCTTTGACATAGACGTATGTCAAAAGCCTTTGGACATTATCCCACTGTTTTACGCGGTTGGATGGCGATTCTGCTGTACGGAATAGCTGAGAAACCAAGACGATGACCAAGGCCTCTGTGGTAGCCGCGGTGACAGAGGCGATCGCTGAGCCTAGATGATGAGGAGCGGCGATGTCATGTAGATGGGCAAATAGGACAGTGCGTTTAATACTGCTCATGCTAGAAAATGCACTCGCAGGATGCTCTCAAAGCAATGCCTTTGTTGTTTCTTATCCATTGGCTAATGATGGCGAACTTGAATGACACGATCGTGGTCACTGCTTTAAACGTGAGAATCAATTTCTTTTTCCAACCGCACACAACGTGCACATCGTGTGGACGTCGACGCTCTCAACGTTCTACTCGAGTCTTACACCTTCCTTTCTCTACCGCACTCGCCGTTCTCACTAGTTGAGACATCTGACCAGAATTGTTCCAAGTTGCACTCTATAGAGTCACCAATTAGTAACAGCGGGCGACCAGCTTCTGTTAAATAATACTTCCATGGCTTCATCGCCACAGTTCTCACTTTCTTTCTCCCTATCTTCCTCGAGCTCTGCCAATGCTCCAAAGAAGCAGAGTCCTGCTCACTTACCACTGCCGTCATCAAACTTCAGCGCTGCCCCCGTACAGCGCCTTCAGGACAGCGTGCAGGCTCTTCAAAGGTCTGCAAGCTTGGGTTCAAAATCAGCAAGTCTACACAATCGTTCCATATCTAATGCTGCTACTCTCAAACCAGCTTTTTTGCCTCGTGGTCCCCGAGACTATCCCTTGTCATCTCCTCCGACTGTTACCACTTTTCAGCTACCTCAAATCCCAATTCCAAGTACAACTCATGCAGGTGGCATCCTACCCTCCTCCTCATTCTTTCACCCTTCTAGACCAGTCCATTCTCGCCCTTCATCATCCATATCCTTGACCTCTAATGATATCCTTCCTAATTTCCATTCGGCTCCCCTCGATCAACACCCTTTATCTAGCTTGACTACCCGTATCTCTCACGAATCTGACCTGAGGAGCTATGGCGATCCTGCTTCCATAAGAGACACAAATGGTCAACTATCTAAGCGGCTAAAGCAAAGTCGTGAACCTCTACTTCCCCTTAACAACAAGCACGTCGTTGCAAGTGCTAGCGCTCCCGTTCGCACTTCCATGCACTTAGATCCTTCTTACAAGATAACTAGTACAAATCGAATGCGAACCAGTTTCGAACGCATGTTCCGCGGTCTCAGCTTCGATAGCATACGGAGATCTAGTAGTAGCCTCGGCCATACTATGAGTCCTCGCTTATCTTATGCAGAAGAGCAGCCACCTGTCGATAACTTATCACCCCCTCCACACCGTGTAAAATCTTCTCCTTCTCCGCCACTCATTCGCATTGCTTCTAGCAACTCTCGATCATTCTCTCCAACTCCAAACCACGTCTTTATATCAGTCCCTCCTGATAATCATGTGCCACTCTCTGCGATGCCCAGTGTTCCTATGCAACGCGTATACCAGCGACATCCTTCAAATAATCGATTCTTTTGCAGCGGCCGGCTGCTTACAGGTGGTGATTCTCCTTGGGCTTTCATTGCGTCTCTCACACTCGTGCTTGGTCTATCTGGCGTCTGGTTTGGAACAACATGTGTATGGTATTGGCATAATGCAAGTCCCGCTATCGCGGCAGTGGGAGCATACATGACCTTGTTGACTGTATCCTGCATGCTGACCACGGTGCGTAATTAAAATCGTTCGTGATGCTACCGCCCACTCAATGAATTTGAAGGCCTGTCGTGATCCTGGCATCTTACCTCGCAATTTAGACCCAGATCCGCCTTTTCCTCCTACGTCACCTTCAGATGATGCTGTCAGGCAACCTTTGCCTCGGGATCTCAAAGTACGTGATGAGAGGTGAGTAATTGGTATCTAGTAAGCCGATGTGTGTGTTGAACACATGTTTAGTGTGCATACCAAGTACTGCTTGACGTGCAAAACGTATCGCCCACCTCGCTCTAGCCATTGCAAAATGGTGCGTGGTTTTGTTATCTTCATAATGAGCTGTTACACAACTTCTGGCAGTGCGATAACTGTGTCGATGGGTGTGATCACCATTGTCAGTGGGTGAACAACTGTGTTGGACGGCGCAATTACACCTTTTTCTTTGCGTTCCTGGTGTCTGCTGTAAGTATTGTGAACCTTCTCCCGGCCAGCGTAAGAGTAATATTTTCCCAGGTGTTGACCCTATGCCTCGTAATCTGCACATCCGCCCTACACCTCTATCTTCTTACTCGCCGAGATGGTATCAAATTCAGTAGTGCGTTGAGGGAAGGCGCAGGCAGTGCTGTGGCATTCTCGTTGGCTATCACTGTTGTATGGCCAGTCATGGCCCTCCTCGTCTATCACATGAGGGTGAGCTGCAAACTCATCCTTCCATACGTAATGGTTCGCTCACTGAAACATATGACGCAGCTATTATTGCTAAACATTACTACTATTGAACAAGTGGGTCGCAGACATCAACGGTCCCTGAATTTTACTGATGGTATAACACAGATCAGAAACCAAGCGCACAAATCTCTTGTACCAGGTCCCGCACCTCCCAACCCATTTTCATATGGCTCATGGCGACACAACCTCATGGAAGTGTTGTGCCGACCAGCAGGATTTTCATGGCTCGATGCTCATGCTCCTGTTACTGAAGATAAGCGGCGGATAAACCCTGGTCTTGAGGATGCTTGCCCGAGGTGGGAAGAGACAGACACTAGAAGAGCTGGGGAAGCGATTTGAAATTGGAATTACTTGGATCCCTTGCAATTCGATTTTTGACTTGCGCTGCGCTTCCAAATGTTGGAAAACCGGGGTGACATGATACACCTTGAGTGTGAGCAAACTATGAATGGTGCGAAAGGAGGATTTTTGACCGCGGAGGTCATTATGAAAAGTTGGTTGAACGTGGATTCATGTGAACTTTTAACAGCTTGAGAACGTGGTCGCTGTCAGCATGTACGTACAACTCTATAGAGGGGCAGTGCCAGAATTGAGTCAGCGAAGCCGCCGCATCAGAAGTTCATGAGGACAGAACGTAGCGTGTGTACGGTTGTAGCCCCCGCGCACATGGACCTTGTGCAAAATTAGTACCTAAGGTACAAGAATAGCTAAAGGGGCGATGAGCACTCGATCGACCAGCGATGCCATGCTGGCCGGAGACTGAAATTGTATCGGAGATTGAACATGATGATACGGCACTCCATGCCATCACCCTCATACTCGCATCTCAAGTCGTCAACCCCTCACGCGGGTGTACAGAAACGCAGTCAAGGTGCGAAACCAACAAAATTGTAGGCGGACGATACGTTTCACTAACAAAGTCATTCGGTTGTTCAGACATTTAGTCACCGGCTCTGTAATTCACTGTACGTATAACCTTCGGTTGTATGCCATTTCGGAGCAATTCAGGCTGGTTACAGTAGCAATTGTTATAACCGGTTGACGAATGGAACCTGCTACTGTACGAGACACAGCAAACGAATCGCAGTCAGTGCCGCAGCAGCCGAACCCGCAATCTGCAAAGCCGTCCTCGAGAAAGACACGGCAGAAGAAACAAACAAATTCTTCGGAATCTTCGCGCCCCGCGCCGAACTCCTCTAACTCCCGCCGACCATCAGGCCGACGGAGCAACAATAACGCTACCACAGTCGAGAATCCTCAAACAACGAGCGCTGGTACGGAATTTTCTTTCAACATTCTTCGATCGTGATTATTCACACTGCTCCGTTAAGCCGCTCGGCCTGCGACTGATCAACATCAACAAGACGCTGCGCGTTTTCGAGGCATACCGCTCCCTTCCTATCCAGCTCCTCTCCATTACATGATGAATCACAATTACCACCCCATGAATCCATCCCCTTTCACCCAACAACACCCTTCTGGGGGCTATGCCCCAACCGGCTCCGTTAATGGCGCGACTGGCCCTGGTATGTCCAGTCACTCCACTCAGTACTATCCTATGCACCCGACATATCCTCCCGCTCCGCATGGCTATGCACCGTATTATCCTCAACAAATGATGATGTACGGTGCACCCCGTTCGAGTACGTCAGTGCCAGAACAGGCGCAGCCATCTAGCGTATCATCGCCCGTACCTGCCTCCGCTCCTGCGGTGATCGGTAAGCGGAAAAGAAAGTTGGAGCCCTCGCGTAGTAAAGTGACCGTGGAGAAGGATTCGGATCAAGAAGGTCCGTCGGGAAGTGATGTTCCGGCAAAACGAAGCACTCCCCCTGCTACTACGCCAACTACGTCTGATTCAAAGAAGCGTACAAAAACACAAAGGGCATGTGATAGCTGCAGAAGTCGCAAAATAAGGTGCGGTTGAGTTTTTCCCTTGGTTTTCCCTGACTCACCCAGTCGTCTTTTTTATTACTGTCAGATGCGACGTTCTTACGGATTCGGAACCTCCGCTGTGTCAACACTGCAAACAATATGGGTTTGAGTGCACATTCTTCCTGCCCATAACAGAAACGCGTTTCAAGAAGAAGAAAATGGAAGAAGAGGCCGCAGAAAAAGAAAAAGACAAGGAGAAGTCCACGGACACTCGACGAAATACGTTGTCTCCTCAAGCTGAATCTGGGGATCTAAGAGTCTTTGGTTGGTCTTATGTACCTCGTAGTTTTTTTTCTTTGATCTAATTTTGTTTCAGGACCGACGGCTGCTGTACATCTTCTGCATTCACAACCTATAATTTCTTCCCGGATGTACGAGTCTTATGACCAACGTTATCACCACACTTGGGAAGTATCGAAAAACGGTGACGGTGTAATCTCCGTCCAAAATGTTCCAGGGGACGAGAAACAAGTTTCTCATCCAAAGCCCATCGATTTGCGACTCGAACCCGAAGTCCTTCAAAACCTTCTTAATGCTTATTTCAAAGAGATTGCTCCTCTCTTACCTGTTGTATCACAAACAGAATTCCTGGCGAATCCTTCCCCTTCTCCCATTCTCTTGTATTCGATGTGCCTGGTTGCTGCGGCAAGGAGGGAGGTACCGCAGAGTGTCTTTGACTCCATTCGATATGCGGTCAATAGTGTGATCAAGGCTGAAGATGTTTTATCTACAGCCTCTATCGCGAACGTGCAAGCCTTACTTATTCTTAGTATGGTGGGTGATAGCCATTCTCAATTCGTTCCGAATGCTCTTTCGGCGCTCTGGATTCGGTTGGGTACGGCGATACGAATGGTAGGTTTCTGTGCTGTCGAATTGCTTTGGGTTTTGATTGAGCATGTCAGGCTCAAGACTTGGGGCTTCACCGAGCGGAGTCAGTCAAACAGAGTGTCGAGCTGCGAAGACGTTTGTGGGGTGCATGTGTCATTTGTGACAGATGGTATGGGTATATTGGAACGAGTTTATCAAATGCTGACTGTTTTGGAAGGACAAGTCTGACGTATGGTCACCCGTACATGATTGATGTACAAGACTGCGATGCTAGGCTTCCCTCATCCGGCGATCCCAATGATTTATACATGGATGAACTCGTCAGGTTGAGCGTGATACTGGGAAGGGTTCTTAAGACCATCTACAGGTCCGTAAATATTTTTTCCCTGGTATCATTGTGGGGTTCACTTGCGTGATTGTCTGTAGCCCGTCTGGCCTCATGTTCACTACGGATGATATGCTGTACAGCCTACTGTCCGACCTCGAGTCATGGAAGAAAAATCTTCCAGAGAACTTACAGTATCGTGGTTCTGACACACCTCAAGATGCCGGTACGTGGTCGCCTACTCTTGATGCTTCTTGATGAAAGTCTAATCTTAATTTTCTAGGGCTCTTGCACCTCCTGTACTGCTCGGTGTGCATGATCTTTTGGCGGGTCTTCATGCGTATACACTATGCTTGCCCCGCACATCTGAAATTCGGCTTAACCGTCGAGACATGGACTTCTCTAGTTCAATTGACCAGTGAATCGATCGATTGGCTCGATACTCACGAACGAATGTATGACGTTTGGCTTCTAGTCCCTTACGCGGCAACGTCCTGCGCACTTGTCCAGGTTTGTGCTTATGTGGTTCGTATAGTCTTGTGTTAATTGTGTTTTAGTACCATACATGGGCAAGGCGACAAGATGCTGAAGCGGCTACTAAGCTTAGAAAGCTTCGGGATTGCGTTCGGAGATGGGAAGGTTCCATTTCTCCCGACCACATGTCTGCCCGACGAAAGGTAGCCCCCGACTTTCCCATGCTATCTCTCGGCATCATTTGATTGATTCGTGTTTTAGACAGCCGAAATTATTGCTCTTCTGTATGAGGCCACTCAGGGACCCCCCCCTCTTGGTCAAGCACCTGTGTTGAATCCCACAGGCGGCGTAAAGGGTAAACGGGCATTGATCGGTCTGGAGTATAAGAAAGATCCTTCGCGTCCTGGTGGAGGATTCTTCGTTGCGCATGGTGAGGCTCGCAGTGGTGATTACGAGGGTGTACCTCGGGGCACGATTGTGACGTCATCTGATGATGAAGCAGAAGGTTCGTCTTAATGCAGCGACTAGAATCCATAGACGCGACTAAGCTGGTTGATTGTTAGCGGGGGTTACCGAGAACTCGCAGCGCTGCGGGTCATCGATGGTCACTATAACCCCACTTCCATCTACGCGTGGTGATGGGGCTAGCTTCCCTAATATGAACCCTGTTTTAAACAGTGTCAAGAGGGACACGCCTAGTAGCGTGCAAGTTCTTAACGTGCTTGACGTTCCGCAAGCATCAAATACGCTGGAGCAATTTGCGATGGCCGATGTTGGCCTCCTTGAGGGAATTCCTGGAGGTATGTTTGACTGGGGTATGTTCTTCATTGAGCTCTAAAATGCGTGGTGGTGTTTTAATTGCGTATTAGGTCAATGGGACTCGTTCTTCTCTCGGTTCAATCCATCTGTCACTGAAAATGCAGGGGGACAACGACAAACAGAGGTAAACTCACCGTCGATGGTGCAGTCGACACAGACTCTATAGTTAGCATGGACACGGCATTCCGCATTATGCCTCATGCCAACGATCATTATGGTTCCGAAGTATGGAGGAACTTTCTATTTTATTTTGATTGTATTCTGTCTTCTAACTGTTGTTTCTTTCGCTAGTTAAACTAGTGTGTGTTTTTATAATCTAAAAAACCTGCGAACTTTGGAATGACATACATACGCCACACTGTATCTATTATGTGGATCGTAACGGCAGTCGGTGCCAACTTTGAATTCTCCACCATGTGTGAACGTTGGCCCGCTAGTACTGAAGGAGTGAAATGATCACATGACGGTGGATATCTAATTAATCTGTTCTCGTACCAAGCATCAAACTCTGGTCCTAGGTTGCGACGAGCGACAACTCGGACTTAAAAGGTATGACTCGGGGCTTGCATGATGTAAATCTCAATCGAAACATCAAGGGTACGATCGGCGATCGTGAGTCACAGCGTCGCCAAGTTCGTTGTCAATGCAAATGGTCCACACTAGTACTTGTCTTTCGACACAAAACACAACACATACTTGTATGTCCAGTCTGATCCAGAGGTGGGAATGGACGAGGTGGAGTGGGGAAGAGAGAAAAGTTTCAAGGCAAGATTCGACCCTGAAGGGCTCAGACCATTTTGGTACAGAAGAATAGAAGCAAGACCGTTTCCGGCGGATCACTCACGTTTGAGAACTCCCGCAACCTACTATAGTACTCGATGGACAAACCTCTCTTTCACTTTCCTCTTGCAGATCCCAGGAGGGTCTAAAAAAATAACTAATAGGCCGCCAGACAGTTGGAATGAAACCTATCTTGGTCGGAGCACCAAATATCAACCGACCGTATGTTTTCTTCCAAAACTTTCATGACAATCGTTAACAGTGCATACTAGACTTTTCATAATAATCGCTGGTCGTTTACATCACTAGTGGTGCTTTCTTATGGAACAAATTGCCAGCAATTCTCCAAAGCAACCACCGAGAATCTCACAGCTTCTTCCTACTGTAAAATGCTCAAGCTGCTTGCAGCCAGTCCCGCTCGCTGACCTCGGTGACCACGTATGTTCACCACAACCTCCTCCTACCTTACCGTCCCTTCAGAAACCGCCCATGTCCCCAAAATCAACAAACTCGCTTCTACCACAGAGGTTGCAGAATATTCTTATTTCTAATAGGGCCGGGGCGCTACAACAGCAGCAACCCGTTACTTCCCGCACCCCGCCCCCTCATGCTCATCCACCCAGGTCTTCTCAACATGATCCTTTTCAGCGAATACCCCCAACTGTGCATTATAATCAAGGTGCTACTCGCACCAACAGCTCGGCTAGTCCTCCGATACCACAATCTATTCTTGTCAACGGAGGAACATCAACTAATAAACCCCATGTTCATTTTCCAACCCAATCTGCTCCCATTCGAATAGCAACTCCTCCTGTACCCACCAGGACCCACACTCCTTCAAATACGGGAAGTCCTAGTTCCAGATCACCCCTTAGTGTGTCATCTTTCCCCAATCCTTTTGAAGATGACCCACGTCAGTCGGGTGCATCTGAACCTGTAGTTGGCCGCTCGGGAACTGCTCGAAGAGAAAATCCACCCGTTACACCGCAGGCGCCGCCCCCATCATCCAGGACAAGAACGCCATCAAACGCCCCTTCCCACACTTCTATCATTCCACCGAGTCTCGCTCCGCGTCCGTCGTATGATCGCTCACGTACATCTTCTACTCTTACGCCTAGGCCATCACTGGACAAGCCTCGCCCCTCTTTTGACACTCCTAGACCTTCCTTTGATACACAACGTCCTTCCTTTGACATATCTCGATCTCATCATCCTGCCGATGTACGACCGCAGCCTGTGTCAGTCCCGCGTCCACCCCACAGTACTTCGACACTCCCTCCACCAGGGGGTGTACCCTTTCCGATGTCTGCCCCTACACCACAACCACCACCCGCAACCCGCTCGCCAGTGCCAGATAGTGAACGTAATATTGACACAAAATGCGGAGGTGAGGCTGGTATGGCTGGCGTTGGACGGAGAGGGTTTGCAGCTGTGGCACGAGCTGCGATGGTTGCTGCATCTCATTCTCAGCTGGACAGTCGTCGAGCAAATGCTCCCAAGTATCTGGACCTCAACACCGCCATGAACCATGTCATGCGAGGTGAGCGCTTTCCTTCAACACCTTTATATCATACATCTTTCGTGTTTATATTCCTTCGCCCCATATGTAATTATATGGATTAACCTACTCCATATAATTTTACGGCAATGGACTGTACGATAAATTTCTACCTTTTAAAAATAAATTATTTTGCATTACTGTTGATTTGTCTCCAATTTGTTCATTCAATATATACTCACTGATTCTGTATTTGCAGCCGCAATGACACCCCCGCTCTCTCCAAACTCGGGATACTCTCATTCACCTGTCTCTCCTCACCCCGTGTCGCCGTTGTCGCTTCACAACGCAACACCGACCACCGGACAGTTTCCAAAGACACCACTCACACCTCATGACAAGGCTGGGATACAGTTTCTCTCATCATCCCCAAATCAGAAAGCCCCTCCTCTTTCGACCTCGCCTGCTGATATCCATATTGTCACTCCATCACGATCGCCCTCGCCTATTTCGAATCCTTTCTCCCGACATCTCAGCGGGGAAACTGTGAATCAATCACCGTTTGCAGCTGTTCCTGTTCGCCTACCATTTCTTGACGCATTTGATAAAGGTCCTGTAAAGCACAGTTGCGATGATTCTGACGATGAAAGTGTGTACACGACGCATACGGCCGAACCAGGCAGGGGTCATAGAGGCGGTACAGAACCCATGTCCCCGTCGACTGATTCAGACGTGGGGCTAGCCTATGCTGATGATTCTGACAACGACACGCCTGTAGTGATGCCACTCGATATACGCAAGTCAAATGCAGTATCTGGGATCAACAAGGTCCAATTTCCAAGTATCGAAGATAGGCATCAGTCTTTCACGGTTCAGAAGCCGCCATCGCGGAAAGCTTCAGCTTCGTCTGCTCCTACTGCATCCACCTCGCGAACCATTGATACCGGAGCCAGCCGCACGCGCAGCGCCTCGGCTGCCACCCACACGACAACACGATCTGCTGGAGCGTTAGAACGTGCAATGGAGACGCTGATTGAGGAAGGAGCATCTGTCTCGGTCCTCGCTTCAGGTTCAGTGCTCGCCTCAATGGCTGGGCCCTCCGGGAGTCGCGCTTCAGGAAAGCCCTATTCGGTCGAATACAGTACCGGGCCCTGTATCACCGGAAAGTAGACCACCGAAGCTACCAGCGCGGTCCTATACGAGCCCGCACCATCCGCATATTCATTCCGAACCCGTAGGTATAACAGGTCAAGTCGCGCGAGTACGGGAACGGTCCAATACAAAGAAAGACCGCATTTGTGCGAGCTGCGATACGAAGGTCGACGATGGGAGGTGGATTCAGATGGACGGCGGGAATATCCTGTGTGAGCGATGCTGGAAGAATATGTATCTTCCCAAGGTATGTTTATCATGTGGCTGTTTGCTGTTTTCATCTAAGAGGTTTCATTATAGTGCCGCCGGTGTAATCTTCCCATTGAGAAGCAAGCCGTGTCGTCTTCCGACGGTCAACTGAAAGGCAAATATCACAAGAATTGTTTCAATTGTCACGTCTGCCAGGTGAGTTGTGTGGTCTTTACGACCGTGGCTGGTTTTTGACTGTCACCTTGCAGAAACCGTTTCCAGATAAGGAATTCTACGTGTTTGATGGTAAACCACTATGCGCATACCACTACCACGAGGCGAACGACTCTCTCTGCGCTGCAGCCTCATGTGGCCAGCCAATAGAGGGCCCTTGCGCTGTCACTCATGCAGGAAGGCGCTATCATCCAGACCATCTTCTTTGTGAGTTTGAGAATGGTTGCGGAGAGCGATTGGCAGAGTATTGGGAGGTAGATGGGCAAATGTTATGTGAGAAGCACGCTGCATTAGCTGGGGGCAGCAGCTGTGCCTCCTCGAGAGGCGATAGTCCTGACCCGCAACGTATACGTGACGAGGGGCGCGCGAGGAGGCGTATGACGCGGTTCATCGACCTCGGGGCTGTAGAAGAGGAGGACGTTGACATCCGGTGAACATGATGGACTTGACATATGCATTAATTAACCTTATTCTTCATTTTTTTTCTCATCCTTTTTCCCGGACCATTAGCAAGTGTACTCTCACATCTTCCACAGGTTATAATACCCTTACACTCCCTTGCAATCGATATACCGCATATTTCTTTTTCTTGATATCATTACGGGACTTTATGAGCCATAGACGAGGCTTTTTGCATCTTCTCTATCTCGTTCGTCGTCCAGGATTAGGACAGAGTTAATGTTTCCTCCTTAGTCATACATCTAGTAGCTGCACAATTGTACTTGCACTGCAGATCGGCGCGTGATCTTAAGTTATCCCTCAAGCTTAACCAACATCATCCATCGGGCTTCACTAGTACTTTCGACCGAGGCTCAGACGTTATGTCCTTTTCTTTTCTTGCTCGGTGCTGTGAAACAGCAAGAAGTCCATTCTCTTTACTTGGTTCGTAAATGCTTTATTGTCAACATCCTGTTTTTTTAACCACAGTTGTACGAAAGGTTCCGTGCGGACTGCCACCAAACGTGCTGGAGGAACAGTTCGAAACCATGGAGGATCGCCGGGTAAGCGTCTGGGTCTCAAGAAGTTTTCTGGTGCGTTCTTCTGTCTTCGCACATTCGCCTCGCCAATGCTAGAGACCTATGCAGACCAGCATGTCATTCCCGGCAACATCATAGTACGACAACGGGGAACGCAATTCCACCCAGGGCAGAATGTACGCAGCCTTCCAACCCATTGAACGGCGATATTCATATGTTCCTCAGGTCAGAATAGGGTCGCGACCATACTATATATGCCACCACACCCTGGCTTCGTACGATTCTACAAACAAAAGTGGCTACGAGGAGACCGGAAGTTTATTGGTGTAGTTCTGCATCGAGGCGAGAAGCTTCCAAGGGATGAAACCTCAGCTAGGTCGCAGTCGATTCTTTGGCCTCGTCGACTTGAATGCTTTCGCTAAGAGCGGCCCATCATCACAAACTAGTGCATGAGTGGGTTTTGATTCGCCCACGGTTTCAGGGTGTTGGCTACACAACTGTCGTCGCATTTCTAGGCCCGTTGCACTCAGCATAGTACTGGGCAGTGCGCACTTTTTTGCCATAATATTTTTAGCGCATCTTTTATATATAGATGATAAATCTCATATGCATTGCTATTGCTGCGTCTATCCCATCATCTGAGGTTTCTTTCCGACCATCATGTCATTTCAACTCTCCATTGACCCCGTTAGACCTGCAGGTACGTGTCGCTCTATTGGTTGTTAGCCACTGCACACATGGAACCCTAGAATTCCCTGTTGAGGAAACTATCATTGAGCTTGGTCGTCAAGTATTAGAGTCCACCGCTTCTTGGAAAGTAGGCAAGACCTTTTCAAAAGGCACTGTCCAAACACTTTCTCGTGCAAAGGGACCAGGAGACGGAGCCCCTTGGCATTGCAGAGTTTCCAATCACACCAAGGAGGATGCGACGTTCGATGAGTTTTGGAGCAAAATTGGCACTAACAAAGCTGAGAACGAGAAGGAGTAAGTTTCCCGTCGTCATCCAACAATAGCCTGAACGTTCATGCTATCAAGGTTCATCTCTGCGATCAAGAAAGTGACGCTAGTCAAGCGAATCTCAGAGACTCAGTCCATCTGGACGATGTACTACACTTTCCCTCCCCCCGTTTCTCCGCGTGTCTTCACTGTGTTGCAAACAATACACTTTCGCGAGTCAGCTCCAAGAACTGGGTATGACTACTCGAAACCTGTTGAGCGTCCCTCTGATATAGAGCATCTAGTTTGGTGGTTTCAATTCCAGTGGATTTGTCTGGGCCAGGTGACGAAGATCTTGTCAAGCTTGAAGAGAAAGGCACAAAGGGACGATATGTCTCCGTCGAACGCTTGGTCGAGTTGGACGATGGCACAGTAGAGTGGCGAATGGCGACGTCCAGTACACCTGGAGGAAGTATTCCGACTTTCATCACGGAGGGCAGTATGCCAGGCCAAATATCTGCGGTGAATATTATATCGTCTCATGTACTGTGAATCAAAACTGATGTTACCTTACAGGATGTTCCGCACTTCTTAAAGTGGTTTCATACCGTTCGCAATCAAGGAACCTGCGTAACTCGATAGTTGAAATTAGACCGGACAGTAGATCGGACAATAGATGAGCAAATACATGCGCTTGTTCAAAGGCGAGAGATATGGTTGAACGTTCTGCATGCAACTTAACGCAATCTACACCGTGATTTTGATATCAAATGTCGTTGGAAATAGAGCTTGATTACGAGTGAGAGGTGAGGTGCAATAGAGGTAGGAGAAAGGGTTAAGAGTCAATATAACATGATATAACAGTACAAGTACCGTGGAGCGACGATGAAACATCAAGTCTCGCGCTTTTCGTCACGTTCGCGTTCAAGCTGCTCGATCCTACGGAGATGATTATCCCTTTGAGCTTTTACCCTATTGAGATACTCCTCGTCGGATATTTTACGACCAAACATAGCGAATATTCGATCTGTGAGTGATCTGGGTGGTTCCGGGGCGGCGACGGGTAGGGAGTATGTTGTAACAGGTGCTGCAGGTATAGCAGGTACAGGCTGTGCATGTACCCCTCGGGATAAGTGAGTTATCCTCAGAATGTCGAACTCATTGAATGCCCATTGGAAGAGCCCACACATCACCGCGCCTGTCGCTAGTCCAGGAACAGTTCCCGATCTTCCACCTATAATGGAATGAGAATTGGTGAGAAGCACAAGAGAGCGACTCACGTTTCCAGGTGTTGAGGATGCCACCAGCCAAGGCTCCGCTAATGCTGGAGTCAAGTACTTTACGAGAGCGAATGTCACCCCACGTTAACCGGGATACATCAGTAGGAGCCCCTTCTACAATTTCCTTGAGTCTCTGTCTGCGTAGTTCGTACTGTTTTCCTGGCATTGACAAAACGAGTACAGGGCCAACTAGGTACTCTCGTATACCTGTATGCCCAGTCAATTCTGTTGGATATCTGACGAAATGTGCATCATACTGAAGAATGTTGCAGACGCAATGCCGCTATTCAAAGCCGAAAACAAGAATAGAGGTCCTGGTGGTTGCGATTTGACGACGCCATAAAACCCTGCAGTCAAACCGCAGACAGTAGCTAAGGAAGACAATTGTCAGCTTTATTAATTTGAGAATGGCCGTGGTGGAAGACGGACTCGCATGTTATGAGTACGCCTTTGGCTACCGTCTGTGGGGCTGAATGATCCATCTTCACGCTGTGTGCAACAGGCCAGTTACAAAGCAAGCAAAGAGCAAGAGCAAGACTCTGACTCCGCCGAGCAAGAGCAACTGGATGTATCTGTGACCCCCTAAATGGGGGTGAGTTTGTGCCGGTTAAACCAAGCTTAGACCAAGCTTAGACTTCGGACATGTTCCTTGTGGTACTTGCATAATGTTCAAACGTACGGCTGCTCAAGCGTTGCGATCTCGCCGCCTGCACTCTCATATTTCATGTACGGCACAGGCAGCTAGAGCACGACCTGCTCGGTTTGTAGTCATAGCTTCTTCTGCAGCTGCTACCGCAGGCCTACTCTGGTATTCGTTTAGTACTACTATCCACAACGACGCCATCATAACACCGAAGCCAGAAGATATATCCAAGTCCGTCCAGAAAGCTTCTGCATCTAGTACTGGAGTCACAGAGGACGATGGAAGCATATGTGCAGTCGTGTGGGGTTCCAACCAGTGAGCTGCACAATTATATGTTTACTAGATGGTATGCTCATATTCAGGTACACCGTAATCAACCCAAACGAACCCGGAGTCCAACGGGTACAGTGCCCCGTAAATTCTAGTTGGCTAAAAGACGTCGCGCTGCGTGACTTAGCACTTCACGAGCGACATGCTGCTTGTGTAGATGCAAGGGGAGATGTATACCAGTGGGGCGACGGATTCTTTGGCTCAAGTTCCACATCAAAATCAGAGCCACAGGGACCGAAATTGACATTACGTGGTCATGTAAGACGTTTTGCCCTGTGAGAAGGCATTGTTACTCAGTTTATGATTTGGTTAGGACATCATTCAACTTCAGCTCACCGAATCTCGATTATATGCTCTATCAGCTTCCGGAAAAATATATGTCATCGCGGCTAATGCAGAACAACAACAAAAGCCCCCTTCGAAGCCACTTTCTGCTAGTACTATGTCCTGGTGGACACCCGGCTGGATATGGGGAGCGCAAGGAAATGTCATTGACTTCGCGGAGATTGTACCTAGGCAGAAACTCGGTTGGGGTGAACAGTATGTACCAATCTGTCATCCGAGACTATGAGCTCATACCAACCTAGGTTCGTATCTATTTCAGCAGGCAGGAACCACCTCTTGGCATTGACATCTTCTGGTCGGACAATGGTTCATCCCGTGAACAAACACGCAAACGCACATGGACAACTTGGTCTACGGAAGTTTGACATTCCTAATCCAAGTTCTACTGACACCGTTTCTCCGCCTCGCATTCCTGTCGAGCTAGTTCCAAGGGCAGTGGCAGACCCGTTCGCTACAGCTTCTCCTTTCTCGCGTTCGGCGTCGTCATCTGTGCCGCCTTCCATATCCACCAACATTGATGGAATAGATGACCAGCATATTAGATTTTCAGATGCTCTCTTTGAGATTCCCTCTCTTCAGGGCATCAAGGTCTCTCAAATTGCAGCTGGAGGTCGCACCAGCTTTGTAATGTCAGATTCAGGTAGGGTGCTTGGCTGGGGAGCGAATGAGTTCGGGTAAATATACCTATTAACACGTAAAATCCGCTAACACTTATTCCAGCCAGATCGGACTGGGTGGAAACATGACTCTTGACACAATTATCCTGCCGACAGAGGTGGTTCTGTCGAGAAACGTACCCGGTTCTGTCCGCACTAGATGCATTGACATTTCCGCAGGCAAGTGAGAATACCGGGTCTTTTGTTATCTATAACTAAATTCATTGTGCAGGTGGTGATCTGACATGTTTCGTCGCCGAACGCACGGATGGCGAATCCCTCGAATATGTAGACATTCTGACTTGTGGTAACGGACAATGGGGAGGACTAGGGAACAACCTCTACTCGAATGCCCAAGGGAACCCTGTCCGCGCAAAGAACATCAGCGGTCTCCGAGAATGTCAGTACCTCATCATTATAGCCTTACATGCACTCATAAGCCCCTTGTAGATAACGAAGCTAGCCGGACCATGTCTCCCATCTTTCCTCATGCTATCTCGGTGTCTCCCACTGGTCATGTCCTGCTGACTTTGGATACACAAGCCCATGGAGGGCCGGGTGGCTTGGGCCGGGATCTGGTCGCTTGGGGAACAAATCACGACTATCAGCTTGGTACCGGTAAGAGAAGCAGTCTTCCTGTACCTACCACCTTGGAGCGTCCTGAAGGCGGCCGATTTATCCTGGGTCAACGGAAAGCTCTGGTGAGGGACCTTGCTGGTAACGTATGGAAAAAGAGAGTCGAAGTCGAGCAATGTGCAGTCGCAGGGTACGGTAACAGCATTATATATTGGAAGATCAAGTAGATAGTCGAGTGCAGGAGATACTAGCCACCAGCGACCAATCAAGGTTCTTGTTGCACGTGATTTTCACATGACCGTGACGCGGTTGTGGCACGATATAACTAACTCTGTTAACTACCATCACGCGATGGCGAGGGACCTTCAATCAAAAGATCCTCAGCTACAAGAATGCATGTGCGCGAACGATAACATCTCATGTCTCACGTACATCGACGTCCTAATCTCGAACTATTCAATGCAGTAAATTAATTCGGGAGATGACAAGCATCATTGATCCCGCGGATGACTACCTCACAATAACCGCAGCTGAAGAGCAAATGAAGATCAATTATGCCAGAGGGAAGAAAGAGAACGAAGAGGCGTATGCGGATTTGAAAGGTATGGACATCTCTACCTCACGACTTGTTAGTGATCATCTTCATCCTATTTCCAAGCCTTGTCTCGCGTCTTAGAGGCTGCCAAGAAATCTTCGATGCGACCGCCAAACGTGCCCTCTTTAGAAAAGCACGCATCCCATCTCAATGAACTTGACGGATCTAGGCTGTCCCTAGCCAAGGCTATCCGCGACGCAGAGGGTTCTCTAGCCAGTAAAGAAGCTGAACTGGCAGCCCTGAAAGAGCAAGCACGTTCATTAGAGG